GGGGGGGAGGGGAGGGGGGGAGGGCAAGTTGCGCGCGGATTTGCGATTCTATCTTCCGGATTCCGATTCTCTCGGGAAACACTCGGGGAAAATTCGCTAAGCATCTTCTACTGATCCCAGCGATTGAAAACTCCTACCCAGCCTGCGGAGGGACGGAGGGAGGGAAAACAGCAGCTCCTGTTGCGGCGCCCGAATCGTCTGCCGCCGCTCGCGAGGAGAATTGCGCGTCTCGAGCAGCGCGATTCGCCGACGACGACGCTCTCTCCCCGTGTTCCTGTCCGAACTGTCGGAACTCACCCATTCTAAACGTCGCTCCGATGGACCGTCCGCGTGCGATTATTACGCGCTGCGTCCGCGAGAACGGCGAGAACGCGGCCGGACACGGCGCAGTCTCCACCCTCATTGAACCGCCAGCCGGGGAGAACAAGCGCGAGAGGGTGGAAGCCTCGCGGCGTCGACGAGATGCTGCCGAGCGTAGCGCCGGGAGGTGGCACAACCGGCCCTCTTATCGATCCAATTTGCGTGGCCGATATCGGCGCGCGGAAAGCCACCGCGCTTTTTCGTGCCCGATAAACGCCGCCACGGCTGAACGGATGAACGGAGTGGTGCGATCGCGCTTTATCGCGACGCTCCGACTCCCTCTCGGTATCCGTGTAGTGCCACGCTCGGTGCGGGAGATCCTACGGAAGGTAGACTCGGATTTACGGAATCCATCTCCTCGCCCCGCAGGGCGACGAGAGAGAAATACGCGGCGACGCGCCGAGCGGGATTACTTCCCGGTAAACACCGACTCACCAAGTGACGTCCCAGTAAGCGAGGAATCATTAACAGAACATTTTTGCAATCGTAGTTCCTAGTTCCCAGTTATGCGCAACATTGTTAACAATATTTGACCGGGACGTTAAAAATAATATTTCCACACTGTGATTTTAATATTCAGGAATATCATATTACCAAGCATACATATTTCTTGTGTACATCTTGTGCTCATGTCATGTTAATCTCTTTATGATCCTTGAAAAGGTATTAAGGGAAAGTATTGCAGTCACATTGAGAAAGTATGACAATCACATTGTGATGAAATGTGATTAATGTGATTATCACGCATTTCTATCTGGGAGCAACGTTCGGTCAATGATTTTTGCTTACTGGGATTATACCAGTTAAAATAATAATAATAATTTAATAATAATTTAGTAATAATAAATTACAGTTATTATAAATTAGTAATTGTTATTAATTTTTAATAATAATTTATGTCTCAATCAACGATGTAAGTGCAATATAACATGCATTGTATATAACAGTTACATTGTTGAGTGGAAAATTATAACAATACCGTTTTATATATTGGCTGGTGTTTACTGAGATGTATTACGTGTATAAATGCACAATATACGTAGTTGTATATACGACATACTGGGCCGTCCTGCACTCAGAATACTGATTTCTGTCGGCCGATTCTTCGAACAATTTGAAACCGGGTTCTCCTCGACAGTAGTGCCGATTATTTTCTCGAGTTGCCAGCAGAACTCACAAAATTATCATTTCTTACAATTGGTTGCCTCACACAGGCGCCTTCTGATTAACACTGAGAATTCAGCCCGTACGGTATTGTTCTTGGCGTCCAGCAGGCGCCTGAATGGGGAGGTCGGCGATAGGAGGTGGTAACCTTTGAGCTTTGGTCGCGGACAATCGAGGAATTTGTATGCACATTAAATTTTAGGAGTAACTCTACTCATGGGAAGGATGGAAGGGGTGCCGTTTTGAAATTTAACGCGATGACGACGGAACGTCCTGTAGCGCAAACCAATTATATATCCAGTAAAAATTAAAATTCTTCCATTAAAATAACATCCCAATCGAGCATTATTTATATAACAGCTATGTTATAATTTCGCTCTCAATAATGTGAATGCAATATTACACTATATGTTATATTTACATTGTTGAATGCGAAACTATATAACATAGATGTTATGTAAATAGTGTTCGATGTCGACTGGGATCAATATTTGTAATTTCCTACTTAACAATGTAAATGCAGTATAACGGATGTTTTATGTAACAATTATATTGTTAAGTAGGAAATTATAATATTAATGTTGCGTTACTGATAGTTGATGTTTATTAGATATATATGTGTGTGTGTTCGTATGTAACTAATATATATATATAATAATAATTACCAATACGCGTATAAAAAGCAAATTTATTTACCGGCTATTTATTCGCCCACGGTTTTACAATGTACGTGTTCAGATATCTGTTCGTGAAGAGGAACACCAGGATGTGCTTAGATACGTATGCGAACACCAGCAGACACGATAGATATTGTACCCATGCCCACTTGAGTTCCTCCCAGACACTCGGCTGATAATGAATGAAGTTCTCCACGTAGAAGAGCTCACCGATGACAGCCACCGTTTGATCGCTGAAGAAGCCGTTGCGCCACGTTACACGTTCGTTCGTGATTCTGGCTGAAACTGAGAAACGAGAGCTCGATATCGCGCGTGGTACCGCGTCCGCAGCCGGACTGTGGTCCGGGAGGTCAGACACATGCTGGGCGCTTCTTTCTTTTCGCAAAAGCGGAGGGATTCGATTGGCTAATCGTGCGAGCGTTATCATCGGCTGCACACGTCAAACCGCGCGCGAACCGCGAAGACGGACGTATGTACGTACACTTCCGGTTGAAATTGTACAGCAGCAGCTCGTCCAAAGTGTAGTCGGACAATTCTATGCTATGGTTGTAAGTCTCGTAGAGGCCCCCGCTGCGCAGCAGCCCTTTCTGCCTCAGCTCCAGGTCGCCGAAGAACCGTATCTCTTGAGCCTCTCGATTCAACGCATGGTCGAACACACCGATCGATTCTATCGTCGCTTCTATGAGGTGCTGTCGAAAGCAAAAGAGATTCATTGAATCGGACGAAACTACGACTACGAGTTTATTCGTAGCGTTTGCAACGAGGTATGTACCTTTAATTGAAAATTGAAGAACAGTAGGAGCTTGACGGACTTCACCGGCTTGTCCGTGTAGAAGTGCGCTTCGAACTTCAACGAGTCTTTCCGCCCGTCGTTGTTCAGGTCATTCTCTCGCACCTGAGAAAATATAAATTGAATATAAATATATTATATAACTCTGTTTCTCTCTCTCTCTCTCTCTCTCTCTATATATATATATATATATATATATATATATATATATAATTATCTAATGCGTTTATATTCAATTTATATTGAACTAACAATGATAAATGAATAAGTGATACTTAAGCGAATAAAAAAATTACAATAAAACGAAAATTTACGAAATTAATGAAAAATTACAAATAAAAATGTACGAGCAAGCGAAGACGCATCGAGTCTCGCGCTTCAACGTCATTAAGCTATCTCGACAGCAAGATAATTACTTTGGTCATTATACACTGATCTATGATCTCATTTTCCTTGTACGTTGTAAACGTGGTGCACACGATGGGCGCCTCGTAGGGGTCCACCTCCGCGAGCAGCAAGTACTTGTATTCGAAGTGCACATCCGGCGTTTCCGCGTGCATCCGATTTCGCATCCAGACACCTGGAGATTTTCAAACATCAGGTGCGTTATGTTGCGCCGTGAAACGCACCATGTCAGGTGACGACGATGACCGTGAAAAACGGATATTTCACCTCCCGCATGGTAGACGATGAATAGCGGCGTGATCAACGACAGTACGATGAACAGGAGAACGACGATCGAGGCGAAGGAGTATATTCTGCTCTTGTACTTGTAGACGACCGTGCTGGAGAAGATCTCGATCGCTGCCATTTTGATACCGCGCTCGTCGCCGCGGCAACGTCCGCAGGTGCGCGAGCATGTAGAGGCAGGTGAATTGCCGCGCGAGTGCGCGTAGGGCTACGTATTCACGACTGCTTTCTTCCTTCCGGAGGGCGCGGCTTGAACGCGGAAAAAATTATTTTTAATTGATTATAGTAATGATGTAAATAGTTACAACGGGGAGAAGGAAGTCGGTTCATTTGACTGAACCTTCCGTTGTTGTTCCAACCTGGTGGGGGTGGGGGGTGGAAACGAAAACTCGGCTGTAAGGAACAGGAAGATTCTTATGGGAAATTTCTACCCGGTCTCAGTTGGAAATATATACATGAAATTATATTTAATAATATTTGAAGATGCTGATCCAATGTTCCCAAAGAGCACGAAACGTTCCTCAGATCATCTTGGATGGGCTTAGGACGTCCTAAGACTCTACAGGACATCCTGAACACATTCTTGATGATTTTGAGACAGCTTGTCTCAAATCCCCTTATCTGGGCTCTTTGTCTACCGGGAGAGATATCGTTTCTATAATTGAATGAAAACAGCTTTTTCCATTTTTGCTCGGAAAGAGACCGAAGAAAAAATCGCGGAAAAATGGAAAAACTTCGTTTTTTCCTCATTTGTTTTATTCATTCTCGGAAAGAAACCGAAAAAAAAAAAACACGGAAAAATTGAAAAACCCATTTAGTTGCATAAAATGCGATTTTTCTCCCATGTATACTTCAAATCTTCATTTTCCTTTTCTAAGAAATTCCACCTCGGAAGCAACCGCCGTGGAGTCCACGTTCGCACGCCGTCGTCTAATAGTGATTCTCCACTTGACCGCCGTGTTCCGCAAGTCGCGTTCTTTCGAAGCCGCCGCTGACTGCAAAGTTCCGTCTTCGACGGATTCCCCGAGATACGTTAACGACCTGCAGTCCACTCGTCCGGTGTCTTCATCGACGTTCTTCGGCGTCTCGAGGTCGAAGGAGCCCCTTTGTACTTGAAACGGTGATACTATGTACTTCCGGTTTAGTCCAGGGAAACAGTTACCTCGATCCCTCTCGCAGGATGCTTCTCGTCCTTCCTCCGTCTTCCCATTGTTAAATCCAGAAACAGGCCTGTTACGATGAACTACAGACTCATCGCGGACCATCACCGAGGACATTCGTTTGAAGGAGACGTCAGTCTTTATGTTCGACGCCACTTCGGACGTGTTATCTACAAACGATCGTTTGCTTTGCGGGAAATTCAGCGGATCCTTGATCGGCCTCTCGGACTCCTTCAGCTCAGGATGCAGGGTGCTGAATCTGTCCAGGATCTGATCTCGCCAGGCTGAAGATCTAGCTCGATGACTCAAGCTGAAGAGGCATAATGATATTAATCCAAATTCGATGTTCTCATTTGTAGCAACCCAAACATGTATGCCTAAAAGATGTCTCAAAGACGTCTTTGGTGAATCCTCTAAAGGCATCTTATTGTCTAAAAGACGTCTTTACGACATTTTAGGACATCTTTGTTGGTTTGTTTTTTTTAGCTGCAATGCCGAACTGATGCAATAAGTTAGAACAAGGTCAAATATATTTGTCTTGTTCTGAGTGCAGCAGTTCAGCAATGAAGCTAAAAAGAACAGACCAAATGTTATCTAGGATTGTTGAACTACAAAGAACAAGGTCGGGCATACGCGCCGCTGTCCATCATAGTCTTCATCGAGATTGTTCCTCGTGTAGCGGCACTCATGACAAGATTGCTTCCTTTGCCAAAGATGGACGAAGACGATCGTGAGGTTTGCTCTGGTATCGCCATCATGTCGGATCCGTGCCGATTCGGAAGATCGGCACGAATTGCGAACAACGCCAGCGGCACGCGTTTCACGACGAGCTTCTCGATGATGTAGTCGTACTCGTCGGGGTCACATTCGATTACTCGTTCGTGCGACTCACGCTTGACGCAGCAAAAGAGAGCCTTCAATCGCTTCGTGATTTTGTGGCTGCTGCTGTGTCTCGCTTCGTCTTCCCGCTCGCTATAACTAGAATCAGCGGAATTTCTCGACGAGTCCGCCGACATTTTCAAATCCTCCGTAAGCGCCCCGTTTGTCAAACGTCGAATCAGTCGAGGTGATGAGAGAGCATCGCTCGCGTTGTCAGTCAATCTCGATTGTGGGCATAGCAAGCCAAGTTTAGAAGTAGCTAAATATCTAAAGTCCAGTCGAGAAATTAACAGATATTAATAATTTAACACTATAAAAAAAAGACCATGTATGTATAAACATGTATAACATATTTAAAAATATGAATATGTATTACAAATATATATAATTATATAAATCAATCACATCTAATTAAAAAATTGAATAAATTAATTACTGTTGTGCCGTACTTTATGAAAATAAAGTAAGATTCGTCTGATTCGCCGTAAATTTGCGCTACTTATCTAGTAAAGGTCCAATTTTTATCGCGAAACGTCTTATGCAGGATTCACATTACATCCGATATCCGACGTATGGTTATGCCGGTATCAGACTATGGATTAAAATTGAGATTGGATTGAAATATAACCAATCAGAACAAAGTTCACCAAACTTAAATTTAGGGAATCTCGCTCTGAATGGTCAAATTTTAATTCAATTTCAATCCTAATCCGTGGTCTGATACGTGCTTTAATCACAAAAAGGTTGCAGCACTTCTTTTCGATGAATTTTGCAAAGCATCTTCAATAGGAAAATCCAATAGGATCCAATAGGAATGAATCTCTTGAAAATAAATTCTTCTATTGAACATATTCGGATAGATCAGCCGCTCGGTCCTCCTGAGCTGTGTTCAGAAATCTTACTCAACGAATAGAATACCATTTAATTGATCAATCAAGATAAAAAGAGCAAAGATTTCTTTATCACGATTAGTTAGTTGTTTAATAAACGCTGTTCTACTTGTCGAGTAGGATTTCTGAACGCACCCCTAGACTTACAAAACTCTATTCTATAAATAGAATAAATTTTAATTAACCAATCACGATAAAGAAATCAAGAAATCACGACAAAGAAATGTTTGCTTTTCATCCTGATTGGTTAATTAAATGGTATTCTATTCGTTGAGTAGGATTTCTGAACACAGCTCAGAACTCTCTACCCACCGAGCAGGGTTTTGGAACTGAGCCCGGGGAGATATGCATCGGGAGCCTGGAGAGGGCGCACATGTCGATACCTTTCTACACTCAAGGGTGTGTTCCTATTTCTTACCCGGATATACTCTGATGGATTTCTGTAACCATCTGTCGACTAAGGAGTATTGTTGCGCAGGTATAATATATGGAAAAAAAGCTGCGCAACGACACATACCAACCTGATAGTTGTTGGTTACAGAATCCCTCTACAGGTAGAGAACCGAAATGCACTGTAAAAGCATGCCATTCATCTGTCCATAGCTGAACTTGCTACACTACCTTGCACTAGTTCTATTTCCTCCTTTCCTTTACACAAAGTCACTGCCATACATTTGTTTTTAAGTTTCGGAAGTGTATGGTAGTTCAACGACAAAGAACGGATCTTATTAATACACGGTACAGTACATAATATATTTATATACATATATAATAAAAATATAGTTGAAAGTTATTTTTGATTCATATGTGGAAATTATAATATAATGTCAAATATCGCATTATTGCATTCTTCTTATTTTTCTTTATATTCTTGGAATCGGCCATAATTTTTCTCGATACCCATCCATGAAACTTCAGCCTCGAGTTGTCCCCACTAGATTATACATTATCACAGCAATTTAACGTGACGACCATCGCGCTTCAACCAATGTCGGGTACTTCAATTGCATGATCTTTATCTCACAAGTATGTTGGGTGTCGTCATTTTCTAGCAATTTTGCACACGTGGAACTTTGCTAATATTGCCTCGCCCATAAAATTTAGAAAATCTGTTAAGAACTAACGGCTCGAGGTAAGTCACATTAGTAAATCGCTTTTTGTCGATACGTGAATCGTCACGCGACAAAAGGATAGCAATGGCTGCAAGGCGACGCTCGAAACTCTTGTGTACCGCGTGTTGTGTCGTGAGATAAGCATCGATACCGATTTTGTATAAATCTATCCGAGATTGAGATCGCTATTTGTAAAGTTTGCTGTAAACAAAGAAATATGCATTCAAAAATGCACATTTCGAATTAAGCTCGCCTCATTCTCACTGAATTTTGCAACGTTAACATGAAATAAGTCTGTTCTTTATAATTGAATTGGCTGCACTAGCTGGCATTAGTCCATTTTTTTCAGAAAACACAACGTCTAAGATCAAGACATAAGATGTCTTAAAGATGTTCTTAAGTTGTTGGAACACGGAACATTTTAAAGATGTCTTATAGACATCTTATGTTCTGATTTTGAGCATTGTGTTGCTTGAGTTTCCTTCTTTTTTTACATAAACTCTACACAGACTATATATGGCGATATTAATTTTGTTTAATAACAACTATAGTGAGCTCTTACATTCGATTGGTATATTCTTTCAGATCTAATAATATAGTCCAATTAAATGCAAGAACTCACTAACTATGGTTGCTACTAAACCGGATTAACGATGTTGTGTAGACAAAGCCATAGCTACATACCTATTTTTCTCTAAGTTCCAAAAGTATGTACTTGTTCAAGGACAAAGAACAGATTTAAGAATATTGTGCCAAGTGCATGCGAATGTTGTGTACAAGTGAAAAATGGTAAAACTACATTGAGTTTTTTTTACAGATTCTGAAGTAAACAGTTATATATAGCATGGATCAGGAATCCAGGCGCAAGGGCCCCAGAAGCCCTAGCGCTGATTCGGATGATTCCTCGCATAGAAGAAGAAGGAAGTATGACCGATCGCCATCACCCAGGCGAGTCGTCAGGTATCGGAGATCCCGGTCCAGAGACAGGAGATCCCGTTCAAGTTCCAGAGATAGAAGAAGAAAGGATCCCAGCAGATCTCAAGATTGGAAGCAGCAGGCTCCGCCGACTCAGTCACAGAGCGCTGTGCCTAATCCGAACAGTTCTACAGGATATGTTTCAGCAGTACATAATCAATATCAGGTATCTATAAATAGAAATAAAATCTGTTCAATTGACTTGTGTAGTTTATCTCCAATGATGTTACAAGCCTGTTTGATGCGTGCTTTGTATATATATTTTCTTTGTGCATTTTCATGCACAGGCACCTCCACCAAACACAAGTCAACCACCGCCACCTTTATCAGCTTACAACCAGGGTTATAACAACTACAGTTACAACTATGGCGCAGGTTACGACTATAATTATCCGCAGCCTGCTGGTTATCGAAGTGTAAGTTCTTTCTTAGATAAAGAGCGATGCTTTTGGGCAGGGGTTTTTTTTAAGGAGACTGACGGTCTGGACGATTCCACGTCTGAGAGGAATCGTCCGCGGTGTCGAAACAATGCGTAGTTGAATAGACTGAGCGTATACTCGCGAGCTCTTGAAACATCTACACACGTTATGCAAAATACCGTTCTGCTACCGATTATAATTTATATTCGGTAGCGTTTTGTCCTTCCAAGACGTTACATTGAATCGCAATTGTGAATCCCTCCAGTAAGTATATAACACCCGCGTTATTTATTTTACTGGCATCGGCATTGGAAGTTCGGTAATATTGACCAGACGTTACATCTTCAAGACTCTTCCATGTATTAGCCAAAGTCCTCACATTTGAATATCGTCCGACGAAGGTAAGGGTCGATAAGAACGTCGCTGCAATATTTGAAACTAATTCAACGCATTTATTCTGTTAGGATTATCCGCCACCCAACTGGCAAGGAAATCAGGTGTCGTATAATAACCAACAAGCACCGCCACCACCGACTCTGGCATCGCAGCAAGAATCATCGAGGCCGATTGACAGCGGTTCTGCGAGCTTGGTGACATCCATGTCGAGACCAGAAGATGTCAAGAAAGAAGGTACGTTTCGAGAAAAATATCTCGACGTCTTAGTACAATGAATCCAGACTGACAGTATTGTTGTTCCTTCAATAAATATGCTAGCTATCTCGACATATTTCACACAATATATATATTGTGAAATTATATACATATATATATATCAGTGAACATATCGATTTTGTATACAATCTTCAAACTCTCTTCGAATTGAACACCTAGCAGCAATCGCAGCTGAGGTGAAACAGCAGAAAGCGACATTGGCGAAGCAACGTGAGGAATATGTTAAGAAATCAACAACATTGCAACGTGAACTGGAAATTCTGCGTCAACAATGTGACGAGATCGGCAAGGAGGGTGGACGTGAGAACAACCGCATCATAAAAGAAAACCAAAAGTTGCAGGTAAGTAACGCACTCATCGTCGTCTCATCGCGTATATTCAGGTGTGATTTGAATCATCTGTCACACTCAAATGTGCTTGCAGATCGAGATACAGAATAAAATGAAATCTATTCACAACGTCATCGACATGCTCACCGGCATTATCGGTGACAAAGTCACCGTGGAAGATCTGAAGAACAAGTTTAAGCTAGAATTAAAACGCTCGAGAAGCCCGAAAGAGGACTTCCCGAAAGGGAAGTCCCCCTCGCCCGACAGGTCGTCCGCTTCTGATTCCGATAAAGAATCCAAAACGGATAAAGATATTAGGGAGAGAAGATCGTCGGAGGATAAGCCAATGTACAATTTCGTACACTACGATCCCGAAATGCATTGGTGTAAAGTCTGCGATATCTTTCCTAAGACAGCAAAGGAGTATTTAAATCATCTACATAGCAATGAGCACAAAGAGGCATGCTTAGTAAGTAACATTTTCTACACCGATACATTCATCCTAAGGGGAGACCGAAGTACTCGAAGTTAGCGAAAGTTAGATTCTAGACAGACTCTTGTGCGAAAAATCATTGTTACAAATAATACCTTGTTAGTTATTAGAACAGGTAAAAGAAAAGATCACGTACCGTGTGTGTTATTTTGCGAGAGAAACAAACGGATTTACATAATAATTGAGACTATATGTGTATTTGTAGTTCAAACTATATATTAGTAAGTGGATGATATATTGCACAGTATAATCAACAAGCAGGTACTCTTGGTACACAAGTACGATTGATGTACCATGTATCAATATCTTTATTATCGAAAAAGAAACAGAAAATACCGAGTTTCTCGCGCCCGCTGTCAAACCGGTCTCGCTAACACGTTGCATTTTTTTATACGACAGGAACGCAAGATAGTTGATATGCCTTGGCATGAACGAAACGGCGAGGGGACAGAAAAGGAGGTGCTCCATTACCCTGGCCTGCCGACGAAAAGAACACCTATCAAAGGTATGGTCAATTACAGTGGGCAATTACTAATAGAATATAATTCCGTAGCTTGTGCACAGATTACTGTGGTGTTCGGTATGTATTGAAGAGGTCAACAATTGCGAATTGCTCGAAAATATGTACGCCCTCGCGTTTCCTCGTTATTCGTATTCGATGAGACGGTTAGAACCGGAGACATGATCTCAGTCCATGTGTCTCGGCACATGTCGGAAATACGACGTCGTCGTGCTTGGTCAAATAACCGTAATCGTAATCGGCGAACGTGCAATCATCGCGTGACCGACGCTTCGGTCGGCGGCGTATTTTCAAGCAATGTCACAAACACCACAGCGATGCATTGGATTTTAAGTGGATTCAAGAAGCGCACTCTTTCCGAGACTTTCAGGCAATACGTATCACTCTTTGTCGCAATCACATGTGTCTGATTTCACTTTGCGCAACTATCAATTTTCCTCGATCCCCGATCGTCTAGGGTGTTTAACCGCCATCAGGATTAAATCTGTCAAGATCTGATCCACCGTGGAGTATTGTGCATTACTTGGCAGAAAGTAATGACGTATTTTGTGCCATGCTTATATAAATGAGATGTATATATTTATATACACACATGTGTAAGTTTGGTGAAGTTACGCGAAGACTAGAAGTTGCTCGGCTCTATGATTTTAGTTATGTTATTTATTTATTTATAAACTATGAAGAACAATACAAAATTGTATATTAATCGCTTGTAAAATATATTGCGAACGCTCTTTCGTGCGAATCGGACAGTTCTCGCGCCACAATCGAGCGCCGTGCAACAATCGAGTAAATTCTGACGATTTTCCAGGCCGATCGTGAGAAGACGAGCGATTGCAGTATGTTCCAATGAATAATGTAAATATATGTAATAATGTAATGTACGCTTATACTTATACAGTGTATTATTATATGCATTATTACTTTGTACATCATGTAGATAACAGTTGCGTGAGAAATAAAATCGAGATTCTCCCTTGCTCTCCCACCTGTTGTTCCGCAGATCACGCCGTGGGACTATGCAAGGAAATTTAATATAATCGGCCATTTTTTACCGAACATCTTTTAATGTATTATTTTTGTTTTCAGTGACATGAATGTGTCGTGGCAGAGCACAAGGTCATTCTCTATGAACTTATAACGCTTTACCCCTCTTCGAAGCTTAAATAATGCTAACTGCGCGTCTATTTGATTATAGGTCTGCAATTCTTCAGCGCGGCTACAGCATGGTACTGCAAACTCTGCGATTCGTGGATCGGTGATCTCCATTGCGCTAGTCTCCACCTGAAGTCCAAACGACACTCAGAGAACTTTTCTGTAAGTGATTGATTCGGAGAGCATCAGGTCAAATGTTTATTACTTGGAAATCGGGGAATTAAGTGGATATTTGTCCACAAGTCATATTATCTCATTATTTATAAACAAATGTATGATTGACCGGATTTTATTAATATTATCTCCGTTAAAAATCATAGAAAAAAATAGTTTCATCAATTTATTCCATCTGGAATTTTTAACAAATTACCTGGAGAATCAAGGAATTTTCACGGAATTGTTTTCTTCGGATTCGAGTAGACACGAACGAGCTGACCTAATTGACATTACATTTGTTGTTCAGCGTTTCGTGGACCAGAACCCGCATTGGGAGACCGATTGGATGGCTGATCGTGAGAAAGCGTTCTCCGAGGAGAAGCACAAGCAGATACAATTAGAGCTGCAGAAGCAGAAGGATGATGAGCCGCCGATGAAGTCGAAGAAATCCAAGAAGAACAAGAAAAAGTCGAAGAAGGCCAAGAAGCGCAGGAACAGAAGCAGCGCGAGCGACACGTCCAGCGAGTCGGATAACTCGGACACAGAATCCGACCAGGACACCACCAAGAGCATACGCGTGGCGATGCGGAACAAAATGAAGGCCTCAACGCAGGCGATCCTGAACGAGGAGATTGATTACCCTCGCTTGAAGCTGAAGAGCCACTGGTCGAAATCACAGGCGGGCCAGTCGCCAGCACCTGCCGAGCAGCACCCGTCCGAGTCGGATGACAGGCAGCTCCTCAACTCCATCAGGGACAAATTGAAGGCCAAGCAGGAGGAAGAGATGAAGAGCATCAGCAGCCGCAAGATGGATAAGACGATCGAGAGCGAGGAAGATATGCAGCAGGGTAATTTCTCGAAGAAAACAGAGGAGCTGGAGGCTTGGGGCCCGAAGGAGCCGCCGAAGCCGTTCTGGATCAAGAAGGAGGAGGAGAAGCCGCAGCCGCAGATCTCGAACAAGCCGATCGAGTTGCCGAAGCCGGAGGAGATGCCTAAGCCGCACATGGGCTTCTGGACGAAGCAGCAGGTGAATATGACGGTGAAGCCACCCGAGAGTAAATCGGTGGAGAAGGAGGAGGAGAGGGACCGCGACAGGGATCGCTACAAGGACGATCGCGACCGAAAGTACAGCAGATACGAGAGAAGGAGCCGACGGGACCGAGACAGAGACCGGGACCGGGACAGGGATAGAGATCGGGACCGGGACCGGGATCGCGATTACTACGAGGACCGCCGGAAGCGAGACAGCAACGACTCGCCGCGGCGCGAGAGAAGCTGGCGCGACAGTCCCAAGAGAAGCTACGACAAGTACAGCAAGGACAGACGGGAGGATAACAATTCGTCGAACGACGAGTCCAAGTTCGAGAAGAAGACGAACGAGTCGGCGTCCAAGTCGAAGAAGGGCGTCGTGCCGGTGAAGAAGGTCACCGCGCAGGTGTCCAAGGGCAAGTTACCGTTCATCGGTAGACTGCCGTTATTCAAGAAGAAAGCCGAGGAGCCGAAGCTGCCGGACAAGGACCTCACTCCGTTGCCGTACCAGCAGAGCAAGTTCGAGGACACGCCGAAGGTGCCGAACGAGATCATCAATCCGCCGGGGGTGGTGCACATCACCAAGCTGGCGACGCCGGTGAGCCTGAACAGCGCGGTCCCGCCGGTGAGCGGCAAGCCGAACCAGCCGATGAAGATCTTGGTGGCGCCGCCGCCGCCGGTGCTGAACGAGAGCAAGCCGACGCCGCAGGTGGTCGACATGGAGATCGACGACCAGTCCGAGGAGACGGTAATCGAGGAGCAGCCGATAGTGGAGCAGCAGAAGCAGCAGCAGCCACCGAGCGTGTCGAAGTTGCCGTTGCCGCCGCACCCGCCGCCGCCGTTGAACAGGCCGCCGCCCAGCTACACGCCGGCGAGCCAGCAGCCGATGCAGAGTAGACCGGTGCAGAGCACACCGGCGCAGTTCACGCCGAACCGGCCGCCCCCGCCGTTCATGTCGAACCCACCGCCCTTCGTCCAGGCTCCCACGAGGTTCCCGCCGCATCAGCCGGTGCGGCCGACCAACCAGACCATGCCGCCCTTCATGAACGCGCCGCCGCCGCAGATGCCGAACGCCGCCGGCGGCAGTTTCGTGTCGAACCACCAGAACCCGCCGCCACCGCCGCCGTCGGTGGACAGCGCAGTGCACTCGGACGTGGCCGACATCCCGGAGCCGAGCGAGAAACGACCGCCCGCGGATCCCAGCATCCCGCTGCCGGACGACCTTCAGGAGGCTCTCAACATCATCTTCCCCAAGGAGGAGGCCGCCGAGACCAAGCAGCAGAGCCACCCGGAGGCCAACGTCATGTACTCGTCCATGTACAGTATGCTCGGCTGCGTCGGCTACGGCCCCGAATATATGGACCAACCGCCGCCTGAGATCATGCAGGCGGAGGCCGAGGCGGACACGCAACCTGGCCCCGATGACCTACGCATGCTGGGTATAGACGAGGGAGATACGATTCTGTAAATCGCTGGCGCATGCACATATCGAACGCGTGAGCGACTCCTCATCTCCGTCGGCCGATTGAGAGCGAGAGATTAATTGATTGATTTACAGATGCTTATCATTCACTCGATAATATGTCGTCGCACGATAAATAACGCGTGGGTATTTCGGCGGTGGCGGGATTTACTGGCGACGCGTACTTGGCACGTTGAAACCGAATATTTGATAAGGAGAGAGAGAGAGAGGGAAGCCATCACGATAAAGACGGTCGCGAGATACCGTGAGTAGAGATACACATACATACTCGGGTGCGTAGGCTCTGTAAAGATTACTTAACGACGTACGCTATTTTGGAGCTCTGTATTGGATTATCTGTTAGACTGTAACATTTGTTATCTCTCGTTAGCGTAAGATTGTCTCCTTTGTTTCTCCTGGTCTCGGTCCATTGGTCTTGGCATTGATGACGCACTCTCTGTATGATTAACGTCCGTGTCGCATTAAGTTTCCATTATCCGCCGCCACATCGAGTCCGGTGGCTCGGAGCCTCGTCTGCGTCTTGATTCGATGTTACAGAACTTATGTTTATGCACGTATATTCTTTCGACCCTGTGTACGTTCGCTAGGAGATCGGCGATCTGGGCAAAACACGGCTTTATCGTTTATCTTATCTTGCATTATAAGAAGACCAGATGGCAGGGACGAGATATGTAATATCCAATAAAAAAAAAACACACACACGCCGCATATTGTGTCACTCGAACGTATCATATATTCTTCTTTAATATTTATATTGCAAATCCGTAACACTCAAGCTTTGCGTCATATAATATGTACAATACCAAAAAACTTCAAATGTAAAACAAAGGCCACTACGCTCGTCGTGTCGATTGCGATTTTTATACGTAAAAGGCTCGTCGTAGTGGCCGCTCGAACGCTGGAATGTAATGTCGTGCGCTCAAAGGGGGAGAGAAAGAGAGAGAGAGAGAGAGAGAGAGAGAGAGAGAGAGAGATACACAGGCGACGTTAACCTTCGAATTAAAATATTCTTTTTCCAAGGAATCACTCTGTCTCGTTACCCTTCGCTCTTTTAATATCTTTCGATCGGTCTCTTAAGATAATATCACATCTCTTACTGTCTCGCGAGGTCGACGTGTGTAGTACCTATTTAATCTCCGTCGTTTCGAAATGCAATCGGAATTATTATTGCTGCTGTCGCGAGTACACACTCGAGTGCGTTCCTGCGATCTTCGAGGTAAACCCCCTCGCGATTCTCCGAGACGATCGGCTGTTGGATTTCACGAAATCGCTTAATCTACCACAGCGCTGCGCGTTTAGTCTACATAGTTACAGTACCGTATTGTACAGTACCGGGAATGAACCTTGTCCGGTTGATCAGTCTACGTCAGTACGAGAGTGATGGTATCGCGGATATATCAATTAGTACCAAATTTCGTTATCGACGTACGTAATAGGCAGAGTGTTCGTTAGCGCGTATAATGGCATGTCCGGCAATAGGACAGACACGTCTCGCAATTTTCACAGTATCTCGTGTAGAGCAAATATATAACAGTTCAGTTTCTATTATTTTACCGTGGAATGGTATGTGGAAACCATGTGGAATGAGCATCGATCGTTTGCGCGATCTACACGTGCTACTAACGGAAAGAAGTCTGGATCCCACAATAGGTGTAGCGGAACCTTTTAGCCTTCTGCTCTCAGTGATAAAATGGGGAGCAGTCCGATTGACCATGTTGCAATTGATCACTACGAGCCACAGTCAGCCGTAGTTTGGTGTATTTTTAATGTCAGCCAATCCGGTGGTTAACAGAGACATGGTCAATCGGGTCCCACCCGATAAAATGTAATACGATTTACGGCAGAAGACGTTTCCCCGTGCTCCCGAAAGTCGTAATGACGCTTAAATCTCAGCAGAATTGCAACGTTTGGTGGCGCTAGGAACGCTTTTTGCGAGAAATTACGTTACAATTTATTATTCGGAGCAGGAGGCTAAGTCCGGATTTACAATGGGTGTTGTAAGCTTTTAGCATTTTGCGCTAAGCGATAAAACGTAACGTAATTTCGAACAAAAGACGTTTCTCACGCCGCCAAAAGGTTACGCGTTTGAACCTTAGGAATTGCGTCGTCTGGTAGCACTTTTTACTGGAAATTACAGTTGCAGTTTAGCGCTTAAGCCTGTTTTACAATGCATTGCGTGTCGCTGTCGGACGTCGAAATGCAGGCGACGGTCCAATGAAAAAATGTATTTTTCGAAAACGAGTTCTCGTTGGGCCATCGGCTGCGTCCCGATATCCAACAATGACATACGATGTACTGTGTAACATGCTTTAAAGCAGAGCTCGGCAAGATCTGCACACTTCGTCCGATTTTTTCAACTCGCTCCACCTAACGTTATTCCTCTTACGTCTTCCCCCGCGCGAGGCTCAGTAACGTACGACGCGTGTTGACGCGTTCTTTTTTAAGTGGTATCTCCAGTAATCCACTGATGACTGAAACGACCTTTTATGTTATTGAAAAAAAAAAAGAATGAAGTATAATAATAAATATAATATAATAAGGAACCAACATTCAGTCCGACTTTCGGAATCTTTTACAGACGAAATTAGGAACGAGCTACATATTGCACGCAACAAGCCGCATAAGACGCGGTAAAGTTTACATTAAAAACACTTAAAAAAAAAACGCGTCAACAATGACACCTTATGGGTGGCGTGGAAAGCTATTGAATAGTGCTAGGCGAAGCGAGCTAAAAATTGGACGAAGTGTGCAGATTTTTCCGAGTTCTGCTTTAGAGCAAAAGACTAAAAGCTTGCTACACACACCTATTGTAAAACCAGCTTAAAGGAGGCCTGTTTTCGGATTCTCGTTTTTTTCGTCTACGTGTACACGATGGCGACAGAGATAGTGAGAGAGAGAAAGATGACGATTTGCGACAACGTCGATGTGTGTGTGGTGATCCCGTCGTAAACGGCGATAAGTACTACCGTGCTTCAGATCTGAAGCACCAGGCCTGCACTGGAGATATTGTCACCGCCACCCGCCGTCTGACTAGCTTGCGTGCAAACCAACACAGGCGCCACGCACACCTGAATGGGAATGTTCTCCTGCTCCGCCTTCAGTATCTCATCCCAACAAGACACCGGCTTGTCGATATTCAGTGCTATTCGCGTGCCGTCCACGATGGAAGTGGAGAAGCTGTCGTCCATGATCAGTGTCGCTTTCTTCACGTCGACCTGTGTAACATGCGACATTGTTTTAGATTATTGTTGTATTTGTCACGAGTGCCTGTAGTGATTCTCAATTTTGATATCTTCGTTCGAGTGTAACGATAGTTTCGGGTCTTTCAAGTGTTAGAAATTGTAAGCAGTTGGTTAAACTGTCAGGAATTGTGAGCTTTTTCCAGTTGGCAAGTGACACGGAACAAAATGAGTACAAATTCAAGACGTGTGCGCGCACACACACACAAAAGAATACAGAAAATATGTAAAATATATCATGTTTTTTTTCAAAAATAATCTCTATGAATTGAGAGGAAAAAATATTAGATATAGAAAGAACGATAGTTCAAACAATTTTTAATTTGAAGATATTCTTTTTATATATCCAATACTTTTTCCTCTCAATTCATGAAAATTATTCTTGAATAACATGGATATATTTTCGGTGGAACTATATAGAGAAATTTCTTTATGTAAGAACATGTTCTATCTTGATATAAAACTATTATATAATCTTACTTACATATATGAGAACACGAGTTGTGAGTCGATATTAATTTCTTTTTCTGTGTACGTTTGGTATTTACAAGCTATTTTTTTCACGAATCCCCACTTGTATTCTCTTTTAATACTCGAAGTCCGCACGATACTCACGTTACTCGTAGCACACACGTGTCTGTGCGCAGTGAGCGACGCCTTCGCTGCGGCAGCCATCGTATTCTTCCAGACGGAGTCTTTGACGGTAAATATAGCCTGGTACGCCAATGTGTGCACATGAATCCTCGTGAGCTCCCTGGCGTCCTTGATCGACTTGCTTCTCAGGCGAATCAGCTTGAACAACGTTCTCATCTGGTCCAACACCGTGGCGACTCGCGGGGTCGAGTTGGCCACCAACGAGATGTTGCCGTAATACATGGTGTTGTACAGATTCGCGATCTCTTGCTCGTTCATTCCCAAACTGTCGGCGAAGGGCACCACCAAGTCGCACAGCTCGAACAACAGCTTGTCCTCGGCGAAGGAGGCCATCTCGAAGTGGATCCTCGTGGTGCTCGACCGTTCCATCATCTGACGCTTCACGTTCATCAGCAGATTCTTGCGCTTGTCTGCGAAAACAACGCGTGACTCGAGCATTCCAGTCTTTAACACGGGAATCGAGACGCGTCTGGCGATGCAGAAGAGCTTACCTTCCCGGAACGGATAATTGTCCATCATCTGGAGGCCGCTGACTACTAATAAATCGGGATCGTAGGTCGCCAGAGCCTCGTTGAAGGCGTCGAACGAGCTGATCATTGGATTGTTCACGTCGTTGTGAATGATGTACCTGGTGAGAAAGGTGTAAAAGTATGAGAGGCTCTCCGATCGTCCGATTTAACATGATCATACATATATATGTAAAAGATACTCTGTCTGTCCAGTACCTGTTTGCTCTCGCGCTGGAATAAGGACCCCACACCTCGCCGTGCTTGTATTCCATGATGAGATGGATATCGTCGCGCTTTACCTCGCCACCCACGACCTTTATCACCTGTGGGATCATCTGGTGGAGAGACTTGGTCAGCCTGGCCGCGAGTGTCACGTCGCAGCCCTCTCTCGCAAATCGCATCGCCATGACCGCGGCGTTCCCGCCGATCGTCGAGTAAGACGAAGGGAAGGAACGCGCCTTTGCCACCAGCTCGTCGAACAGAGTCCTGTTTGCCATGTAGCGCCTGCGAAGTTTTCGGCATTTTCAGCGACGTAACAATATAGAAACAGTTCATATCAGGATGTTTTCAAGTAATCACAATACGTCTTGATGCTGAATTTATAATTATTAACTCGTCCTACCGTGTTACCAGTGGTATATGCTGAATTTGCCGTTCAAGTTAGTTCGATATTTCAGCTCCAAAGCGAGATATAATCATAATGAATATAATATAACGAAATACACTTTGATAATTACGATGGCATATTATTATTATTATTTGAATGTTAAGAATAATTGCTCCTTTTTGATCTAACCGAACGAAGAATTTTCAAGGACCTTTTAGGAGCAAAATGCAAATATATTATAATGCCATTAGAATATTGATATTAATTAGTATTAGTATTATATTAGTGGGAAAAGAAAACTGGCGTGTAACGCACGTGCTGAATATTTTCAGCCAATCGTACGTATCGTCTATTTTTTTTTCTTTTTTAAGATTATGTACCGGGTCTCTATTTGTAATCGGTGCACCAAAGGGAATTTTTCCGTAAGTAAATAAACAATTATTATAAGACATATGTTGCCAAGTAAAATTTGACTCACAACAGGACGACGTGAACCACGGGTCCACCGTTGGGTCACGTAAAATTACGTCCGGCACGGCACATATTGAGCCGAGAAACAGTACACTTCGAGTATTCTACGGGGATTTTTCGGGTATTCCGTGTAAGTCACATTCGGAGGTTAGGACTTACTCGGCAGCGGCACCATGGCGGAAATAATAGGCGAAGCTCTTGAACAGCTCGAGCTCGGTGTTGATCTCGTCGAAATGTTCGGGCCGGCCGACCTCGTCCGTGTACCTGAGCAGGTGTTTCGCGTCGACGAACACGTCAGTGCAAACGCCATAACCTATCGCGACTTGCGGCCGACTGGTGATCACGTGCTTGCTTTCGAGCCGCTCAAGGCCGTGCAGCAGGGTGAGCAGGCGCTTCTGCAGCACGTCGTCGGTGTTGCGATAGTATATCGCCACGAGCACGATCACCGCCGTGAAAAACGTGCCGAGCCCTAACCCCTTCTTGTAGCCCATATTACCGCCGATGCGAACCGCGTTGCGTTGCACGCGCAACTGTCCGTACCGTCGCACGGCTATACGTGCATTTTCCGAGTTGCTGCGCAGTTCTGCGATATCTATAGATATCTGATAACGGTGACAGGCGAGGTCAACGGTCATCTGACGTCAACATCCGCGTAGTCATACTCGCCGGTCGTTCGAAAGTAGATTTTCTGATTAACACGCGACATTGGTAAAAAGAAAAAAAAACTTTTATTGTGTATGTTTCTGCTCCCGTACAACATGCATGTCTAAAAGACGTCGCGGAGACGTCGCTTATGACGCTTTAGAACGTCTCAATGTTCTCCGGGATGATATACTGCAGCGGTAAAGCTTACAAATATACTCGGGGCTTACCGAACTTAGAAAGTATATTGCTCTGACATCGTCAAAATTTACTCGAAAGCTTTGATCACTGAAGTCGTGTTTGTGTTGAGCAATGAGTATTAACGTACCACGACGAAATACCGTCTACTGGTTCAACGATGCCCTCCCTTTAAATACTCGCTCTAAAGACAAGACAGTTTCAGTACATTAATTTGCTTAAAAAAAAAAAGCAATTCGTTGCATTACGCAACGTTCTGTTAAATATCTGCTTTAAGTACACGCAGTGTATAAAAACAGTCTACTCCGTTTCGACGGTGTGAAATTCTACGAGTTTCTCTTCAAGATCTCTAAACACCTTGTGTCACACATGCGACACAAGATTGTGTTTCATAGGCTTCGTTCCGATATTCAATGTTAATACTGAAGATCTATAGTGCATGTGACATGAACTATAGATTTTTAGTACTGGCAGTGAATATCGGAACGCAGCCATAGTTCGCCCTGATAGAAATATTTTCCTGAAAATATAATGAGTTTACTGAAATATATTTGAAATTCTTTCCCTCAATTTATTCTATTTCATTATTAATCTACCTATATTTCAGTAAAAATTCAGTTTTCAATTAAAAATTCAGCAAATTTTATATCCAAGATTTCAAAAAATTTGTTATTACTTTTCAACGTTATAATTTAACTTTTCTTGTATTTCACAGTATTACGTTAAATTTCATAAAGAACATTTATGATTCACTTTGAAATAAATTCAGTAATTTTTCTATAATTTTCATTTCACTTCTCATCGATTTTACAGTACTTTCAGCAAAATATTTCCACGTCAGGACACACATATATATATATATATATATATATATATAATTCAATTCGTCTCGCGTGCTCTCCAAATATGAGGCGAAGCAAAAAAATATAGAAACTTAATTTAATATATATATATATATATATATAAAATCACGACGATAATAATAACAATACAAATAGTCTTACACGAAAACCTGGATCAAGCAGGAATCGCCGGATGAGAGAGGAAGCACTATATACAATATTCCACGACCCTCTCTATCTCTCTCTCTCTTTCTCGGTAAAAACTTCTCCGACCTTTCGCGAGAAATCCACACACGTCGAACTAGTGATCCGACAATTGCATACGACAAAGTCACTCGAGGAACATTGAATATCCACAGATAGGATACGTCCGAAAGATAGAAGAGATTCTGATGACTCGACGTCAGGTAAAGGTGGATCCAGATCAAGGGAGCTTACATCTGCGAACGAGTTCGAAAAATGAGTGTGGACGGCGCCGTGAGTATGAACGAGGAATGAAAATTAGCGAACGTGTTCGATCTCGTGCTGGTACATCAAAGAAAATATTCCTTTGCGCTTATCGCATTCATTCTGTCTGTATAGGTGAGCCCAGATCAAGCGAACAAACCCGAACGACGCAAACGAACAATTAGTCCAGATAAACAGAAATATTGAACATTCCTGATGGGAATATTTTACTAAAAATATCATGAAAATTTGCTGAAATGTATTTGAAAATCTCCCTTACTGACCCCATTTCATCATTATTTTATTAATATTTTCTTGAAAAATTACATCGATATTTCAGTAATTTTTCTTTAAAAAGTCACACAGTTTTCAGTATTATTCAGTGAATCTTATGATATCTGATATTTCAAAATATTTTTACTATTTTTAAATCGTATACTTTCTCCATATTTCACAGTATTACATTGCATCTTATAAAGAAAATTACGATTCATTTATATATATATATATATATATATATATATAGTAATTCGTCAATAACTTTTATCTTATTCTTTACCGATTTCATAGTACTTTCAGCAAAATATTTCCATGAAGGGTAGCATGCAAAAATATTTAATGTATATTTGTATATAAACAGTAGTTGTTTTATTCCTCAAAAAAGTCACGCGTCTACTTACGGATTAATACGATAGACTTGGTCTACAATAGTGAGTTTAAGGCTCCTGTATCCTCGCTTTGGCGGTCCTCATTTGATGACATCAGAAGCGAGAAACCGCACGAATACCGCGATATATTTTAATATACGATTTCTCGCATCGACGTCATCAAAGGAGGACAACAATAGCGACAACAATAATGAAGACCTTAACAGGCTGACCAATCACAACCGATTATTCCCCTCGCATTCGACTGTGATTGATCAATTTCTCAAGGCAGACGCACATCTGCCAAAACACCTGTCGCAGACCGGGACTAATTGAAAGGGATGCTCCGCAAAGCAGAAGAAGCAAAACTATAATCGCAAGTGCAACGCTCGTACTAACTTTCTCGGACTTGTTCACATTCTTTCTTCGTTTGTTCGCACGGTTTGGACCGCTCTTCGTATAAATCAACATTAACTCGCTCGTGTTCGTTCGCCCGGTCCGGATCCACCTTAAGAATCCTCGACACCGCGGTTTACATAACTCCCAAGCGCTTCGCCCACGTTCCTCATCCTCACTCCTTGTTCTTCGTGTGCAGGCGCATGTGCTTCTTCAGGTTGTCCAGCCGGTTGCAGCGCCGGTCGCAGTAGTCGCATTTGTACGGCATCAGGTTGCTGTGCACGACCACGTGGCCGTTGAGGTGGCTGATCTGCTTGAAACGCTTGCCGCATATGGTGCAGGCGTAGGGTCGCTCGTTCATGTGCGCGGACGAGATGTGCGTCTGCAGATTGGTCTTGCGCACGAAGGTGGCCTTGCAGACGTCGCACTCGAAGGGCCGTACGTTCGCGTGTATCGCCAGGTGCGACTTCAGTACGTTCTTGTGCTTGAAGTTCTTCTCGCAGAGGTGGCATTGGAACGGCCGCTCGTCGTTGTGCACCTTCTTGTGCACCGACAAGTGGGCCAGCTGTTTGAACATCTTGGCGCAGATCTCGCACTGGTAGGTGCGCCCGTCCTCGTGGGCGGCGCTCACGTGCCGGCGCAGCGTGTCCGCCAAGGTGTAACGCTTGCCGCAGATCTTGCAGCAATACGGCCGCTCGTTGGTGTGCGTGAGCAGGTGCCCGTTGAGGTTGCGCTTCTCGAGGAACCGGGCGCCGCACACGTCGCACTGGTAGGGCTTCTCGCCGTTGTGCACGTACATGTGCTTCTTCAGCGAGTTCGACAGGCTGAAGCGCTTGGAGCAGACGGTGCATTGGAAGCGGCGCTCGCCGGTGTGCACCAGCATGTGCGACTTCACGTGGCCGGCCTGCTTGAAGCGCTTGCCGCAGACCTTGCAGTCGAACTGCCGCTCCTGGGTGTGCGTGAATATGTGCCGCTCCAGCACGCTCTTCGTCGTGAAGACCTTCTTGCAGCAGTCGCACTCGAACAGCCGGTAGACGTCGCGCATCTTCGGCGCGTCGCCGCGGTGCGAGTGCGTGTGCTGCTTCAGCGTCTCCAGGGAGTCGAACTTGACGCCGCAGACGGTGCATTGGAAGGAGCGGTAGTCGTGGTGCGTGAGCGAGTGCTGGCTCAGGTGGCCGAGCTGCTTGAAGCTCTTGTTGCACACCTCGCACACGTACGGCCGCTCGTTCGTGTGCGACCGCATGTGCCTCTCCAGCACGCTCGGGAAGCTGAACTTCTGCTTGCAGTAGGTGCACTGCAGGGTGCACGGCATCTTGGAGACGCGGCTGTCCGCGGGCAGCTTCCGCCGACCGCCCGAGTTCTTCACGGTCTTGCCGTCCCCGACGGCGTCCGACGCGTCGCGATCTTCGCCGGAAGCCGCGTCGGCCGCCTCGCGCGACGCTCGGATCTCCTTCTTCTCCTCGTCCCGCACGTTCCTCAGGTGCGTTGACGCGTTGACGTAGCTCCTGGTGCTCCGACGAACGACACAGTCTTCCTCGTTTAACTTATCCTGCCCGTGCGACTGCTTCACGTGCTTGTCGTACAGCCTCGGCACGCTGAACGTTTTACCGCACTGCTTGCATCGCAACACTCGCCCCGCTTTGTGAGTCCTCATGTGGTTCTTCAGATGACCCAGTTTCATGTATTGCTTCTGGCAATACTTGCATTTCAGAGACTGAGCGTCCACGGCTCTCGACTCGTCCTTCGCGTCTGTCTCGTCAGCGCGCGTCGCTCGCGTGTTGTTCGCGAGAGCCTCGTTCTTGACACCGACGAAGCTGAAGTCGTTGCTTCCCGTAGCCTTGTCTCGATCCTGCCTGCTCTGCGTGTTCTCGTTCTCCTCGTCCTGCTGCAATATTGAAAGTCGGAGTAGTGGTTAGTCCGAGTATCTGGTAACGTTATTTCAGGCCTGTATTAATTCAGTGGTCGCCGCACACCATGGAAACCTTTTCCCTCACCGTAGGCCGCGTCTTATCGTTATTCATTGGATATCGCTCGATGTAATTGTAGTACAAACGTATCTAATCGTAAGTTTCTAAGAAGTATTGTTTAATCACGCTTATCCATATTTGCCGATATTACCAAAGTACAAATACAATCACATAAGTATGTGGAAACTTGCATGTAATCATAATTTCCATAAAGTTTGTTTTTACACTTAAAGATTATTATTTTATAGTTCTTGTTTTTTGTATCCATTATTGAAACAACCGAAATTGTCGACGTTATGTTTCATAAAATTTAATAAAGTATCAAAAACGCACACAAACACACATTATAAATGTATGTTTTCATCATGAAATTAATTTTCCACCTTTCCTCTTAGCTTTTGCAAAATTTCCGCTAAAAGTGCGGTTGTCGAAATTGAAGGAGAACCGAACATTTCATTTTTTTCGCTTTCGGTCGGTCAATAACGACTATTAATTACGAGTCTCCGACACTACCGTAATACAATGATCTGTTATTTTTTTTTTCTCTTTCTTACCGTTGCACGTACATTAATATCGTCCGACGTGTCCTGCGCGTCTCCTGTCGTTGCGATCGCACCTTCGTCTTCCCTGCTCGACGAACGTTCGATCCACTCTTCCTCCGCCCACAGACTCTCCGTACCTGTCTTTGTGGCGACGTCGTGAAAACTGTCGAGCATATTTCGTCTGAACAACAAGTCGCACGGAATTTTGCCGTTCTTACAGCAGTAAGTCGTGTTGTGAAGGATCTGCACGAAGTTCAGTCCTTCGCGCCACGTCCTGCTCGGGTGTTCTCTCACCCAGGATTCGAGCGAGCTCTTAAAGTCCCTGCGCCTAACTTCACACTTAGGCGTGTCCCCGTGCAATATGAGGTAATCGTTCCACAGAGTGCGTAGCTCATGTACAACTTGTTCAGCAAACTTACGTCCATTGCCGCTCTGTAGCACCCGCGGTGCCCCTACGATCGCCAATACGTCTAACAATTTCGCGGCGACCTCTTTCGCCGTGTCGCTGCGCAGAGCTTTCAGTACGACGAACTTGGATTGCTGATCTTCGTAAATGAAGAAGTACTTGTAGCCGGACGTTGGGTCCGTCGGCATCTCCACCACGTCAACGCAGCCTCTGCTACACAATCTGCCGGGGACCTCGGTCAGTATTTTGGGAGATTCATTTTGACAGTCTGTTTGAGCAGGCTGAAAATGAATGCATGGATTCATATCATTGGTCCGCATTCACTTTTATCGATAAAAGTGTCTCTAAAAGTGGCTTAAAAACAATCTGGATTGGCTGAGAAGCCATATTTAAGATATTTTTCCATGTGAGTTGAGAATATGGACTATAGTCATTAGATTTAATCTGATAAACTTTCTAAGTTTATTTCTTCCTTTTAATATAAATACTTAAAATAAACTATTAGGATTTAAAATAAAATATTAGGAATGGGATAAAATTGTAGATTGAATACTTACTGTTATTGGCATATCTGAACAGTCATTTTGTTGCTTGGCTTCCTTGTTCTCCTTAGATGAAACTTCATGTAGACGTACAATATTTTGTACAGATGGTGTGACGTTCAAAGTATTTTCAAGAAATTCTGATTCCTGCTTTATGAACACAAAATTGCGCTGATTTCGATCTCCTGGCAATAGATGGTCCAAGGAATTGTGCATGTACGTGCTCTGCGGCATCCACTCCAAGCTCAACGGCATTTCTTTATTCATTCTTATTTTTGTCATGTGCTGTATCCAATTCTCCTTGCTTGTTCTGACTGCTAGCTAATATTTCCTATAATGGCAGTTAATGACTTTAAACATTGATTTTATTTAAAATAAATTTTTTACAAAGCTTCATGTAGATATCTCTGTTTTATTGAAGGGAAAACAGAAGTTAGTGCAGTCGGTGTTAAAATACTTTATAAAAAATAACGAGACCTCTCTTCATAGAATTTAAGAATTGCTTTTATCTTGAATAATCTCCACAATGGCTACACATCTACTACAACGATATTTCATTTTTAACGGGATATATCGAGCCGGCATAACGAAGTTATCAGTCGGTTTTGAGTGAAATTATTAACCTAAAAAATGTCATATAAAAATTGAATGACTTACATCGGTTCTTAATCCTCATCTCTGTTTGATAAATTATGTAAAATACATCGGCACCGGTATCACGCATTGCCCGTTCATTTTTCCCGTTTAGCCCCAATAAATAAATCACAACGATTCAATCGTGTCCAAACTGAAATGACAACTTTCCACCATTGTCGAGTACGTTTCACGATAGGCGTCGGTGAAAGTCGTCGAGTTGTACTACTTGAAGAAGTGTGACTGACTTTATGGCAGCTGCAGTGGCAGATACTTTGGCTGCGTTCTCTTTGGGTGCTCACGCGCTATAAATCCTGGTCTACAATAATCAATCTACAATAAATAGGTTCCACTTAACGTTCGCAACGATCGCAAGCATTCTTCTTCCGTCTTGATTTAACATTCAAGGGAAACAAGGATAGCATGATACTCGCGATCGTTGCGAGCGTTAAGTGAACGCACCTAATAAAAGATAATTATAAATGATTATCATTGTTAATCTATGACAAATACTTTGTACAAAAATAATAACTCTTTCTTTTACTTTTATTTAATGATTTTCTTTCAAAATATTGCAGATCGAGAAAGTCTCGCCGCAACGAGACGACCGGTTGCCGCGCGCCAGGCGAGGCAGTCTCGCGAGCTGAATTTCTCGTCGCCGTAATTCGCGATGTAAACCGCGGGGCGGTGCGCCGCTCGGTTGGTCCGCCCGCGAGCGAATTCGTTCGCGGCGACTATATTAGGGCGCTCGGCAGAAGCGACCGCTTTAGTTGACCATAGCACACCGGTTGATTACGTGGTGATCATACGCCTGTTGCTTACATTTGGTTTTTTGAAATTCTTTAAACTTGTTTTGTACGGCCCCCGTAATTTGGAGTCGTGGTTTGACTTTTTTACATGCTTTGGTGTTTTTCTTTGAATTTTGTATGGATGTATTTTGAGGAGAGTGGTTTTTTTTTTTACCCTTTTTATGTTCCTTGTGATGGTGGTGAGATTTTGTAGTTCCGGAATATAAATTCGTGGCCGCGCGCGTTATTGGGATCCTCCGACGATCTCACCGATTAAGTCGGTGTCGAGATAATTGTTTTTTGTTTCAGTAGTTTCACTTTTTTTTTTTTTATATTTCCAACAGCTCCTTGTGAAGCCTTTGGAGATCTTTGAGTATCATTAAGTTATCCAGAAAGTTATTGCAGTTTTTAAACTTCAAATACAGATATTTCAATTCAAAGTAAATTTTATTCATCGAAATAAGAACCATTAGAATCTACACATTTTTGCCAACGAAAGACGAGTGTATTTATTCCTGTAACATAAAATTCTGGATTTCTGGAAGCGACGAACTCTTCGAAGGCGTTTTGAACAGCGGCTTCGTTGTTGAAGGTTTTCTTCTGCAAGAAGTTGTCGAGATGCTTGAAGAAGTGGTAGTTGGTTGGCAAGAGGTCCGGTGAACATGGTGGATAAATCAAAGTTTCATATCCCAGCTGGTTCAACTTCTGCAACGTTAGTTGTGTGACGTGTGTTCGAGCATTGTCATGCAGGAGAATTGGGCCTTTCCTATTGACCAATGCCGGACGCATAAGTGCCAGTTTCTGGTGCATTTTGTTGATTTCTTGACAATACTTTTCTGCTGTGATGGTTTTGTTCGGACTCAAAAAGCTGTAATGGATTATCCCGGCTGACCACCACCAAACAGTCAGCATGGTCTTCTTTTGATGCAGTTTCGGTTTCGAAAAGTGTTGGGACGTTTCATTACGATCTGACCATTGCGCAGACCTTCGACGATTGTCGTACAAGATCCATTTTTCATCACACGTTATAATGCGATCAAGAAACGGATCATTTTGGTTACGCAAAATCAATGAAAAACACACTTCCAAACGACGATTTTGGTGTTTTTCGCTCAATTCATGTAGTACCCATTTGTCGAGGTTTTCTGTCATTCCAATTCGCTCCAGATGATCAGAAATAGTTGATTTGCTCACGCCAAGTTCTTTCGCAAGTTCTTGAATCGTTGTGTGCGGATCTATTTCAATTAACATCTTCAAGTGATTGTCGTCAATGGTCATTGGTCGTCCAGAGCGCCTTTCATTTTCAAGGCTCTCATCTCCATCACGAAATCTTCGGAACCACCATTGCACTGTACGTTCGTTAGCGACTCCTGGTCCAAATGCATCATTTATACTGCGAGCCACTTCAGCTGCTTTACGACCTTTTTTGAATTCGTACAAGAAAATCGCCCGAATTTGCTTCTTTTCCAGTTTTAATTCATTAATCTAAATAAAACAAATTAAATATTAAAAACACAATTATTATTATCAAAATGTAGAGCGTATGTACTTTAAAATGGTATATAATATAGACACAAAGGAAAAACAACTTTATTTGAAAACAAAGCGTCAAGTCTCAAAGAATGAAAACCGCAATAACTTTCTGGACAACCTAATATTTAACAAATCTTTTTTCACTATTGTTATATTGAACCTAACCATCTTATACATTGCTAGCCAGGCATATAATTGTTTTTTGTCTGTAGTTACACTTTTTTTCTTTAATATCTCAACAGCTTTTGTAAAGCCAGATCTTTTGGTATTACTATGTGATATGACGCTTGTAATGAGATGTTTATTTTCACAATCAAATTTTTTTTACTTTGTAATGTATTATTTCATTTTTCTGCTTTCCATACTTATAATGTCAAATTAAGTCAAAGGAAGGAAACCCATTGTACGAAATTCACGTAACAAGCATTGCCTCTAATCTTTCAATTTTCTTTTTATAACGATATAGCTGTGCTCTCAATCGATCAATTATTTTATCCTCGTCGCATGACTTCTTCATTACTAGTATGGCTTCAGCTAACGTCTTGGATGACGTTTTCTAATTTTTTAAATTTAATATCGCCTGCATGGCGCAGTGCTAAAATAGATACCTTTTCGTATAGGTTTTTGAATTTTGGTGATTCGCCATGTTCCTTGTCATATATTCCTGTACAGGACAATCGTTTTATTAAAGGAGTCTCCTCTTCACATATGCTTCCCAAATTTTCTGACTCGTCATCACCTGTGTAGCATACTCTTTGTTTTGAAGAAGTCTCATGAATATTCTCCATATATATACTTCCCAATTTCTCTGATTTGATATTATCTATATAGAAAACTATTTCTTTAGAAGAAGTCTCATAAATTATGTCTTCACCTAGATCAACAGTTTTCATTTCTATGAATGGTATATCAGATGATATGATATTCTTTATATCAGCCATGCTAAAAACAATATTTTTAATGTATAATTATATAATGAAATAATAGATTTACAAGATTCAAACATATTTTATCATATATGAAATATTGCTGTTAGTACCTTTCTGTCAATGGTTTTGGAAATATTGTTGGCACAGAGTTTGGTTTCAACCGAGTAATATTTGAAGTGATTACAACGCAATCTTCAGCAAAATGTCGATTGCATATACGGCTATATTTTGAAATCGTTGCTATATATTCTTTACTGTGACCTGAGTTAATAAGTGCTTCTATCCATTTTCCTTTAAGAATTGGGTCTGCTGGAAATCTATTTAGTAATACCAGTCAAATTAAAACACAAATATTGATTTTACATTGTAACATGTTACAATAAAAAAAAATTTAATATGTCTAATGAAACAAATTTTAATAATTATTTTCCAATATAGAAAACTTTTTCGAAATGTATAGGAATTTTTTGATCAGAAACAAATAAATTTATAACTTACCCAAACAATGTTAAGAGTTTTTTCTTTGCTCTATACTTTCTCACTTTTGTTTTTTTATATTTACTCGATTTGCAACCTTGTACAAAACAACACTTGACCATTGTACTATTTATTTAGTAACTTGTACTATTTATTTAGTAACTAGTAATTAATAAAAACTAACAATTGCAAATACAGTGCTGTTACATGCAAGCTGACGATGGCTACGTTCAGCGAACACAACGGTTTCTCAACTGCTCTTCCGATATGCACTTTAGAGTAAGTGTTCACCGATAGTAAACCGATCAATAAATGTTCTGTTCTGTTTCTCAATTATGGCAGGCACAGTTCGACGGTTTAGTCTCCTTTATCATCAACTAAGGTTAATATGATAAATAAAGTTACTTGCACTCCATCGAGGTGGAACATTTATCTAAAAATATGCGGCTCGCAAAAAACAAAGACCTCACAGGCGCGCGCGCTAAGCACGTCCGGACTACTCGACTATTCCCACGAGATTGCGATCAATAAACAATTTTCTAAATGATCTTTGGCCTGTTCTTTACAGCTGCACTGTTGGTGCAGTAAGTTATAGCTTCTGCTCATAGGATGCGGCAACGCTTGCTGTGTGGCGGAAGTTCACGCGGTAGCCAATCAACATGCCAACATATATATATATATATATATATTTATTATATATATATATAATATATATATTTATATATATTTATATTTATTTATACACACACATGTGCTAAAATATATTTTATTTTTTTATTGGTGGAGACGTCAATCCGACACATGTGTATTATATTCAAAATACATGCAGAGAGAGAGAGAGAAAAATACATATTCCCGCACCGTTGTTGCGAGACAGAACTTCTCTCTCACCTTGACTATTTAAGGCAAGTTCTATTTAACGCTCGCAACGATTGTGAACGTACCTATAGTAGTATTAAACCAGCAGCACCCGATGTTTGTTTCGTGCTGGATTGTTTGCTGAATGGAAATACTGCGTTTTGATTGGTGTGCTGTCATCCATTTTTGAAAATGCACCAATCATAACGCAGTATTTCTATCTAGCAGGCAATCCAGCACGAAATAAACATCGTGTGCCGCTGGCTTTACGTATGTGCCTTTAAGGTTGTCTTTAGCTATAACAGAAAAGAAGACGTGCATATCGGAACGCAACTATAGTCGGGATAGATATAAATGGCAGCTGGAAACCTGCGACGCAGTGAAGAGATTCACTCTGTGAATTAAATTCTATATTTTTATAATTGTTTTATCGTTCCCCAAATTGTTGATATGTCGCAAACATTGGAAGATGCACTGATCGCTGCTCGTAGAGCTGTACAGTTTGACGGGAATAGTCAATATAAACAAGCTTTATATTATTATAATATCGCTATTAAACTTCTTACTAGGTTACAATTAGACGATACGTACGTGCAGAAGCTTTCAGACTATCGCGAAAGGATTTCATTAATACAGCGTCTCGGTAAGTCGCATAATAATACGTAGATCTTGTATAAACAATCTAACAAAAGATTCTGACATATTTAGTCAATGAAGAGGAGCAGAACAGTCATAAGACAGAACCTTCACGTCATGAATTACAAAGATGTAAATTTCTCATCAGTCAAGCATTAGATGCAGATGAAGCGGGTTTAAAAGACATTGCAGTGAAATTATATACAGATGCTGCTGAACTTGGTCTTAGTACAGTATGTGTAATTCTGCTGATAGCTGTTAGGTATTTCTCAAGTTGATTTCTATTTAATTTATACATAATTTATACATATATTACAGAAAACTAGCGATGCTGAACTAAAAGCAAAATTAACAGATCTAGTTAGAGTCGCCGTTGAGCGGGCTGAGTCTTTGAAAGGAATCAAAAGTCCAGTTGAGGATGATAAGGTTATTACAAGTCTTGCCAAACTACCACCTGTACCAGAAACCAGTTTCCCAGACACTATACCACCGGTAAATGCATCAGCTGCCCCAACTAGTAAGTGTGAAGGAAGGAAAACACGAAGCTATGATGTATTTATACATCTGTTTGATTAAATTTTAGTGAGGAACGTTAACAAGCCTCAGCTTCATCGTGGAAGCAGTGCTCATCTTAAAGTCAGTGGTGGAACTAGTAGCTATACTGAAGAAGAGAAGAAAGTACTGTTCCATAGTTCTCATATTAACGACAATGAATTTGTACCATTTATGCATATTGATCTTACTGAAAAATTCCGATATGCTATTCCATTTACCGACAAAGATGGGTTATTAGAACTAGCACCGAAACAAAAGCTTGACTTCGCTAGATGGTGCCGACCGGAGGAACTATATTCTGAACCAAAAATAGTCATTGGTCATCATGTAGATTACTACAGCATAAAACAAACGGTTAGTAATACACATTTAAGGAAGTAGGCAATGTTTAATGGTTTCATATTTTTTTCAGGTGATCTCTGACTGTTCCTTTGTCGCTTCACTCGCTGTGAGTGCTCAATATGAGAAGAAGTTTGGGCGAAGACTCATAACGTCCATTATTTATCCTAAAAATAAAAACAAGGAGCCTATATACAATCCATTCGGTAATTACAGTTTATTTGTTTTAAAGAACTTTAACACATTCTCTATGTTATACTCAATAAGTGCTCGCATTAAATTACACGGAAGAGGTATATCTTGTACTAGCATTTTTTATCTATTTTTATCTATTTTATCTATATTTTCATTTGGGCTTTATTTTTCACACTGATGCAACTTGAAATATTTGCACTCGATGGCTTTATTTTTTCTCACATTGAGATCGTATAGCTGTGAAATATACTGGAAAATTACTTATCGGGGACTCGAATTTTTTACATAAATACGAAAAAACATATACGCATATTTAATTATTTATTATATATTAGAAATGATAAACATATAATGTCAGGAAAATACATGGTGAAACTACACATCAATGGTGTTCCACGCAAAGTAATAATAGATGACCTTTTGCCTGTAAGCCGATACAACCAATTACTCTGTTCCTACTCTAGCAATCGTGGGGAGCTATGGATTTCTTTACTTGAGAAGGCTTATATGAAAGTAATGGGTGGTTACGATTTTCCTGGATCGAATAGTGTGAGCTTATATTTCCTTACAGCATTAAATCATCGCTCTAAATTGTGGATTTTTCTTATTGATATTTTCTGTCGTTTAATATGTGTTTGTTCCTACAGAATATAGATTTACACGCCTTAACTGGCTGGATTCCTGAGAGATGGGCAATAAGGCCAAGTGACGCGGATTTTAATAAAGACAATCTATTTGATACGTTATTATTACGACTTCATAAAGGAGACGTGCTAGTCACTGTAGCCACGGGAGAGTTATCGGATTCGGATGCGGACCGCACGGGTCTCGTACCGAGTCATGCGTATGCCGTCCATGATGTGAGAAAGATTAATGTGAGCAAGATAGATTTACCCCCTTTTAACATTTATATATTTCAAACGTTTTCTAATATTACAAGCAGTTCTATTCAGCTTATAAGCAAAAGTAAGAATTTAACATTCTTATTGTTTTTTAAAAAATATATATATATATGTATGTATGTATGTATGTATGTATGTATGTATGTATGTATGTATTAGGGAGAAAGATTACTACAATTAAAAAACCCATGGTCTCACTTGCGATGGAGGGGCAATTATTCCGAGCTCGATATGAAACATTGGACTCAGGATTTGAAGGAAGCATTAAATTATGATCCGGAATCTGCTTCGGAATTTGACAACGGTGTTTTTTGGATTGATTATGATAGTATATGTCGATTCTTCGACGTGTTTTACTTAAACTGGAATCCGGGATTGTTCAGCCATACTTACTGCATACACCAGTATGTAACTTCTTCTTTAATTAATTCAACTATGTATCATAGGTCATTGCCTCCTTGCTTTATGGTAATACTCCAAATAATTGTTCTTGCAGAATGTGGAGAGCTGGTATCGGTCCTGCAAAGGATGCGTACAATATTGGCGATAACCCGCAGTTCTCATTAGAAATACAAGGAAAAGGATCAGGTGCTATCTGGGTACTTCTTACAAGACATATTACAGATATAGCCGACTTTCGACAGAATCAGGAATACATCACTGTTCTGATATATCGTAACAAAGGGAAAAGGGTTTACTATCCGCGTAAGTACACATCAGTCTGTTCTAATATTCAATATTATATTATACATCTTTAACCATCGTTAGAGTGAATTATATATCGTGAAAAATTGTCTAGATGACCCGCCACCGTATATTGACGGTGTGAGAATAAACAGCCCACATTACTTGTGCAAGATCAAATTGGGAGAGCAAAGCGATCCCAAATATACTTTAGTCATATCTCAGTACGAAAAAACGAATACAATATTTTATACACTTCGTGTGTACGGCACGTGTCCATTTTCGCTGCAGAAAATACCACAATTCTACAAATACGAAGAAGAGGTGTGTATCATTTGCACGGATGTCTGAGATTTTCAGATGACAAAATCTACATATTAATACCGGATTTTTCGTCCTCTCAGGTCACTGGTCAATGGAAGGGTGCCACAGCAGGAGGATGTGGCAATCATCCGACATACATGGGAAATCCACGATATCAATTAGTACTTGAAAGCGCGCATAATAACAACTATGTATTAATTATTCTGAAAGGACCTAAACAGTATCAAATAGGCTTTGACATCAACACCGTCGTGCTGAACGATACGAACGCAGCGACTGCATTTAAGACAAAAAGTTCTGGACCATTCAGGTTTCTACTTTTGTATTTGAATCGTTTCATTTTTAACGGTTATTTCTCGCACAGAGAATTCGCGCACATTCTCGCGACTGTTCTGCAATTTATCCTTATCTCTGTTCGCAGATCTGGCTTTGTGTATTTAGAGCTGGAGGATATACCAGCAGGAACGTATCATATTATTCCCTCTACATATATGCCTGGTCAAGAAGGACCGTTCTTTTTGATTTGCAAATCTTCTTGCAATTTGCAGCTTCAACTTCTTTCGACGAATTAAAAAATGTGTAAATAGCTGATCGCAGTTTCCCTTATAATTGTTTACGTTTGTAGTCGTACGTTTTTATGCGTTATATCTGCCTCTGATATAAATTTAACCGAATACTATTTATTCGATATATGTTTCGAAGAAAATGCTTTTCTCTCATCTTATTTTATATCTGATTGAAAAAAATATCGAGCATTTGCAACGTAATAAAAATACCAATTATTTTATAATTATAAACTGAATTACTAATATATATATATATATATATATATATATCGTACACGCATATATATATATATATATATATATATATATATATATATATGCGTGTACGATATATTTTATATATTAGGTGCGCAACTAAGTTCTCGCTGTTTTTTTTTATGAAAATATAACTTTATTGTGAAAAAATGGTTACAAATGAATCATTCAAAGTATTGCCCATCGCTAGCTACAACTTTTTCCCATCTTTCTACCAGATCTCGAATACCGTTACGGTAAAAGCGTTTGTCTTATGAGGTTACCCACGAATCAAGCCATTTTTTGATGTCTTCATATGAGCGGAACTGCTGATGAGCCAGACCATGTGCCATCGAACGGAACAAGTAATAATCGGACGGCGCAATATCTGGGGAATATGGCGGGTGGGGTAGGACTTCCCATTTGAGCGTTTCCAAGTAGGTTTTAACGGGTTTGGCGACATGAGGCCGAGCGTTGTCATGCAGTAGAATCACTTTGTCGTGTCTCTGCTCGTATTGTAGTAAGTTCCTTGCTTTTGAATCATTCCCAACGCATGCAGTCGCTTGGAAATGGCTTGGCGGGTAACTCCTAATGCTGAAGCAAGCTGTTCTTGCGTTTGGCATGGATCCTTATTGAGCAATGTCTCCAATTCAGCGTCTTCGAAGGTTTTTGGCCTTCCTTCACGCGGACGGTCGTCAACATCGAAATCACCGTCTTTGAAGCGACGGAACCAATCACGGCACGTTGTTTCACTTAGAGCAGCATCTCAGTAAACTTTTTGGAGCTCTCGATGAGCTTCAGCCGCCGTTTTCTTCGAATGAAATAAGAAAATCAACACTTCCCGCAAATGACGATTATTTGGCACAAAATCAGACATTTTCACACAACCAAAAGTATATGACGCCAAAACAAAATCACTAACGTGTCAAAGTGGTTTGTTTACAATATGTCTAAGCTTGCTTCATGATGTTTTGGATATGTCAAAATCGACCAACACTTACTGCTGGAGCCATCTATTCACAAACAGCGGGAACTTAGTTGCGCACCTAATATTTAACAACTCTAAATATTTAGAAAAGTGATCAAGAAGAACCGGCTATACAGCAGTTTTATATTGAAAAAGTATAAATGATGAGAAACTAGACATCTTTCAGTTGTATTATCATCAAGAATTGTAAGACTAAGCTAATGGACGTTAACGTATTCATTTACAACTGATTGCTTGGAAGCAATATTCTACAACGATGTTACACATTCAGACGTTTTAATTCGTACATAAAACCACTGTTTCGGAAACATATACAAGGCACTACTATCCGAGATTTTAACGGAAGTTAATTATGATAAACATACTTAAAATATGAAGTCGATTGCGAAAGATTTTTCAGCGCAATGTGCTATACTGCAGTTCGAAGAAATGTTACAACATATTCAATTAAAAATACTTCCAGTTGCATGTAAGCAAAAGTTAACTTGGCAATTAAGTTACACTTTATGTTAACGGAAGTTGTTATAGTTATTTCGAGCTAAATAATAGCTAAGTAAAACTTATATATCATAAAATTTTTGACATCCTTATAAGTATAAAATTCGCTACACATGTAATGTGTTATCTTGATTTTCTTGTCCGTTTTACATAATGCAAATCTTACTTCATATACACGCATTTTGTACCATTTTATAGGTTGATTTTTTCTGTTGTGCTAAAGAGGAGACTATTTTGATTTTTACACTGTTAATATTTGATACAATATGTACATAAAAATGTTGATTTATACAAGGTATGAGTAGTATATAAAATATATATTGTTAGTCATACATATTACTGAATCACTGTAAAACAGAGGAGAAGGTAGTAACTCACACAATATAGTTCCACTTTCTATACACACACACACGCGCGCGCGCGCGCGCGCACGCACGCACACACACACACACACACACACACACACACACACACACACACACACACACACACACACACACACACACACACACACACACACACACACACACACACATTTTGTATAATATATTAATGATTTTGTCAAATTATAATTTTCTTATAGTGGTTCTTTGTAACTTTAATTTATTTTGCCAAATTAGACTTATACCGTGGAAAGATGTGTCGTTTCATTCATTCATGCATTCATTCATTTCCTGTCCTCTCTCTCTTTCTCTCTCCCTCTCTCGTCCTTTCATGCGCTATAAAGAAAGATACAAGTTAAACTTAAACGACAAAGAAATCTTAAAAGACAGTGAAGCGGAGAAAAAGTTATATCGTATCGGTTATTGTATACAGAATTAAACAAATGTTTCTCAAAAGTTGAAAATAAAAGATAAGTAAGTAATAGTAATGAGTAAGTAACTTATATCCTTTCAAACACGCATGAAAGATGAACAAACTACTATCTTCCTAGTAATGTTTATTGTAGTACCAACTTGTATTATTACAAAAATAGATTATAAAATGCGCTGATGTTAATATATGATGCGTTATACTATTAAAAGGTTCAGCAAATATATCGAATAAAAAGAAGCTTACGAGTTATGACATTCATAAAGTTAATTAGAAAGAGTTGAGCGTTTATACAAAGATATGTGAGAGTGTGTAAAATGACTCACTATGTAAAAAATAAATATGCGCGAGCTATATTATTCACTGGATATTATCGTTCCTCAAAAAAGGTTAATAATAAAAGACGCGATCCTGCGATTAATAATACTTATTACAACATTGAGACGGATCAGTTTGTGTATATTTTGATCAATATACGTGTATTTAGTAGAGTGTACGTAAAACAGTTATACGTTATGTTTTCAAAATAATGTACTTATTGAAGCAATCTCCATAATTTATATATATACGCATTATCGAGTGGTTTACTAACGTCTTTAAGCGAACTACTACTTGAAAATGATTAAAAGACATTTTCCTTCCTTCGGTATAAAATTTCCTACTAGAGATCGGCTATTTTAAATATCGTAAAATGAAGAAGGCTCAATATGCTTTCACATAACTTTTTGATTCATATTTCTTATGAGTATAAAGAATAGCTGCTCATGCAATTCGCTCTGCCAATATTGTGAAGATTGTACTTCGCTGTGTGTGCTTTTAATTAGCGTTTGTATGATTCTCTCTTTGTATAAGACGGACAAGTTTCTGCACGATTCATCGTACAAATCGAGCGATTTCTACCGCGATTCGATTGTTAATGATAATTTCCTCGACAAATTTGGCGTCCATTAGCGCACGACGCAATTTCACTGGAGTATTTCTGCTGGATACATAACTCAGTCTATCAGCAAATTTTTTCGTTATGTAATAATACCATCTCCAAATCTATTCGGACCTGCCATTCACAGTTAATGCAGCGATAACTAGATATCTAGTATGTTCAATTCACGTAACTTTTTAGCGTTTTTTTCTTATGTCTCGTTTATATCGTGCAATATTTCTTTTTATATTTTATATTTATATTATTGCATCTAAATTTTTCACTCATCGTTATTTTCGCACTTGTACTTCGACTTTGTGATGTAAATATATTATTTTCTGCATTAAGAGGATGCCATACTTGAAACTTCACTGACGGAATACTAATTTTTTTCTGCAAAGTTTACGTTTCACTGGTTGCACAGAATTATAAATACTTTTATACAGCGAAAGTACGTGCAAAAATGAATTGAAGCAATTGAAAATCTTAAGATTGGCACTTCTAGCTGTCAGTTAGCGTAAATATTTATTACCTGATACAGAAATCTTGCAGATTGTATGTACCGAATGTGCCAATGCTTTAATCAGGACAATTTCAAAGAACACCTTTATACCTTTGACAATCAAATTTAGAGATTTAAAAAGATATGAAAAATTTGCAGAAAAAACTTCATACATTTTGGTTAGATTTTCTGTTAGATATGATAAAACAGAGTACATATTCATCGTATTCACATTTATATCACACTCACATTCACGTAAAATATATGTATAAGAAATACAACAAGAATAGTGTGATCATGTCAGTGTTACGTGACGTAACATTTCGAGGACCGCTTCTACGTTATCGACACTTATCAAGTTCATCATCAACGACTATGGCATCCTCTTAATTAATATTATATTCTTTCTCTCTCATTAATTAATCTTACATGATTCTGTCGCTGATTTTAATGTAATCCATTTGCCTATTTCTAAGTATATTTGTTGAAACAAATACATCAAAAGCGACATCATAATTATTCAATACAAAGATACAATTTGACGCGGATGTTCATTTCGTTTTACCGAAACTCTTTTATTATCCGATATATCTAACGTTTTAAAGAGTTTCAAATAAGTGCGAGACGAGTATCCGCGTCAAATTTTGCGCTAAAAATATGGCGCATTTAAATTATCTAAAAAAAAAAAAATTTAATGTAAAATATAATTCAATATTTACATTGTACAAATGGCAGTTATTATGTCAATATAGCAATTAACGCGACATAATAGCAAGTTTTTAACATAATATATCAAAAGTTTAATCATTATAAATTATTGTTTGAAATAAAGCTGAGTTTGCATTATCTAAGGCGCGCTTGAATTTGTATAAATATGTTACATCTGATCATCAATTTCCTTGATTTCATTCTCTTATATATGCAACTTGTACGCAGATCTGATTTTCTATTACATAAATTTAATGCTAATGTATCATATAGTACATTGCCTCTTTTGCTTCGTGGATATTCGCCAGAAAAGAATATGATTTAAAATATCATAAAGTACAAATTGTGTACATGCATGACATAACAAGCAAGATCACGCGTCACCATTGGACAATATTTCGTAGAGAGAAATGGAAATGGACGCTAGAATTCTAAAATTGATCTTCTGTGCATGATTAAATTGAAGAAGAAAGGATTCTTTTAACACACGAGAACGGTGAACGAGAATCGGACGTCAGTTTTACATACCAATGTGAAAGATGTATATATATATATTTTTTTTACACAGTAAATATCCATTTTACTATAAGAGAAATATACTATATATATTAAATTATATATATATATATATATATATATATGTTATTGTCAAAGTATAAAACTACCTTCTAGTGGCATTACGCTTGACGCAAGATGTGAGAAAAGAAATGATATAATTACAATGCTGCCCTCATTTTGAATCTTCATTTTCACCTACTGAACTCCGGAAGTGGCTTCGCTATCCCTTCGTTGTAAGCCTTGTGGACCGCCTCGCACACAAATCTATATTGACTCTGAAAAACATTCGGATTTAAATGTAAAACGATTCCCTACATTATCCGAATAAAAAACACGACGAGGTGAAGACCGGCAACTTACAGCATTTTGTATCATCATTGCCCTCTGGTCTCTCATAGAGCGTACGATGTCTAATGGATACACCGGTTGATTAGCCTCGATTAGACACAAAGCGGTCTCCATCAGCACTAACACACCGGTACGTCCTATTCCAGCTGAACAATGTACAACCGCAGGTTCGACTATTCCAGTACGAGCTGCCCTAACGCGCTCCGTGAACGTGGTGAATTGTCGCCAATCGCTGGGCACTCCGTGATCGGGCCAGCCGCAATATTGCATATGCGTTATATCTCTTTCCTCGCCGGTCTGCAGAGACACGAATGTACACCCGTCAAAAACGAATAAAAAACGACAAAGATGTGTATTTTCTATCTCGATCGCCGGATATTATGCATTTGCGTACGAAGAAACAAGTTGCATGCTCGTGATATCGCGAATCATTACTCACGTTAACGTCGCGTAGTATAAATTCTCTAAAAATAAACGTGTCCTCGACGTTTTCCGCGGTCGACGTGAGCGTGAGACTCCTCAACGTAAGGGTCTCGTTATACGCCGGCCAGTATTGATGACATTTCGCGCGACCGCGTTCCACCAAAGTGGTCAGCATGACGACCAGCGTACTGCCAGCTTCTAAAACCATCTGCCAGAAATCTGCAACGGTGGAAGACAAGGGACCTTGCGTGGCGATGTACCTGTTGATAATGCCCGAACCTGGTATCTCCATGTTCACGTAATTGGCATTAATATAATCTCCGTTTGCGGATCCCATCAGAATTACTCGAGTAACGTCATCTACAACAATGTATATGTCTGTCGTATAAAAATAATAATAATATTCATTGGCAATAAAAGTATCCTTTGGCTCCACATAGATAATACATTTAAATAAACTTACATAAAAGAAGAAGAAACATTTCATTTTTGACAATATTTTCGTAATTAAAAAATTATATATAGGAAAAAAGGCAATGAGTAAATAAATAATAAATAAATAAATGGACAATAAATAAATTATACAATTACATAAATAAATTAATGAATTAATGAATGAATATAAATAAATTATATAAATAAATACATATCAGTTATCTTTCTATATTATTTGCCGTATATTTTCACCTCTCTCTCTCTCTCTCTCTCTCTCTCTCTCTCTCTCTCTGTCTCTTTCTTTATGTCTCTACAAATTCTTCTTACGCAATTTAGTTTGATTCATTCTCCTGTACACGGAAAAAGCTGGTACTTACATGGCGATATATCCCGATAACGATTTTTCGGTTGATTCTCCGGCTTCTTGGATTCGAGTGACGTGAGCTCCGGGTTTTTCCTGTATAACTGTTCATACTGCGCGATAAGAGCACCGCTCGCTAGGCCATCCGCAAGCAGTAACATAGACTGTGCTAACGCATCGGATCCAATAGCGGCGTGAGGCGCATCAGGCACATATCTTGCGGTTCGTCACGACAGATTAGACTTAGAAAATTTATAAATCCTAGTTTCAAGTATATTACATATGCACGATATATGATACTACCTATAAGGTGGCTCTTCTTCAGATGTCTCATCGGTACCAGCCAATGCATTGTATAGCGCGTTGGGTCTAACAGTTAATGTGAGTTCACCGGGTCCGCAGTCGCGCGACTGCCGTATTAAATTGACCACGTGCTCGTGCAGTAAACCGCTCACATCAATCCCGTTGATGTAGACAACCTGCACAGTCATTGTCTTATAAAGTGTTGAGAGAGCCTCAAACAAGTACCAAACGCAACCTACCGATATTCAAGATACAGCGATGCCCTGATACAAGTCCAGGCTTTAGTGTTTCGTTGTGGTTGAACCAGCTTGATTTAACGTTCTACACATTCAACGAAAATACTTACTTGATCTCCTTCGTTCAGTTTAGGGAAACAACGATCGGCGGGCGTGTTTGGAGCCACTCGCGACACCAAGATCGGCATGTCCAGATCTAATCCACCTTTAACGTTGAATCCAAAACGACCCTGTTCGTCCGGTGTCAAAGATATGGTTACTAAGCCGTCTTCTAATATCTGAAGCAATGAAAAGAGCTCGTAGAACGCCTTCGCTTCGTCATTTATGGGTTAGGAAGATTCATGTTATCCGAAATACACCAACACACATACTTGCGGAGCTGGTGAACTGGTAGGCTCGCTGTAGTCCGGTAGATCATAGATATTTCTTTCGGCGGTCGTATCGTCATCCGCGTAACTGAACACTCGAGATCCTAACGCCGGCGAGAACGCCCCACCTTGCGTGTAGCTTCCTGTTATTTCTTCCCTCAAAGATAAAAAACCACCTTCACTATAAGAGGAGATAAATGAAACTGAAGATGCTAAGTGAAAATATAGACATCAATTTAAAAGATAATATATATTCTCTATCGCTATATTAATGTGTAAAGGTAAATATGATATGTGCAACTAACTCGTCACTTTGATTTCCTTCACCCCACGCTTGACGAGGTTCGCGAGCGCCGAGAGATTGAACTTTATTGTCGTAAGATCGCGGCGGTCTTCCAGGAGGTATCGTTAACTTGCCTTTTTCCTCGGTAACGGATGCTGTCGTAATAGTATGAGCTATTTTCTTGCTAGGTGATCTAAGCGTTGAAAAATGCTTTGTAAGAAAGAGCCATATATATATATATATATATATATATATATATATATATATATATATGTGCAAATAACAAATAAAATATATATTCTCTTGATAATAGTAGAACTCGGCTACTTTTAATTACCGTATAAATGTTCTTTCCACGCGTGCTCTGTGTTTTCCGTCTTCGACCGTTTGATATTCCGTCCGTCCTGAATATGTAAACCTACTGCTTAAAGTGAGGGGAAACCGTTTCGGTCGCATTTTTGGACTGTGAAGCCTAAAGAAAGTGTGATGTTCGACGCAAGCTTTCCATAAATTTTTCGAACTGCGATAAGTTTGCATGTTGAAGCCCAGTAGTGTATCGTAATTTTCAGACTGCAAGGATGAACGTATTAATTCACGTATTCCAAAATTAACAAAGGAAAATCGCGTATTAAACTTGTGATCGATCGACAATCGGACTTACCTGCTCTCGTCGAAGCTGTATAAAAAATTGCTTCCTTTTAAAGGAGATTTTAACTATTTTTGACCATGAAAATACGTTGATTTTTATGCCATTCTGAAACACAACCAGCCCGATGGACGTGACACCCAACTGTATCTCTTTGTTTGTTGAATCCTAAGAGAGAAACAAAATATCCGTTTATTGCCATTGCTCTTACTTATCATGAAAATAGCGTTCGATTTTGCGCGATATGTACCCTAGCTTTATGTAACTCCACTCCATACATGTCTAAACGTTTGGCGTGATCTAAGAAGTTAAATTCTGCATCAGCTGGTAACTGTCCTCTAAAGAAAAATTTTTGTTGTTGTTATTAAAAATAAGTAAAATTTATAACGAATAAGTTTCATGCATAGATGATCAAACATATACAAACTTGTGTAGTTTGTGTAATTCCGATATCTTTTTTTCCATTTCTTCAGTTTGCCCGGGTATCAATTGCAATTGCGAAAGATATCCTGGCCCATGTTCCTCAGGATGATAATCTCCTAATTCCGCTACATACACATAAATAAGAGATACAACGAATCAAATGCCGACACATGCATATATGATTCTACATACAAGAATATATAATTATTAAGTTCATTTTGAAACTTACATTGAACGGTATAACTTGCGATTAAACAAGCTGTACTGGGTGGTAATTGGAGTTTCCCTTGAAGAATATCTCTTCGTATTTGCAAATAAAATTGATATCGGGTATATTCTTCTTGAAGTTTACTAGGATCAGATACATAAAACTTTACTCTGAAAAAGAAGTGCCCACCTAAAACGAATAAACATATATATATATATATAATGTTTATACTTGTACAGTTAAATTTAATTATTAACATATTTATTTTTCATATAATATCCAATTTTATTTATTTTTTTTTTTTTAAGGAAATACGATCTTTACCCTTACTTCGTATTTGCTTTTTCACAGATTTAGACGGATCTAGCCATCTCTGAAAATGATCATATTAAAAATTAATACATATATTGCTGTTTTTATAGATATTTTTGAAGTTCTGCTGAAGGTTTCGATGTTATTAATATGTTTTATTATTATTTAAAATACGTTACCATCATATCAGATGTAGGAATGGTTGTACTAACTCCATTTTCAGCATATTGTAAACCAAAGTAATCCTTTTCAATGAGTTCTAAATGTTGAAATACCAAGTCTAGTAGAACTTGTCCTTTAGCTCGTTTCTGCAATATATACATTTATTTTTTCGTCAAATATAATAATTATATCCACAAGGAGATATTGTACAGCTGCAATATTGTATTGTATAAGTATTGTACACAGACTTACATCTAATTGAAACGTGTGCTGTGTGTCATCTAGAAAAGTAACGGTAGCTGACAAAGATTTTAACCTGCGATTTCTCGCTAATTCAGCGCCACGAACGTGGTAGCTCCCGCTGGAGCCACTCAACGCTCTGCGTGATACACTCTCGATCATTTCAAATATACGAAGGCGTGTCAACCACCTTCTCGACACCACCTCTCTGCTATGCTGACCACCTGTGTCGAGAATTAGATAGATAATTACTTAATATATTTTGATTTGATAAATCAAATAATATGTTAATAATCAAATATATAAGACAATGTATAAAATTATGCTCCACTTGTCTCTTTGTTTTATAAGCCCATGTAAAAATGCAGAATAGTATAATTATAATAATAAAATCTAAAGTATTATGCTGGAATTATTATATTGAGGAGTTGTATATATATATAGATATTTGCAAAGTTACTGAATAATTAATTTAAAAATAATCAATAAAATAGCACACAGTAGTTTTATAAACCCATACACATATCTTGGTAAAATATTTAAAAATATGTACACACATTGTTATTGTATTAAAGTAAGCAATAAATGCTGCTAATTGTTAGTAATAAAAAGAATTTACAAAAGCACTTTCTTCTATTTACATTTAAATTATTCTCAAACAACATATTTTTTCAAATGACAAAGTTACGTATGTTAAAATATATATTATTATTCAGTCATACAACACTACTTCTCAGCTGCATTTTCCAAGTATCCTGTATGCTTTTATCTTTTCTCTCCTTTCTTCCTGAATATAAATTGTGCATCTCATATATCAAGTATCCTGTATGCTTTTATCTTTTCTCTCCTTTCTTCCTGAATATAAATTGTGCATCTCATATATCAAGTATCGAATATAAAAATGCAGCTGAAAAGAAAACTTCCTTGTCAGTCATAACAGTTTTACATTACTCAACACTTGAAGCCAAAAATAGAGAGAAATATAATTACACTCTAAAGACGTCATCAAAAACAAGTTTACCAAGATTTCAGGTCAATAATCCATGAACACGAGTTACATAATCAAATTGCCATCTACTGTGTGCCAGAATAATGTAGAATGAAACATTCTGAAAATAATTTACACGGAAGAAAGAACAGGACAGCAATTGACCACCACCGTAACCTAATTCTGTATCTTTTTTTTCTACAATCAACATGTTGAGAAAACATATTTGCGCAACTACTACAAATTATAGAAAGTACAACAGAACCAATTAATGTGACAGTAAACATCGATACCCCAAGAACAATGTTGTACCTTTAGCATGCAAATTCATTCATTGCGAGGCATACAAGTTCATGTATTATATTTAATTACAGTAAGAATACCCTCGAGTAATTTAACTTAGGATAATGACATAAAGGGGACATTACTGGCTAGATGTGTACTTACATTCATGATACGATCCATACGTTTTATTAGTGGTTTCTGTAAAACCTTACATAGGCAGGATTCGATAAACCATGTCAAGCGTACATACGACTCCTGGAATCGTTTCTTCCTAAAAGCAGCACTGAGTTCCCGGACGAAATATGGTTCTGGCTCTTTCTCATAATTCCGAATGTGCGGAGACGGCCCGCACAAAGTCGAACATTATTTCGGAGCGTCAAAGCACAACGGCCAGCAGCATTTCCTCTCAGCGTTTAATCGCACTAACACCTCGCCGACAAATTTCTAATCCTACATCACTTTCAGCTCCACTTCCTTCACTCTTACCAACGCGCGCGGCAACGTCGAATTACATAGCATTCGGCCCGAGTAGACAGTGGCGTTAATCAATCACGAGCATTTCGCGATCCCAAGAGCATGTAAAAATATACGTACGTTATATACACGATATCTATTCGAGGGCGCCAAGGTACATATATATTATATGTATATCCGTCGTGTGCACGTGGAAAGGAGTGAAACGATGCGCGAGAAACGACCGAGTTTTTGCAGGTTTTGTTGCGCGGAACGAGGAAGCTAATCGGCTTCGTGCTCCCGATTACGCGAAAGACATTTGTCGCCTAGTAGAAAACGCTACGTGTGTGTGTGTGTGTGTGTAAAATGTGTACGCACACATACGCACACGTATACCCACGTAAAGTCACACGCGTGACGTATGTATGAGTACCGAGAAGGAGATCAGCCGTGCAATAAAAATGCTAGTTCAAGGGTACAAAAAACCGTCTCACCGACTAGAGCGCGCTGCAGTCGGCGGTGTTTTCACAATAGTAACTTCCAAGCACACATGCGAGCCGGTGGACGAGAAAGACGCACCACACGGAACACAACGTTTCTAGTACATTACTAGTTCGAACGGCGTCCCGAGAGACCTCGGAGGAACCTTTATCTCCAAGTAGTACGACTCGACGACTCGAATTGGGCAAACTTTTAATCTCAATAGCACAGTCGAACAAGTGTAGATGAGTAAACTTTTATTATCTCTGTCAGCTAACGAGAAATGAAAGCCTATCTGGAAATATTGCGGAGATAATGGAACCTTCGAATGCAAAATGAGTCAAACGTCAATTCATCCGTCTCTAATTAAGAGTTACAATAAGTTTGATCGCGTTAGGGTTAGGTTGGTTTGAAAAAAAAGTCCATTTGATATCTGATAATTGATTTGAGCGTCAGTCAGAGATATGGCTGCTTCCTTCCAAACGCAAATTCTGAGCGTTTTGGGGAGTAAGACAAAATATCTTATGGAATTGAAGAAGACGTTCGCTCGTCCATTGATGCAGCGTGAGTTTGACAGATTGGTTCTGTTAAATACAAATTCAGTTAGATGTAATTAACATATGGTTTATGTACGTATATATTAATTATCTCAAAAATTGCAGTTGCAGTAAAAGCTATAGAGTTAGAACACATAGAAGAAGGTGTATTGGAGCGGATAAGCAAGAAATATAATATACCTGAAGATCATATTGATGAATATTATTTTGCCATTCTTACAATTTTGAAAACATATCTTCGTTTGCAGTGCCATATCCTTAAACCTACAGAGTTCAAGCAATGTCTGGAGGAATTAAGGTAAATATATGCTGACTGTTTTATTTATATTCTTATTTATGTAGTATGACAATATAATCAAAACACATTGGTTCGACTTTACCTTGTTAATAAAGACTGTATTTAATTTATATATATATATAAGTTGTAGTATCTTATAGATAAACATGTATAATTTTTTATGTATTATAGATTGGCTCCAGATTGTATAGAAGATTTATCTTCTGTCATTTATGGTCCAAAACAGTCATACCTGCTGTCAGGTTTAATTCAGAGGACAAAGTTTAATCCACAGTTAATATCGTGCAGATGGCGTGTGGATATCACTATTTCATCTAAGTAAGAATTTAAATTTTAAGTGTTTTTACTATAAGATAATTAAATGATTGTTGTATGGCTATTTTTATAAAGGCATTTATATTATTTTATTGCAGCATATTAAATAGAGTACTAGAGCCAAACATAATCATGGAGTGGATCTTTAATACAGGAGAATGTGTAACATTTGAATTATCCTTGGCAAAGTTTCATCAATTGAGGCATACCATAGCCACCATTCTCGTGGAATTGCAAGCACTAGAACGGCACAATATTTTTAAAACTATCCATTCCAGCTGACAGTGACAAATGTGATGACTTCTTATTGAAAATCCCTAATATTTGTACATTGGCCATAGCGATATCAAATAAATTTATTAACGCAAAGTTATCACTTTTATTCTTAAGATACCGGTTCCGATATAAAATATGTATCTTATTAAAAAGTTAAAATTTTTTACTGAAGCAATATGTAGTAATGATGTAAGAACCCACGTTTAATGATTTAGTTTAACTCTAATAATTTTATAATTATTCGGTGAGCACGTATATTTTATCTTCGCCGGTAAAATGTTCCTTGTTCGGCACATAAGTAGTTGAAGTGCGTGAACGTTAGATGGACATAGTATCGCCATCTGGTAGCCCAAATATGCTCTAATGTGTTTGTGAGTGTGTTTTAACAGTGAATATTTTGCGGTAAAATGACGTCGTTATTGAGGAATTGTTGGAAATTTTCGCGGAATTTGCCGATCGCCACTCCAAGAAGTAATGTGGATTTTTTTCGCGCGTATGACGTATCCACCAAATTATGTAATAACATATATATGTTTGCTTAATAGGTTATGCCGTCGTCTCTCCGTTATCGATACGATGGAACAGCACTGCGACCACTACGACCATCACCAACGAGAAAATGGAAAAAACGGAATCTCGTCGTATGTACAATGATTTTTCGTTCGTAGAATTTGTGAAACACCGAAATACCAATGGAATATGAACGTTACGTGTCGTGTCTGATAGTTTACCAGAAACATGTCAGCATATTTCTAAACTTTGCTCCAAATTTCCTTAATGAGAAAAATGATTCTTTTCTGTGCATAAAATAATTCTTTGCGCACACATATGCAAAACACGATTGAAATCGTCATTTTATCTTTGATACTGTTGCAGCTACAGTGCGCAAACAGAGTCATGTTGATATCCAGCAGTTGACAAACTTTGGTCATTACATTGCTGATTGTTTGCCAAAGTACATACAACAAATACAGCTGACTGCTGGTGATGAGCTAGAATTACTCATCGCTCCCGATGGTATTATCCCTATGATGACGTTTTTGAAAGATCACCATAATACACAATTTGTTAACCTGTCAGATATTACCGCATTAGATGTACCCAGTAGACAATTCAGGTTTGAAGTATGTACATATATATCTGACACAAATTGAATCAATATCGAGTTTTCAAAAATCAATGGAGAATACTTATTATTTTAGATTGTTTACAACCTGTTATCATTGCGGTATAATTCACGTATCAGAGTCAAAACTTATACCGATGAATTGACACCAATTGACTCCATCTGCGATATATTCAAAGCTGCTAATTGGTATGAACGAGAAGTATGGGACATGTTTGGCGTGTTCTTCTCAAATCACCCTGATCTTCGTAGGATTCTAACAGATTATGGCTTTGAAGGGCATCCATTGAGAAAAGATTTTCCACTCAGTGGTTATGTCGAGGTGATTATTCAATTAAATTGATTTCTATTGCCATTGTAAAGAAATCTGGTCACAAAGCATGGTCAGTTTTTCTGGTGTAGAGAATTGCTCTAACAGTCGATGATTCTTCCCTTACAGCTGCGATACGATGACGAACATAAGAGAATAGTGGTCGAACCGCTGGAGTTGACCCAAGAATTCCGTAAATTTGAACTAGCAGCACCGTGGGAACAATTCCCCAACTTCAGGGATGCTCCACCAGCTGCTGAACCTATCTTAAAAGAGAAGTAACTATAACTATTTAGATCATAATTATAGTCCAAGAAAAAGTAAGTGTAAAGTACATGCCCCTCTATTAAAGTATAAATATATATAATATATATATAATAAAAGGGGATAAATTTATTTAACCGGTTACAAGTGCGCGTAAGGAAGGACCTGATAGGAAAATATCAACAGATTCGTCAGTAATATCTTTTTTTCTATTTTACGTATTTGTATAGAGTTATAAACATAATATATATTATATATATATATTTATGTATATATATATATATATTACTTAAAAGCTACTTATAATGTATTCATAAGGCATTATATCCGACGGATTTCGAAAGAGCTCGATTGGCAAGCGATTTAACCGGATCTCTTTCGAGCGCCAGAAGACGGCGTTAACGCTAGAACGGCTAAAGCCTACATTTCGTCGGATATATATAATTTTCTTTTTTTTTCTTCGTACAGCTACAAGTCTTACACTTCATGTGGATTATTTTTACTTAATGTTCTCGATGCAGATTGCGAGGAAAGGACAGCCTTTGTCGAAAGGCGTGCGACGCGTGTTTCCTTTTTTGGTAAACGAGATAATGGTTCTCTGTTAGATGGGACCTACTTCGTTCTAGCATCATGATCGTATTTACGTACGACCCTAGTCTTCAGAAAGAGACACTATACATATGTAATGCATGGCGATTTACTTTACCCTAGACTTATTAGAGACGAAATTGGTACGTGCGCTAAATTATGCCGTGGTTGCTTCTCCCGGTGCAACCAGCATCGCTGTTTTTTTTTCTGTCTTTCGCTAAATACTTGAGTAAAACTAGAATATACAATCTTCGTAGAGATGGAAAAATGTTACTTTCAGAGAGGATCATTTTCTTTGTCACGTCCAGAGTATATAAGGCAGGAGATTTTATTTTTTCTTCCGGTTTCCGAGGTGAGGAACCTCAGTGTCCTTTAGCTTCTAAAAAAGTTCTCTCGAAAAGGATTTTTCTAAATAATCCACTCTTATTGAAGGTGCATTAACGACCTCGCACGACGCATGAGAATACCATGCATCGGAGTGTCCTCGACGTCGATTTTAATAGTATATAAAATCGTATCGTCGCGATAAATGTGTATCATCGTGATAAATGTGATGGTCGAATCGGTGTAATCGTGTGTATTCAATATCGCTGACACAAAGCAAAGACGACTTTGGTAGTCGAAACTTCTCGGTTTCCGATAACATAAAGTGAATCGTTGCATTTATATTTCATATGCCTTCCAAAGGACGATAAGACCGCGATTATCTCCCAAAACTTTCCAAGTTTTGAAGATACACAAAAGGAACTTTAAGTATCTGTGTATGTGTGGGTGTATGTGTGTATACATCTTACAATATTGCTTTCTTAAGTACTCCTCATTTAAATACTCTTCGTATTTTTACCGTTCTAAGTACACAGACCTACATTAAATGCGTCTCATTCTTATATCGTTGTTTGCATCTCAATCCTGTTTCAGTTCAGGAGATATCGTGGGGCCTCTCAGACGTAAAAAGATACTGCCGTGATTAGCACACAGCGATATATATATATAAAAAAAAAAATAAAACTTGACACAAAGCAATAGTACACATGTGTATGGTAATACTAGATTTCGTTTTGCGACATCACAGATCGTCTTTGCACGGAAATAAAACGATTTATATCCTAATTATTTTATGGTCCTTTTGCGAAGAGCTGTAGAAATACACATGCAGCGCGTCGTTTTATGTCGCAAGAAAGAGAAGGATCTTAAATGATAGAGAATTACGCTCTGTGGGCATATAAAATTAACCGAAAGTTACCGGCACAAGCACGATAAGAATCACGGCGAGTTAGTTTTGTTAAATCAATTGACTAAATATATACTAATCCCGTAGAAGGAAATAAAGCCTCAATCTTCCTTCGAATACAATCGAGTCATACTTACTTAAATACAGTCGTCATTCACTCGTCATTACTCAAGACGATTGATATACAAGAGTGTTCGATGTAGTAAGATTCTGTCACATTTACCGTTTGGTTTGGCGATATAAATGTGAATTGCTACGATTAATCATTGTCCAACGGTTGATCGCGCTAATCATAGACGATTAGTGAGACGAGCCTCCGGACTGAGCGATTCGACCTGATCGAATGTCCGAGTGATCGACGTTTCGGTGCTCGAGGCCTCGTTTCGCCGGTGATCCGCTCAGCCCGGAGAGGCCCGGCCGTGTCGTACATACAACACTCACGTTAACATCACAGTTTAATGTACAGACATCTTCTCACTCTTCCTCTCACACACGCACTTACACATACACACTATCGGCATGGCAACCTCGAGAAGCCACCATCGCGCGGTTAAGCTCATGTGCGCCGTGTGTCGAGCGTTCACTCGGCTATACTGTGTGCCTTGTTTATTATTTGGTCTACTATACTTTGTCTATCCGGGCGGACTTCTCCAACGCCGCTTGCCGCTTCCGGATGAACGGCACGGTGGCCCACAGAGACGCGCCCACCACCAAGATAATGCCGAGTATACTGAAGATCGGTCCGTAGCTGCGGATCTGCTCGAACACTAAGCCGCAAATCGGCGGTCCCACCAGCTGAATGACGCCGTTGACGAACAACGAGATGCCGTAGGACGAAGTGAGCTTCTCGGTGCCCAACATGTCGGCCATTATGACCGCGGTGATGCCGACGTAGATCCCGGACGCCAAGCCGAAGAAACCGCAGTAGACGGACAGCATGGTGTAGGTGTTGGAAGTGGGCAGAATGGCCAAGGAGATACCAGAGGCGAGTAGACCGCCGACAAAGTACCAGTGCTTGGGCATGATCTTGATGTCGGAGAGGGCGGAACCACCGATGCGACCCACCAGGTCTAGCATGGACACAATGGACAATAACAAAGACGCGGCGCTCTTATCGAAACCCAGAGAGATGGCGTAGGCCGGCAGTAGGATCACGAAGTTAGTGTAGCTGACGGCGTTGGTGGAGTTGGAGATGAGGATGACGAGGTAGATGGGATCCTTGAGTAGACTGAAGTCGAAGAACTTGTTCTTGTTGCTATCGTCGTCGTTCTCGTTGCGACGCTCGGTCGTCGTTTTCCTGGAGAACGTGCTGGAGATCGCGTTCAAGGTCAACGTGGACGCGCGCTCCGGGTGCAATGCCGACAGTGTGCTGCCGTGGTACGGTGTGCTGACGTAGTTGAAGGACGACGCGCTGGGCGACTGCAGTGGCGAGCGCGCCTTGGAGTACTTGCCGCTGGCGTCGACGACACCCCCGCGTTCTGGCACGGTGTGCAACGTCGGCGTGCTGTGCATCTGGCCGCTGATCTCGCGCCCGGTGGGCATGCTGATCTTCCTCGTGCGTCCCTGCACCGGCGTGTTCTTATAATACTCAAGGGCGACGCTCGACGCGCTCTTCGGTACGATCGGCGCGGCCTTCTCGTTGGATTTATCGGACGACAGCAGCTGGTGGTTACCGTTCTCCGTTTGCTCCGGAGTACTGGTAACGGTTACTGACATGGTCTCCCCGTTATCGGGTTCGTGATAGTCAGCCGACGGCCGTGCTGGCACCATGTGCCACTCCACCGGGTGGTACAAGAGCGCACTCGCCCAAACATTCAGCGTGACTGCACCCATGATCAATACCGCGCCTCTGTAAACGAACGAGAGATAATCGGTCGTATCACACTTCTGCAACAGTGCAACCCGATTCTTTATCAGGCCTTAATCTGGCTGCAGCCGGAATGTAACTGATATTTCGACAGTATTGAGCCTACCTATAACCGTACTCCCTCAGAAGAAAGCCCAGAACGGGCGGAAGAAATATCGAGCCTAGCGCACTGCCGGATATGCAGAGTCCATTGGCGAGTCCTCGTAGCCGTACAAAATAAGACGTCACGATATATACAGTTGGGGGAAACGCCAGGCCTGCTCCCGTGCCCACTAGTACACCATAACTGAGAACAGAGAGACGATTACATAAGAAATATTCGTTCGGAGGAATGTTATTCATGTCGCGACACCGATCGTTTCCTCGAGAAAGTGTTATGTGCGTGACAATCTCGCCGAGCACGGCTTTCAAAGTGAGAAAAGGAGATCCAATTACCTAACGCATAAGAAGGCCACAGAGTTAGCGAAATAGCTCAGCATCATCCCCGCCGCGGCGAATGATCCTCCTAACAGAGTCACCGTGCGGTAGGAATACTTGACCGAAAGTATACTAGAGAGTGGACCTGAAACGAAGAGAGACGTCCTCGCTCGATCTTGGATCTGTCAAGCCGAAAGGAAAGATCCTCAAAAGGTCTGAATATCCTTACCCAGCGAGCTGTACAAGAAATAACAAAGCGCCGGTATCCACGCAGCTGCCGCCGGTGACGCGTCGAACACCTCGAGGAATTCGACGAACAGCACTCCGAAGGACTTGACAGTGCCCGGGATGAGGAGGTTGACCATAACGGAGGCCAGGAGTACCAGCCACCCCCAGCCGCCGTCCGGTGGGACTAACTGTTCCTCTTCCTTCGCATCTTTCTCTGTAAACATGAACGCAGACATATAAATTCTATAATTTTTTAATCAGAGGAGAACGAATAAAAAAAATATTTCTCATATAAATTTTATGATTTGTAGTGATATAGTGATATTTACATAGTAATATGGAGGAATAGATTATTGATGTTAATCATTGCACATTGGTGTATCGATGCATATACAAAGTGCAATAAACCTTTATTTAAATTCTCTATACTTTTGCTTACAACGACCGATTCCATCTGTCATTCTACGTACAATCGTGTCAAGGTGATGTTATCGAAAAATGAATATTTTATATTTCATATTTTTTATGACTTATGTACTGAAAAAAAGAATAAAAGAAGAAGATATTGAGAAGTATTTATTTTTCGATGATTTTACGTTGATATTTTTATACGCAGAATAAACAGAGAAGCGTCGATTTGTTAAGGAAAAAAAAAACCATACGATTCTATTAAAAAAACGAAGCTGACCTTGAAATGATGTCAAATTATTGGCTATACAATGAAGTTAAGGTCATTAATTTATGCCCCTTTCCGAACTCTGCAACTTTTGTCTGAACCACTTTTTGTCAGTTTGCGTCATTTCAAGGAATTCCATTGTATTAAAATTCCATTCTATTAAAATGGGATACCCCCTCTTTCCCTTCTGTGTGTGTGTGTGCGTGCGTGTGTGTGCCCTCACAAGTTTTAAAATTATATATAATTATAAAATTATATTATCGAACGCAAATATATATATTAATATGTATATATTCGTTCGACAGAAACAACAAACAGAAAGTATAAATTCACGAATTCTTTTCTATTGAATTTTCCGCGGATAGTTTCGTTTGTAAACGGGGAGTACGGGAAAACTAGCAACGGTTTGCATATTAGTAATCTTGTGTAAGCAATTCGCGGGAAGGCTGAGCAAACGGCAGAAATTAGTCAAACAACAAGCAAACGATAACTGATCTCCCCTTTAATGTGTATTTTATGAAAACCTGTTCCGACGATAAGAAAATGAAGATTGATACGCTAATGAATCGCGAACAGTTAGTTTCCTCATGTGTTGACTTACGAGCGAGAACAAAACTTATTACAACTTACAAATTAAACTTATATCGCGGCGATATTTCTCTAAGAGCAGATTGCTGACGGGATCGTTAATATTGTGTGTAACAAACGGAATGTGATGTGAAAATTTCTGATTCGTACGCTGGGGGAGGAAAGGATAAAAGCGGAATTTTGTTCTGGTGCGCGAACAAAGGAAACTGGCGCAATTTTACCCGTCGCGCATAAAGAACGGCATTCATCGATATGCGACATTGTACGCGCCAGCGCTGGTCAGCTCACACGCGGAAGTCATATATCCGTTATAACGTGCCGTCTGGACTTGCTTTTATATGAACGCTCGAATAATAGATGCTTCAAAAGGAATTGACAAGAATCCAATTAATGTAATCAAGCTCCTTTCAGGCGGAACCTTCTGCCGTCCGTCTTCGATATTCTCTTTTCTCTCCTCGCTTCTCTCTCACCGAAGAAAAGATCGCTTCGATTCTTTTTCTTAAAAACCGGCCGAAATATTAAGAGATTTCAAGTATCATTGTGTATCTTCAGTATAAAGACGAACAGGATGAAAATTTCCTCATTAAAACTGATTAGATATGTAGCCTTTCTGGCGGCTCTTCGTGATGACCTCCGATAGTCTCCAACGACCTTTTTCAGTGCGTTTCTTTGTCTAAGGACGATTGTCGATAATGAGAAGTCTCTTCTCGAGCACATAATGCGATTGTCGATAGATATCGCGACTGGACTTATGCAGAGAATTAACCGACTGGCGATGCAGCGACGAACGTTGGCACCGTACGCAACATTTTGTGATCACTATGTCGGGTTTACATTCACTCAATTTACATCTTGGCTCGCACGCCAATTTTTCATTTGGCCCTTCTATTTATAAAAGTCCCGTCTATAACGGTCGATCATTAAGAAAGAAGAGACAGAGTGGTGTGGAAAGTGGAAAGGTAGGAGAAGGAGAGCGCGAATATCCATCTGTAAGAGAAAAAAGAATCTACACCCGTATAGACGCCACGAAGAAAAGCGAGGAAACGAGAGATGCCGACGACTCGCGACGATGATGTGCCATAAATTTGGCCATCAAATCACTCGTAATTCATCGAGACGCGAGTAATTCACATGAAGGAATTCTGCGTTGACCTCTCGACATGTGAAATTTCAAGATCGCTCTTTCCCTCTTACTGTCGTACAACATACGTCACTTAATAATATAATCCGCGTATCTTGCGCAATGCAAAACGGCGAAAAACAACGCTCGCCGTTTACCGAGACCGAGATTTATCCGCAACAATCGTGAGAAATACGCAAACGTCTAAGCGGAACAACAACATGCGTCTGAACCGGACAGAGATTACGAATAACATCAGCTGGAGTCAGCCAAGTCAAGAAAAAAAATCATTACTCGTGACTCTCTCGCCTTGAGTCCTGGATATGAGAGACACAGCGGCGATACGTCTCTCCAAACAATGTGAGAGAGAGAGAGAGAGAGAGAGAGAAAGAGCAAAAATTCGGCAAGGCTGATGTCACTTTCAAGATTACGGTCGATCGAACAATGGAGGCGGAAAGAGCGGGGAGGGAAAAAACGGGTGCCTGATTTTGTTTTTCTCGCGGAAGGGCTCTGCGGGAGAGGAAGCGCGAACGATTTCGCTTCTGTTCCAGACGCGTTTTAAATCCCTCTCGCGGCGCTCTCTACCCACCTAGCTTATTGGTCCCGTTGAAGCCGCCTTTGTTGTCGGAGCTCTGCGATACCAGCCTGTAGTTGCCCTTCCGGGGTTTGCCCGGGCCGAACTTGATGCTGATCCCATTGTCCTGATCTTGAACCCGTTGCATCGTCATCGACCTTTATTCACGGCTCACGGCGCGCACGAGATCGTACACAGAGCACACACGAGGGCCGTGCACACGGCTGGCGGATAAAAACGTCGGGGCCGATCGTCGCCACGGGGTGTGTATATATATCTATATATATATAAATATGCATATATAGATATACGTGTGTGTACATGTGACGCGCGAGCGAGCGAACGGTAGCGCGAGAAACTACAAACGGATAAGTGAAAAATGAGAGGCTGTGCGCGCGAGAAAAAGAGAAAAAAGAGAGAGGGGGGAGAACGGAGGGAAGAAGGGGCAACAGACGTCGCGCTTCCCTTATTTCCGTCCTTCCTGCGCTACCATTTATTCGTCGGATATCTACCTCTTTTTGGTGACGCGCGCTCCCTATCACTCGGCAGGCACGGATGTGCACGCGCGCGTACTCGCTTCCGATTATATTCACGGCCGTGTGTGTGTCGCGACGATGACGGCGGGATGCGCGTCAATGCCCGCGAAACTGAGGAGGTAGGCTGTTCCTCCTTGTCCCGAGTCGCTGGTCGTACCTCCACCTTCGTTCTCCTCGACTTTTGTTCTTCCCCGCTGCCGTTCCAGTCATAAACCCCGTCGGGCTGTCAATCGACCCGACCGCCCGTCCGTGCGTCCGCCCTCGCCAGACAAACTTGCCGTCGTCGTCGCCGTCCTCCTCGTCGTCGTCGTCGTCGAGGCGCATAGAGAACGTGGAGCGATCGCGATACGCACACATGAACTTATTTCCTCGGCTCACCGTCGTCAGAGCACCGTCATTCCACGTGAACGCGCGCACCACCGCCGCCTACGCACTCACGAACGTCCGTGCGTCGCTGGCCGACTGATCAGCTGTGTGTCACACAGGCGCGTCGGGTCTCTCTCTTTCTCTCGCCCGCCGTATTGTAGCGTCATCCCCTCCCCGAGGCGCTCGACCATTCCTCCTTGCCTCTTTATGTGCCATTATTGCAGTGTACTCTCTCTTTTCTCTCTCTCTCGTTTGCGCGAACGCAGCCAAGGTTGTGTTTGGTCTTTTCACCTGGGTTTACCACATTCCCTCGCAACCGTTTTCTTTCTGTATTGCTTTCTTTGCCCGATGTCATGTTTGTGTGTATTTTATTTGGATACGGAAAAGGCGGGCAGCGGAGATTAATTAATCGCTTCCTCTTGCATGCGAGCGAGTGAGAAGAGGTTAACTCTCTCTCTCTCTCTCTCTCCCTCTCCCTCCTTCCCCCTCTCTCTCTCTCTCTCTCCGTCATCGATAGGTACACCCCACTCCGTGAATGCGCACTCAGCGGCCGGTCCTGCCGTGGTCTTTTCCCTTCTTCGCCTCTCTTTCTTTTTCTTTCGCAAGAGCAACTATCTCTTTTTTCTATTCCCGCATGTTTCACGAGCAAAGGGCGCAATCCGAGTGTATTCCCTTGACGACTTACGGTCGGCCCGACTCCGTCAGGGTGCAGTAACCCTTCTCGCTCGGAAGATCGAAGGAGCAGATCGATGAGGGATGTATTGATAGATTCATCAGCGGTGGATAATATTTTGTGCAATTATATATATATGAAATAAATATACGAAAATATGCCTCTTTTTGTATTTATTGTCGCAAACGACTGAGCAGTGTTTATCGATAATTACGGTTACTGATAAATGCTGTTAACTATGGGCACGAGGTGAGATCGTATAAGGTAGTATTTTGAGCAAGAAAAAAGAGAGGGAAGATAAAGATAGCGCCCGATGACGGGGAAAGTAAGCTTCGTCAGTCGTCAGGCGCACTTGCAAAACACATTTATGGAACTTGGCATTTTAAACATTTATACTCCGAGATATCGTGTGGTTCCGAAGGAAAATGCAATGGCACGACGAAAGAGAAAGAGAGAGTTACGCGATGGAATTTAAAATGGTTTAAGGTCATGTAGAGAGTTGTACCCAAGGCTTCATCCAAGAAAAAAAATGTGGCCTGAAAAAATGGCACGATTTCTTCACTAAAAAAATAGAGGCAGTCCATGATGGAAAAATTTTGCATGCGGAAAATATAATGAAATTTTACTGAAATAAATTTATTTGAAATTCTCTCAATTATCCCATTTCATTATTGTTCCATCAATTTCAGTAAAAATTCAGTTTTCAGTTAATTCAGTAAATTTCATGATACCTTATATTAAAAAAAAATGTGTTATTACTTTTCAACAGTATGATTCAACTTTCCTTATATCTCACAATATTGTATTAAATTTCATAAGAAAAATTATGATTCATTTTTAAATATATTCAGTAATTTCTCAATAACTTCCATTTCACTTTTCATCGATTTCATAGAATTTTCAGCAAAATATTTCCACCACAGATGGATTTTTTTCCGCTGAGAGATCAATAGGCGGCTTTTGATATTCTTCGACACATTGTGAACGTTTAATAGAATTTGCTTTTCCCATTATCGTCTTTATCTCGACGATGTGATCGTCAAAAACAACGATACACAGTATTTTATCTTTCTAACAATAAATGAACATCCGCAGACACGTTTGCCAAAATAACCTCGCGTAACCTTTGCTTCCGAGCGATACCACGTGTGTGATTTCGATGGCTGGACCTGATTTCGTCGTTGCTTGACCTTGCCAAGTCCACAGGCTGCGAAGATGAAGGGGAGGAAGAGGAAGAGGAGGAGAAAAAGGTGATGGAGGTGGGGAGGAGGACAGAACGGACTGGATACGTGGAATGGAAAATTTGCAGTAGACGCGTTGGATTTCGCGCACCGTAGCACTTGTCATCGTCACGCCCGCGAATTTAATATTTATTGCGACAACTGTCCTACTTTACGAACGAGGAAACAAACGGGACACGAAAGCCTCGGTGTAGCCCTCTCGTCGGGAAGTACGATTCTTTGCTGCGAAAGATAATTGCTGTAAGTCCAAAATGAAAAAAGAAACGAGAATAACGAGACTTTCTGTAAAATATGCTCGAATTCCGAAGGAAAAAGAAACCATATATAGCTGTGCCTGAACACGTTTTTTTTCAACTCCACGTGGTTAATTTGTAAATTGGGGAGATAATATAATTATTTAGCTATAAATAGTTATCATGCTTATCTATCGATTTCGAGAAACTTATGGCGTATTTGTACGCCTCTCAAAATATCGTATTATTCCAGGCGATATCTAGTAGTTTCCGTCATTCGAGTATGAGAATTTGTGGTATACTGAACTTACATCTCGAATGATCGAGATAATCGTTATCGTGCTTTAGTCACATGGCTGATGTGTTACAAGTAGATAGCTTATAATATAAAGTAATTTCAAGAAATACATGTGGAAAAAACCACTCATTAGCTAAACGTTAAAGAATAATTATAAATTTGTTAGTTTCAGATACCTTAATCGCCCTTACAATGAAATTTTATTAAATCTACTTTACAGGAATATATTTGTGTTATATTATGGCATTTTTGAGCCATTTAAAATGTTTAAAACAAAATTCTAATTTCGTTAAGAAACGGATTTCTAATTTCAAGTTTGACAAAGGATTACAGTTAATCGAAGAACCATGTTATATTTATTATCGGCAGTGATACGTAAGAAATATCCCAACAATAATCTGTCGTGTTATCTGTACTAGATCTACAAATTACGATAAAGTCTTTCCAAAGATAACCAATAATTGAAAATGTGTTCGCGTCAATAGTGCGTACTAACATTATATAATTAGCATATCACTTTGATCAGACGATAATATCATTGATAATAAACCGAACAGATTAATTCCTTAATTAATTGGATCATCCGATGCGCTTCACGTTTGGTCTCGCGATTTTTTTATCTGTAAAAAACAGACCTAAAAATATAATTGATTTGCAACATGATACATATATACATATACATTTGATAAATATATGTGCAACGAGTGTTCCATAGATGCTTTTGTTTGAGTCGCGAACTTTCTGGCGGAAATTTTTACCAAAACCAAATGCTCCCTCGTTGATTACATTCGCTACCAAGTTTCTTGATAAGCGCAAGTACGATAAACGGAATGGTACTATGGCGGCGAGTCTGTTGACGAGAGATACAGGCTCGTTTGAGGACACTATGACTTAACTAATTAACCATTCCCCTTGGTAAATCAAGTGGAAATACGCAATTGCATACGGCACGCTCCACAAAGTACCAGTCGTCATAAATTCGTTCTTATTAAGCATCAATTGGGGAATTGTGGCGGCAATTATAAGCCGACGAAACCGAATCGCTGATCAAAACACACACAAACACAACGGTCTCTCTTCGTCCTTATCCGACGGAGATTTCCAGATCGATTAGAGAATGGAATTCTGAATCATTCAATCAATTTAACTAATTGAAGAAGTAAATAAACGAGTTTGTGCGATGGAAGATACAGGCGGTCTCATCGTGTTATTTAATTAGAGCCTCTTCTCCTCCCTTCGACATATACGCGAGTTGGAAAAATTCCTCTCGTGTCCCAGCACCTGGAACTGCGAGCTACGGAGAACCGTTGGCCGGAGATAATCAACCGGGATTGCCCATGAAATTCCGTGAAGTCCGTGAGAGTGAGCGTTCTCTTACGGACGGAGGCTTTTTTGCAACATTCACGCCGGTAAGTACGTTGTTTCGCAGAAGTAATCTTCAATAAATGAAGGTTTTCCCGCGTCAGCAGACCGCTGTTATCGAGACGGATTATCTATTGCGAAATCAAGAGCTCGTTGTATCGTCTTGCGGAATCATTAAGTACATCCAGTATTATTTGCGATTAGATCGAGTACGTCGTCGCACAGATTTAAATCTGCAACACTTGACTTTCGGCTTATCATCGTGATCAGCTTTAATCATGAAAAAAAAAAAGGAGAAAAAAGAAGAAAATACGACCTCAATTACTCCGCGCGAGATAAATCGTTTTTCTGTGGAACGGCGTCTTTTCATTACAAGGAGGTACGTTCGAGAGGCGCAACGCAGACAGATACATTAAATACCACGCACGTGGCGAAAAAAGCAACGCAAAAAAATGTAAAGCGGAGGACATTCTAGGAGCGCGAGGATAAAGCGGATAAAGGCCGCCGCAGCTGCGGGCAGTCGGCCGTGCAAAATACAGATACGCGTCCACAAAGCGCGTGTTTTACGAGTTACTCAGGTCGTCACGTGGCTCCCCGTGGCTCTAAAGTGTCCTCCATTGATAGCGACAGCGTCAATGTACTCCATTTCTTGCGTAAGTACGTCAGCCGCCGCCGCCGCCACCATCGCTGTGTTTGCGTGACGTAATAATACAGCTTGCGATTCTCCGATCTCTTTTGGTAAACGACGCACTATGAATTCGATGTGCTTCTCTACGAAGGAACAGGATGAATGTAAATCGATCGCTGCGTGTTTTACCGCATTGCATGTGATCGCAAACGCGCCACTTACGATATCGAGATTCTCGCCGTGTAGCTTAAACGAATTTTTATTTCATTGGACAAGATAACGCGATACAGGTACGAATTATACATTCCATGTTGTTAGTAAATTTATCTCTCCACGGGGTAAGATAATATATATGTATGTAGCTTAAGGAATGTACGCTATTCCTATAGCTATATCTAAGTCCGACGATTATAATCATACGGTAATTCCTTAAGAATAGATATTTTCGAGCTGGATGGTATGCCTAATTTCATTACTATCACATAGTTGAGTACTTCGAGTCGTTAATTTTAAGTCGTGCTGTTGGCGGCCTTATCCTTCTCCTTCGCTTGTTGTTTAATACGGTAATCTGATAGAGCGGCCTTTATTGCATCCTCGGCAAGCACTGCAATTTGCAAAGGGGAACCGTATTAAGGTCGTAAAACCGTAATATCGAACACAGCTTGATACTTTTGCCTTCTCATCTTAAGTAAATTTATTTATCCAGATCTGATCTGATCTGAAGAATATATATTTTAGTTAAAGCTATCCTATAACCGTAAGAGTATAGCTATAAGTCTGCAAGGCGCGATCATAAGAACCTATTTCCGGTGTCGTAGGCTGTAACGTAAGCTGTAAGCGAAATGAATTAAGGACTGTCTACAATAGCTGTAAAGTATGCAGCAAGATGTAAGCAATAAACTAATTGACCAATTGGATTCATACATCCCAAAAATAAATCGATTGTGGTTAGTCAATTAGCTCACTGCTTACATTTTATTGCATACTCTACGGCTATTACAGACGGTCCTTTAGTTTCATTTCTTATACCTTACGGCTTTATATCAATCAATCAAAACAAAGGAGAACATTAAAGCTCTTCTTCTCCTTTCTAATTGGTCCGCCGCTTCACGTTTTGTGATAAGCTATTGTAGACAACACAGTTTTAAGAATATTAAATATTCACCGTCAGTTAAATGCTACAGCCTTACAGGCGTACTCTTACAGCTATTGTAAAATAGCCTTTAATATCATATATATGCTTACTCGAACAGTGTAACTTGACTGGCGGGAGACGCAGCTCATCAGCAATGACAGTATTCTTCAGTGCCAGCGCTTCATCCACCTAATCAACAGTATCAGAGAAAATTACAAGGTTTTATAAACATGATATTTTTTTAAAGATAATAATAACAATATTATAGGATATTGATTATATATATATATATATATATATATAGAGAGAGAGAGAGAGAGAGAGAGAGAGAGAGAAATTATCAATTTCAAAGATGTCTTACCGTCTTTCCCTTAACCCATTCTGTAGCTAGAGAACTTGAAGCAATAGCAGAACCACAACCAAAAGTCTTAAACTTAGCATCAACTATTTTGCCATTTTCATCAACTTTGATCTGAAGTTTCATAACATCTCCACATGCTGGTGCTCCTACAAGGCCTGTGCCAACTTGTACATCGTTCTTGTCCAATGAACCAACATTTCTGGGATTCTCATAGTGATCTATTACCTATGAGGAGGCCAATTAAAACAATAATACATAACATTGTAGCAAATCTGCTATACCAACCGCGCACTATAATGACTATACACAATTATATAGAAATAAAATTGTCTTCCTAATACGTACACTCGTATTCCGAATATCGAGAACATCTCAGAATAATAATTTGGAATTTCATAAAAATTGATAAGAAAGTTCTTTCTTTTCACAACAAAAATACCGGATGGACGTATTGCGTGACGTTAGTGCAATCTATATTGATTGGTGTGAGTTACACCATATTACGCCACAAACAATCGGATAGCAATTATCAAAATATCTTGAACTATCGCAGAAGATAGATATCTTATATAAAATATCGACAGACTACTTCCCGCACGAGCGAGAACGGCGGTATTTGCAGCGGACGTCAAATAAAGCAATTTAAAAACGTGACTACGCAGTTATAAAAGTCAAGGGAAATTAACAATCGAACAGCATTTAGAACTTGAATTGTGCATTTAATGCCGCTGATTGAAAATGCCATTGCTGTATTGTAATAATAAATGATAGAATCGTTATGCGAGAACTAACTCTAGGTTAGATTCGATTGAAGGTTAGGAATGATAATAGCGATAAATGTGGTCAAATTACGTTTGCGTGATAGGAAACAGCCGGAACGCTCCGTGAGAGGATCTTCGATGTAACGCCGATTTTGGTCGGCAATGTACGAAACAATGCCATGTTACTTTATGCGCGACGTATCATTAACAGCAAACAATAACACGCACTGGTTTTACACCATCAACGCAAATGTGCAGTGGAGTTAAACTGCAATTCAATGCAGCTAGCGTTGTACCCCCACTCTAGCGACTCATTTAGCCTGTTCTTTTTAGCTGAACTGTTGCACAAAAGATCTGACTATGGGTGCGTTCGAGGAGAACCTATGAATATCGGCCAATAAGGTCTATGATTTCAACGCTGCTTTTCATTGGGTGGTAGGATAGTTGCAACCGGAGGTACAGCCGCGTAGGGAAGCGCGGCTGACCGCGAGAAGAGGGAGACCGCACAAAGCGGCCTCGGCGGAACGCATTTCAACTTGAATTATCAGAATCTGATAAAGTCTGTTCGTTTTCGCTGCATCGCTGAACCAGTGCAATAAGTTGAAGTGCGAAAACATATACTTGTCTCGCTTCAACTTATTGCACTCGTTCAGCGGTGCAGCGAAAACGAACAGAACTATAGTGGCGAAGCAGAAAAGGCCGTTGAGCTGTCACGCTAAAATTTGAGAACTGAGGACAGTTTTTCATTGGAGGAGGAATGAGAGTAAATCGGAGTGCAAGGAGAGGGGGTACGTTTCTTCGCTGCATGAAATTCTAGCTTCAAGTTCTCTCTGCTTGTGTCGGCTGGAGCACTGTTTACGAAGCGTGCAGGAACTGGTTAACGGTTTTCGCGAAGATTTTCGACGATAACGGAACGGCAGACGACCGCTCTTTCATATAACACACGTTCTTCTTTTATGCGCCAGAAATGCGACATCCCGTTCACGGCGGGACCACTTTCCTGCGACATGCCGAAGCGAACACATCGTGTGTTTCGCGTGTGATCTAGTTCCGGGTGCCCTGGCCGCGTCTAGAAGAATTCAAGCCGCAGAGAGCGATATTTGGTGGAAGTAACGGCCGTTTACAACGTGCATCATAAGTAAAATGGCCAACCGGGACCAGTCCGTCTCCAAAACCGCGGACGACCACAGTGTCGAGGTTAGCAACATTTTTCTGTATTTATGCTCTTTTATCTTGACCGCGTTTGTTGCATTTGGGAAGACGCAAACTAGATTCAGCCGAGGCTAATGGATTGGAATCTTTTCTGTAACGGAATTTCGTAACAAAATTAGGTGCTAATTGACTGATTATTTCTAATTTAGACGCTGGCGGAAGTTTTTCGATGTTTCATTTGTATGGAAAAACTCAGAGACGCGCATCTTTGTCCACACTGCAGTAAGTTATGCTGCTACACATGCATTAGGAGATGGCTTACTGAACAGCGTTCTCAATGTCCTCACTGCCGAGCTTCACTTCACTTACACGAGTTGGTAAATTGTCGTTGGGTCGAGGAAGTGACCCAGCAGCTTGATACATTGCAAGCTGTTGGTTTATCCAATTCTCGACATGATGATTCCAGTAAAGACAGGTTAGTGTAATATTTTAGCTGCGTTCTTTTTGAATGCTCAAGTGCTGTAAGCATCATTCTATCTATTGTTTATTACATATCTTTATTGTTCATTATATTAAAACAGGATAGAATGATATTTATGGTACATGAGGACCTGAAGAAAACGCCTTTGTTTCTTTCACATTTCTATTCTCTTTTTATATATCTAGGTTCTAGATTATTTATATATATGCATGATATGTTATCATATGTTATTACATGTGATAATCTATTATTGTTTTTATCATAGGTGCAAAATGCATCATGAAAAATTATCTGTATACTGTTGGCCTTGCCGCAAATGTATCTGTCATCAGTGTGCTTTATGGGGTGGCACCCATTCAGGACATACCTTCAAACCGTTAGAAGATGTTTACGAGCAGCATGTTACTCAGATAAAAACAGAAGTGAGCCAATTGAACAGGCGCCTTACTGAGCTGATAAGTCTCGTTCAAGAAGTAGTATGTACCTGTAGCAGATTTATCAAGAAAATCTGACATTTGTAGCAAAAGAATAGACATCAGTGCAATGTCATGATGTTTTAATTATGTTTATCTTGCTTATTAGGAGAGAAACGTCGAATCAGTAAGAGCGGCGAAAGACGAGAGGGTCAGAGAGATCAGGAACGCGATAGAGCTGATGATAGCTCGTCTGGATTCTCAGCTGAAGGCCAAACTGCTGACTCTGATGGGTCAGAAGAATTCGTTGACTCTGGAAACCGAGCAGCTGGAAGCTCTGCTGCAGGAGGTGGAGTATCAGTTGCATAATTGCACACACTCCGAGCTGATCGCCAAGAGTTCCGAATTGTCTCGAAAAATACATCAAATTCGCAAGAAGCCAATGACGAGTTTCGTCACAGCTCCAGTGCCCGCAGACTTTCACAGGTAAATGGAGCGGTAGAAATTAACGCGATTGTTGCTTACGACGACCTCGATTTATCGTAGCGTATCAACGTTTGAAGGGAGTAATTTTTGTATGTCGATGCGACATCACCCAATGTGTGCTATTTCAGCGAAATTGTACCAGGCTACGACAGTGCGACGTTCTCCATGCAAAACTTCACTCAGCTTCAACTGAAAGCTGACCCGGTGTACTCGGCTCCCTTGCATGTTAATGGTCTGTGTTGGAGATTAAAGGTATACCCAGATGGCAACGGAGTTGTACGTGGGAATTATTTGTCAGTATTTCTAGAGCTCAGTGCTGGGTTGCCGGAGACTTCAAAGTACGTGAGAATTCATCCTATATATATATAATCTTCATGATATAAATTATATTGGAACTTATAAATATCTATTTAAAAGGAGGTAAGAGATATCTGTTGCGAAAATGTTCGATATCTCTGCAGGTACGAATACAGAGTCGAGATGATTCATCAAGGCTCCCGCGACACGAGTAAAAACATCGTTCGTGAATTCGCGTCCGACTTTGAGATCGGCGAATGTTGGGGATACAACAGATTCTTCCGGTTGGACCTGCTCGCGACGGAAGGTTACTTAAACACGGAATTGGACACTCTCATATTGAGGTACATCTTTTCGCGTATTTTCTGCACCGTTCGAAGCTGGATGTTTTTCAAATTACGTCGTACAACTTGTATGATCAGTCACAAAAGGGTCGCGACACTTTCTTTCTGATGAGTTTCGCAACACATCTCGTATTCCAATAGGAAAATGTATCTCCTGAGAATCAGTAGGATACAAATTCTCCTATTGGACATGGGATGCGTTCCGAAACTTAGAAACTTATATTCGCAATCTTTTTGCGACTGGCCATACAGTTACACAAATCGAACGTTTTACCTGACATCGAATCAACAGATTCCAGGTACGGCCGCCGACATTTTACCAACGCTGCAGAGACCAGCAGTGGTACATCAGTCAGCTGGTGACGGTTCAAAATCAATACGCCACTCAGATCAACGAATTAAAGGAGGCATGTTATCCGGCAAGCATTCGCTTTCGTCGTACAACCGTCTCGTTCCTCAAATGAATATTCTCTCTCTCTCTCTCTCTCTCTCTCTCTCTTGCAGAGATTAGCGATAGAGATTTCCCGTAATGCCGTGGCAGCTACCAGAGCCACGAGCGGCAGTACGATATGCAGATCACCTGCAAATATGTCACCTCTGTCTATGCAGCAGCAACAACAAGGCTCGGACGATATGGCGGCCGGTTCGAACGCTACGCGTACCATCGACACCGCTGCGAGTGGAGCATCAACAAGGTGATATCACCGTGATGCCACTTAATCCAGATTAGCTTAATGAAGTCTAGTTAGTACGCTCCGACAAGCGGGAAAAATATGCGATAATAAAATGTCTTGTCCACCGTAGGTCGATATCGAGTGTGCTTCCGGGTAACGGCGGCGGCAACAGCAGTGCGACGTTACCGAGCGATCATTTGATATCGATGTACGACTTGGGCGAGCTCTCGAACATCCATCCTCCCGTCACCACGCCGACTTTGTCGTCGAAGACGTCACTGAAGTCGCATCGTGCCAACAATCTGAACGTCGTCGAGGCCGAAGCAGCTGCCCGTCGCGTCAACGACGTGTCGCTCGGGGAATGCCAAGTCGCGGGAATTCACCTGGTCCCTTCGTCCTCCTACTCGTCGCCCAGTGTTCTGAATCAGCAGTCGTTAACCTTACTGTCCAACAACAACGGCGCCGGCAGCAACAGCGACCCCATGCTCTGCTCTTCGACTTTGCCGTCGAGTGTGATCGCGAGTGTGAAGCAGCATCGCCTGGTGAATAGCTTGAATGTCTCGGACGGCGAAGTCGTGCAATGTGACGGGTCGCCGGGTTCCGCTGCCGTCAGGGTTCAGTCGCCGTCGTCATTCTACATGTCGCCGCTGAATCTCTCGTCCAATAGCAGCAGCAGCGACAGTGGCGTGAGTACATTAGTTTCTTGCGATTTAGACCTCGCCTGGTACCCTTGCGTGTCGATCACGTGACTTCTCCCCGAGGGCGGAAACGTGAAAAGTGAGATGTTACCAAATATTTTATTATCATGGTGTCATAATTTTATTATAATAAAATTGTCAACACCCAGTGGATCATGGATCTTTTCCTCCAGCGTGAACTCGTGAAGAGTGTAAATTTTCTAGTTTGAAAACATTTCACTTTTCACGTGTTCGCTCTAAGGGGAGGGGGGAAAATTACATCGGTACCCTAACTCTATGTGTATCTCTCTCCCTCTCTCTTTCATTGATTTTTTAATATACGGGAAGAATTATTTTCTTTCTGTTGTATGTGTAGGAATTAAGCGAGCATGACATCTACTTGAATGAGTGCGAGCACAACGAACCCAACGTCGCGCTCTTGGATCTGGCGAATGACGAGAACGACGTGGATGACGAAACCATGTCAGGTATAAAGATCTTGGTAGACGTGTGTGTTAAAAAAAGTAAGAGATTGTATTGCCAAAAGAAAAATTCTAAGAAACGCACACGATCACAGGGTTAATTAATATTTCTGAAATATTACTCGCCATTATATAAACAGCGACGATTAGTAAAGATTATAGATAATGTTTGCCTGGGAAATTAAATGTTGAATTTAATTTCCTGAATAAGAGTAAGCTTGAGTTGTGTTTTCTAGGGAATTTAAACGATGTATTGCAAAATTAGGTGCTAGCTCGAATAGAGAATCGTCCGAAGACGAGCAAGAAGTGCGAACGAACGCGACTAAACCGTGGATATGTAATGACACTAAAGATGTGGAAAACGAGAAACCTACGAATCAAAGACAAGATGAAGAATGCCTGAAGGAAACCCCCATGTCAATTATTCCTAGCAATTTTCATGCGACTCCATAGAATTTAATAAACCTCTCTTTCTATCTTAATATCCAAAATTCATTTTTCGAAAAGAAATAAAGCGTGAATTATTGTATAATGTCCCCAAGGTATCCCTGTCTACAGGCTACCTTGCCTATATGTGTCTAATCTTACCTAATTAACAAATATATCTAAATTATCGGTATTATATCGAGACTATACGAATGTTTTCCTTTAATTTGTATAACTGTTCTACTTAAGTAAAACAAAACCTTTTTTGCCACGCTCAGAATTCTCATCGAAAAGATTATCGATGTAACTAATTGCACCGGAATAGTTGACTTATCAAGTAACTATTAAAATGTCACCATTTCCGTAACATCTTAATTAACAAAAGACGACTGAAATTTACGATAGAACGTTTTGTACAAGACGCTTCTGTGATAAGATGAATGTAATTTTAGGAGAAAACGATGTTGAAGTTGCGGAATCTCTCGCACCTTGGGCTCAGAGCAAGCAACGCATGAAGCAGCAAAACAGAGATTCCGTCACAGAAACAAACCGGTGCGTTTACTGTAGTTATGTCAATTTACTATAGTCGTGTTATCGGTGAGGATAATGATAGGAACATTTTTATAACCGCGTATTCTGCGGTTCACAGGCTCAGGGAGATAATGCTGCTGAATCTGTTCGAGATGCAGAACATGAACTCAGCGTGGACCCTCTGCCTCGGGCAGCAAGCGGACGAAAACTGCGATTCGAGGAGCTCGCTCGCCTGTCTGCGGCGTCATAGTTCCAGTCCCCTTGACTGTAACGACGTGGTGCCTACTACCGCGGCGTACTCGCATAAGCATCACGAGCTCGACACATGCAACGAGCCGAGTCTCGCCGATAGGCACTCCAACTGTGCTTACCATCACTCCCAACGGCGTGTGACGGAATTGACTCGACTGCTGAATCAACTGCCAAGTGCTTGTCAGTCGAAGCTGGCCGCGTTAACGCCCTCCAGCAATCAAACGACCCGCTCCGAACCGGCAACGCGCTCCAACTCGATAGACTGCGAGAAAGATTTGCCGAAACTGCCAGTAGTTAATAAAGCGAACCACGATGTGGAGTCACCTAGGCTGTCGGATTTAATTGCCCCGAATGGTTAATACTATAACTGGTAGTCGTGAAGTAAAATCGCCGTCGTTCGAGTCGGTCCATTCCTAATTCCAGCGACTGAATTAGTCGTAATCGTTAGAATTGGAAGTGGAGTGACTGGAACTACTGCGACTATACAATCCTACCGCATTGTATAGATTCCGCTTAACTCGAAAATGTCATTTTAGTTCTTTTAGACAGCAACAAAATCATGTCGAAGCATTTGCTGTCTCGGCGCCAATCGTCACCGTGTTCGTCCGCCAGCTTGAATTTGATAAACGACGAGAACAGCAAGACGTTCGAGTTCGATCAATTACTCGAAGCTATCCAGATATTGTCGGGAACGCAGAAAGACGCGACTACTTGCAACGTAAAATCGAGGTAAAACTCGAGATAAGTCGATAAGGAAGGAACAAGCCGAAGCATCAGGCTTTGTTTTACTTTCTGGCAACTTTCTAACAAATATGATTATATTCCATCTTTAAATGTACAGAAAAAGCACTTCGTCCGACGCGAAGAATAACGCCTGCACTTCCAATGGAGGTTCCACTGCGGTTTCGTTGATACAGGAAGGAACCTCGTCGTCATCTGCAAGCGCTATGATAACAGCGGACACTGTTCCTAGTCCCAATAATTATAGCTGGTCGCCGGCATTGTATCAGCATACACATGGTAAGTAATATGCGCTCAAACGTGAGAAGTTCAAATTCCTCTCGTATTTCACGACCTTTTGTTTTCGCATTGAAAGACGGTCGTTTCATCTTACAGCGCAGAAAGCTGTTCTAGATTTGGCTGTACAAGGTTCGTCGAATGATATTCCTAGTAAAAGTAATCTCGATAAGTAAGTAAATGTGTGTCGAATTTTCATTCCTTTCGAAAGAAAAATAGATATGGGGTGTTCAAAAAGAACCGTTTAATATTTATTTACTATTTATATACCGTTTAATATTTATTTACTATTATGTAAGTATTGAATATTTTTTTACACCCTGTATATGTTTATTGAATCTGTCGGAGAGTGTTTAGTTGGAGAGAAAGGCGCCAACAGGATCACAGGTGAACATTGTACTCCGTCGTATCAGCCAATTACAAAGTAGCCGGTCACATGACCTTGTTGACGTCTCTTTCTTACTCATTGAGCTATATAACATTAGAATGAGCATTGGCGCAGTGGAAGCCTATGAGACAAAGGCCGTGTCTAAGTAGTATCTCGCTCTGTCTTACTAAATCCTGGTCTATAATAAATACTTTAAGTTCTAAGCCTTAAGAAATTGACTAATCACAGTCGAATTATGGAAGAAAGATGAATTATAATTGGTCAATTTTTTAAATCTTACGCTTTAAATTCTCATTATAGACCCCGCTTAAATATGCTATGTAATCTATATAGGCTAACACGAGGTCATCTGGTAGAAACAAAGGCGCTCATTCCAATTTGTTATATAGTTCAACGCTCCTACTAGAGGCTCTCTAGAAGCTGTATGTTATATGTAAGTTCAGCTGTACGATTCTTCCAAGATATAAAAGATTGAAGTTTGAAATTTCACGTGTTTCCATTTGTTTATGCAGATCTACAGAAGAAGCTGCCAGTTCGCCGTAATAATTTATAACTCGAGTATATCATAACAAATGTGTTCTGTGATTTCTACTTTGTTTTAATTGTAACCGCGAAAGATTGAGGAGAGGAGCATCTGCATTCTGTCAAACAAAATGATCCTGACCACAAAAGTGTGTCTACACGATTAGTCTGATTTTTATCGGGGACATACAATTTATTTCAGACAGTATATATGAAAAAAATTGTAATAATATAATTGCTTGTGACTTTTTTAGCTATCCTTTTTTTCTGATTATTGTGTATGCGAAATTATTATTTCTAAAATACCATTCCACGTGAAGTAGAATTAAGTTTGTTATTTAATATTATTTATTTCTTATATACATGAATTATACACCCGAAAACAAAGAATAAATAAAAATCAGTTGAAAACAAACGAATTGTCTGTCACTTGAAAGAGAAAGTCCGTTTGATATCTTTCGCTCGAGTCTCGTGTTACTCGCGAAAATATTAGGTTGGTGCGTATGAAATGTCGGATTTTTAAGTGAATATATAAAACTGCGATTGTAGCTTTTGCAGCATTATTGCCAAGTTTATACTCATATAAAAAAATTACACGAATATCGGTTGAATTCATATCCGTACAAAATTCAAAACAGATAACAAAAGGGCACACTTTTGAAAAGATCTTTGTTAAAATATGATTCTGGCAATGGACAGTACGACTGTAAAAGAGATTATGCCAAAAACAAAAGCATAACAAAAGCAAGGAGACAAACGTTCACATGTAAAGAAAATTCGACATTTCATATACACCAACCTAATAAAAGGTCCGCTTAACTTGTCGTTGAGTCGTACTACTTACTCGGTTTTCCGTTGAAAACGATGGCGGCTCGTAGCGGAGACTTTAGAACTAAATATCTACGACCCGTTGCAGTTGAACCTCTCCGTTAGACCCGTTATTTTATATAATTGCAAAGTTGCGAATCACTACTATCTCTCTTGATAAAATGAGCACGTAGTACGACTTAACGATAAATCCGACATACTTTTGTTTTCGAACAATATGAATAATTCATCAACGGATAAGAGGAACTTTTTTACTTTTAAATATAATTCAATAACGAATAAAATGATCTTTGCACTATCAAATAATGCGACAGGTCAAAGAGATAATTACTTTCAATTAGTACGACTCAACAACAAGCCGGGCGAATTTATTCTTCAATAAAACAACCGAACAACGGTCCGAATAAACTTTTGTCTTTGTTTACTAACAAGATATTAGTCTTTCTGACCTATCGATGAATTATATCAGCGAAAAATAAGGATTCGGGCAGAAATTTGTGAAACGCCTAACATGTCAAAGTGCAGCAGGAGACACGTTCGAAATGGCGTCACGCTGTGACGATAATAATAATAATCAGTGGATTAATTGTTGCTAATCGTAAGCATTTGCGGGTTGTCGACGTCGATGGTTGATGAGCTACTTCGCGAGCTATTTTTCTAACTAATTAAGGATGACAAATTTACAAAAAGGTACGTTGTTCGGCGTTGCTCGAGATAAAGCGACGGAATAATATGAATGACATCTGTCAATAGCGAAAGTATCAATTGCATTTGTATTTGCGATTGATTCTCCGTTATTCTCGGGGAGTCTACTATCAAATCCTTCGAAAGTGTCGCAATTGTCATCTTAATCTAACGCACAACAGGATGGCTGCGGTGATTCTGCCCGACTGAGTACAGAGATCGTAGAATTCGCAATGGACAATCTGTCGGATTCCTTCCGAGGGGAGCTGGACTCCGTAACTTCCACGGATTCTCTCCAATTGATCAGCGACGAGTTCCAATTGCGGCACCTGTCAACGCCCGATGTCTCAAATATCGAGCTGTCGAAACGAGTAGCCCTGCTGGAACTGGAGAACGAGCGGCTTCGCATTGATTTGGAGAACGTGCGGATCGACCTTAACGCCAGGATCGCCGCGAATCAGGGTCTGAAAGGCAAGATAACGGAGCTGTTTGTCGAGATGCAGTCGATGCAGCAGGAGAAGCAGAAGCTACGGAACACCTTGACCGACACCGTCAATCGTCTATCCTCCGCGGAGACCTCTGCGAAATGGTACCAATCTCAGGTGCACATCCTGATGGCCAGCAAGAAGAGCCTGCAGATAGAAATCGAGACCTACCAGAACATTCTGAAGCAGAGGCAGCAGGCGATAGTGGACGTAAACGCCAGCTACAAACAGCTCAACGCCGACTTCAACGAGCTCGCGCAGCGGTATCAGAAGGAAAAGCGGGAGATGCAGGCTGCGATTAAGGATCTCCAGTCGCACGTGCGGTCCGTCAGCGCGGCGCAGGACACGCTGGACGCGACCGGCAGTCCGACGGACGTGTCGATGATGCTGGAGGCGACCGAGGACGAGTTGCGCAACACCAAAGCCGAGATGAAAGCCTTGGAGCAGCGGCTTCTGGGCGACGAGGTGGCCAAGATGTCGATGGAGAACGCCCTGAGCAAACAGCGCGTCCTGATCTCGACCATGGAGGAGAACTTGCAGAGGTGCGAGACGGAGAAGCACGAGGCCGCCGATCTGCTGAGGAAGGCGCAGTTCGAGATGCAGAAGCTGCGCTCCGAGAACGAGATACTGCATACCTCCTTGTCGGACTCCAAGCGGGAGCAGAGCCAGGTGGAGGACGCGATAGCTCACCTGCGGATACAGCTGAGCAAGATGATCGCGCAGTACAAGCTGCTGAGGACGAAGAACGCGGAGTCCGAGGAGAGGCTGAGCGGCATGCGAGACCTCGCGAACGAGAACAAACGCCTGAGGGCCATGTCGCACAAGGCGAACAGCGCTCTGCTGAAGAAGCTCAGGGAGGAGAAGGCGAGGATGCGGAGTCTGGAGCAGAGGTTTTACGGCAAGCGGATGAACGGTCAACTCGGCAACCTGGTAACATCATCGTATATTTTACGCTGATCAAGCATAAGGAAATACAAGTCGCGAATCTTGTTCCTTGACTATCGATCAAGCTTCGCTGTCATCTCATCCTCTCCCTCTCTCTTAATCTTTCAGAGAAACAGAACGGAGCACTGCTTACGGGAATGCTTGAGACAGGTTCTGTCGAGAAAGGTAACTCCAGCCTTGGTGTAACACACGGCAAGGCTGAATCTACAATAGATGTAGTAAGTCTTTTGTTCTGGGCGGCAAATTGTAACGTAATTTCTAGAGGGGAGCGTTTTTAACTGGAATCGCCGTGATTGAACGACTTTACGATTGCCACGACCATATTATAAATCCAGCTTAAGACTCAAGCGTTACTACGACTTGTGCGGGAGCGCGGGAACGCTTTTGGCTAGAAATTACGCTGTGTTTGATTGCTTTAGAGCGAAAGACCATGCTTGCCGCACCTATTGTAGATCCGGGATCGAAAGTTTTGCGTTAACATCGCGGAAACGCGCTGTTGTTATTCCGCAGGATTTGCAGGACCGATCGAAGTCGACGACCAGGCTGGCTGATGAGAGTATCGACGAAGGGTACGGCGACAGCAGCAACACCTCCTCGGTCTCGCTGGACCTCCCCTCGCCGTCTCCCATCAATTCAGTATTATTGAACAGTGCGACTGACGTTCTCGCGCGAAGCAAGGACTTCTGCTCGCCGATGCAAGAACAACTGGACGCTCTCCGATCGAAGCTGGAGGGACTCCGAGGCCAATGCGAAACGTTGGAGGCCAACGTCTTCATTCCAGGGTCAACGTCGTAATTCCACTGAGATATTCCAAGCTCGAGGACTATTTCTTGTTCGTGATTATGCGAACGGAAGGATAGCCTCGGCGAATAAGCGTATATATTCCGTTTAGTTGAATTTGATTTGCCGTTGCCGGCAAAACGTCGTCGATTTGAGGTATTATTGCGTTACGAGGAATAAAAAAAAAGAAATGGAAGAGAGAACCGTTTATTACCGATGGTACCGAGGGTGTATTATTAGTCCCTAAGTGTAGAAAAGGTTGCAAAGTGATATCGCGTTGATATATTTATTTGTTACGTTTTTGACATATTATTATATATATATGACTGTTACTAGTATCTGATATTTATTCTCGCCTTTGTATCGGTCATTCGTTTTCATCATTGAGAATCATTAAGAAGCGCATCCTGCTGAACCGAGAAAGTCCGAATCAGCTGTGCTTTTTGCGAACGAATGTTGCGAATCAATCGTGGCAACGCTCTCCATCTCGTGTAAAGCGCGACGGCCGTATCGCGCGTTGTTGCGATTGACGCATAGCGTGCGAAATGAGTGAGAAGAAGCGTGAGAGTGCGAATGGCGGTTAATTACAGAAACGTGATAAAGAGAGAAACGACGTGGCGATGCCGCGTGTGATGGAAAAACAAGTGAACGAGATATTTAACCTGAGAATAACATCGCGGAATTCGCGGTGCGCGAGTACTTTTTATACTCCCGGAAAAAACTCCAGCGAGGAGAAGAATGTGTGTACAGCGTGAAACGCTCGCGTGTCGTCTCGCACCGCGGAGAAACGCCAGGCTCTCATGTGTGTATACTTTGTACTTACAGCTCTGTAGAAACGTATCGAATCAGGGTTGGACAATTGTATTAAATATCCTCTGGCTCGCATTTTGTAACACGGTTTGTAAGATAGCGGTAATAAAGTACGAGCCCATTGAGCAAGACAACGGCGGCCTCGTGTTAATCCCGCGTGCTGGAGAATACGGCGGACGTATGAATAACGAAAGGAAACGAAAGATTTTCAAATAAGAGTTTAATGCACGTGTGTTACACAATTCTTGCCTAGTCTCTTTCCAAGTTTTTAGTTTCAGAAAAATTATGCAATATAACGCATCGCATTGTACAGAAGCTGCGTATACCCCGGCAAGCCTTCGAGAGTCCAAGTGTGTCGCTTGCAACACGGTGACGTGTATATATATATATATATATATATATATACACGCGTAAAAAAGTGACGTAATAAAAAACTAAATAAAACCATCGCTCTCTAAAATATCACAGACATGCGTAAAACGTAAGAGAGGAGTAAATAGGTACTCCCTATACATATATAAAGCCAATCCCCTGTGAATTTCTCTTTTCTCGTGATTGTTTTCTCTTTTTTCCCCTTTCTTTCTTTTAATAGTCCGACATTCTTTGGTACTTACAAATAGAAATAGATCGCAGGAGTAACTTAACACATTATCGTATCTGGTGGTACGTGTAGAGGGACAGAGAGTGATCTTTTTTCCACATTTATAATGTATAGAAATGTTGAAAACTGAATTATCGGCCAGAGCGCTGATTCACTTATTGTACATCCGCAACGATAATCAATTGCAAAACACTTTGCGCGCACTTGTGCACTCCTCGAACAAATCTGGAGAGATGTTCGACTTGAAATATACCTGAGAAATATGCATACATTGAAATTGGAAGAAAGTATCGGCCGCAAACGTTTCTCTGTATCTCTTTTCAATGTAGGAAAGTCTCTCGAACTGAACATCGACTATTTACACATTATCCGCTTTTACACACTTTTACACACAGTAAGATATTAATTTACAAGAGACGTATTTTGAATAAATTTAAAAATATCCTCGAAAATATATACGTATATACATACACGAAAACACAGAGACACCCTTCGATAGCCATAGAAAAATTTAATCGACGCACTTTCCAACATTTAATAGACGTTAAATTTTTTCCGATTAATTACGCGTTTCTTACGTCTGGAATAATTTAATATACACATAAAACACGTCGAAATATACATACCAACAACAGAAACGTATACAATTAATACAAAAATATTAATATCATTCTTAGAATAGTGCAATCATTTTTCCGAATGTTCCATTCTTTTTTTTTTCATAGTTGCCATCGTTAACGCGATTAATTTATATTAGCCAATTATATCTATTATTATAATTTTGTTTTCTTCCTCTCTTATCCAGAGAGAGGATAATTAAAGGTGCTATAATTTATATTTCACAATTCAATAATAAGAAATTCTCTTAAGAAATGCTTTCAAAGCAGATCATGTGTCGCGAGGTTTTCTTAACTCGATGCTTCCTCTTTAAGCTTGTGTGTTTTTTTTTAATTTTAATCGTTGCAAAAGCACTCTCGATATTGCGTACTGCTTTAATTATTCGAATGTTGTGTCTAGTCCAGGTATATCTGATGCTGATATTACAGAATATCCTAGATATTTCCGCCGCGAGATTCTTCGATGAATTTCGCATCGTATTCTGCTTTCGGCAAAGACATTCGATAGGAAATGTAGTCGAAGATCTAACTGGTGAATAAAACAGGCTGGCCGAATTGAGAGATTTCAAGCGGACTCTGAGCGATCAATTTGTATGAGAGAATAGAAAAATTATTATCGGGCGATCCGAAGTCAACCGAAATGCGTCTAAAATTTCCTTACTTTAGCCTATTACCCTTTTGTAAGTATCACATTCATGTGGAAGAGTTTAAGGTTGCTAACAATTTTTTTTCCGATATAATATACATGTATGTTGAGGGAGTATCTACAATAGACGATGCCTTCGTCCCCTTAAAATTATAGTCGAGTTTTACGCGAAATGTAAATCGAACTACAGCGATACGGTGCGAGGAACTTGACGCAAAGAGAAATAACTTAAAGTAACAAAATATTCGTTCTCTTAACTGTCTACGAAATTTGCTCCGCTCCCATCAAATCTAACGCGATGGATATGCTTCGCTTCTTCTTCTTCTTCTTCTGTATTCTATCACAATTCTCTACGCTATCGGTCGCGGGCACTTCGACCTGTAAGCTTAAACCGTGAGCGACGTAACGACGGGTCTTCCCTAAAACGAATTTACGTTACTCTAAAACGTATAAATCTGCAAAACGTTTTCAGGGAATTTCCAGATATGCCATCAGTACTTTCATTGTAAACGAACGTCAAATGGCACATTTCGCATATACAGTGTGTTCTAAGTCGCTTCTAAGGTTGGCGCGAATGTTTTCCGCTATCTTTGCAAGAAGTGCGGAGAGTTTTCCTGAAAAAAATGATTGATGATGACGACGAACGCATATTTTATGCTTTTCCGCTAAAAATCTGCTCACGAAATATTAGTTTGTCGAAACTCGGATCAGCTGAGGAAAAGATCAAGCCTGCCGTTAAATAATTTCCTATAACGGTAATGCGAAACAACTCTAGCTACTAACGAGACGTTTAACGTTTTCTCCGTGAAGAATTAAACGTTAAAGCTCCTGGGCCCTCGCTGTGGCTGGTCCTTTTTTAATCAAGAAGCGTCAGAAGCGAGAAATCGTATGCCAAAATACATTACGGCATACGTAGAAATGAACGAATATACGCACAAAATGACACTCGTGATCGATTCGGCACACTTGTAACACAAATATCCGAACGCTTCCCTCAACAATCAATAAACAGCCAGAAATTAGTGTAACATCATATAACTTACGTTTTTAGCCTATTTTTTCCCATGATTTCTGTTTCTTTTATTTGACCGTTATTTATTGATTGTTCAGGTTAAAGGAAGGCGTCCGGACATCTTTACAAATGCGCTGAATTCATTACGATTGCCATATCGCATATATTCTTTTATCTTCACGTGTATCGTAATATATTTTGGCATGCGATTTCTCGCTTCTGATGTCATCAAATAAGAACATTTGCAGCGAAGGAGCCATCACGTGCCTTAACGTGAAATTTCTTAATCTTGACTTTAATAAAATTTGACGATTAAAATAAAAAAGGGACGCGCGTGTCGGGAATATAACACACTTTCTGGTAAATATAATATCGGGAAAACGACATTTAGAACACTCCGCATATACTTTCGTTACTGATTATTCGTACGACTGTTAAACGGGAATTGAAACCGACGTAAGCCCGACGAGTTCGATCTTCCGCGACGCTATAGATGCGAAAAAACGCGCGTCATATACAGATGCGACGCGCTTCTACAATTGCATACAGTATCTATTATTCGTACAGCACGAAAATCTGAACTCGCCGGCGCTGTGCCGACTACAATAATCAGAGGCGCGTCACGCAACATTGTACGCTAAACGTAATAAATGGTGTCTGTTAATTTTGATTAACGTTAATTTTATACGAACGTATAAAATGTCTTCATTTCGATGGGGCTTTTGATTGCACAGTTTTTCTCGTAAAGCTCACTGTCACACGAGTCTGGGTAAGTCGCGAAGTATTCGCACCATTATGCTTTTTTCAATATTGCCGTCTGATTGCGTGCGCTTGAAGAGTCGTGAATTTAAGCGCCCGTCCGCACGCATCATCGACGCATCGCGCGCAAGAGCACGGCAAGATCAAAAAAAGATAATCATCGCAGATTAATTGGAGTGTGGATTCTCGGCAGTGAATACAAAATTGATGCGACATTCGAATCCCCTCGTCTCTCTCTCTCTCTCTCTCTCTCTCTCTCTCTCTCTCTTTCCGATCGACTGAGAAATCGCGACTCATTTCGAGTAGTTTCCTCGATGGCAAGCTGAAGAATCCTGCCGTGAATTCTATTGTTCAAAGCTATGTAACCAACTCTTTAATCGATTAATCTTACTTTAAGCTGACAACAGCCCTCCCTCAGCTTGGCAGTAGTATCAGATAATAACCGGATAAATTATAAAACATCACACTCTCTGGGCCTGGACTCGCCAAGGTCGAAATCAAACATCTATTTTAGTGCATTAGCAATCAAGCCCAAGAGTACTTTCATCTCGCTTCAGACAAATCAACATATAGATTCCGCAGTCACGGGAGAAACGAGGCGAATCAAATGCGAACGAGAATCTAAACGTCACGAGATCGTCCGTGAGTGGAAGGGTAAAGAATGAGAAAAAGGAACTAAGGCGAAACGATATCAACTACTTTGTACGTATTGCGGATCGTTCGAAAGAGCACCACGGCTTCGGTCTACGTAGACAGTCCAGACGGGAGATCGCCACGCGTCCCGTCGTCACGTACGCCATAGTCGCGACGACGACGGGGACGCTGCCGAACAACGACACCTATAAATTTATCGCGGTGAGACTACTCAAGGATAGACAGTCACCGTATATTACACCGAAGATTACGCTACTGATGCTAATCAGAATATTGTATACACTTAGCGAAGGAGCGAGGGACGACCAGACGACGGCGGCGGCGAGCTTGTCTCGAGCCCATTGTCATCTGGGAGTAGATTCCGCCTGTCTGACTCTATCAAAGTGACGCCGGTAGTGGGCACGACCGCGACCGCGGTGCCGGTTGCCGTGGTTGTTGTGCCCGTGATTATTGTGATGAACCTGGCGGGATTGGTATTGGGTGTGATGGTTCTGCGCCTGATGCGAGCTCTGCTTGGAGTGCTGCGACAGCAGAAGTGGAAAAAGAAAACGTTGCTTCAATATTTCCGATATCGAGGGGACCGAGTGTTAAAAGGCGTTTACGCGTAAAATACAATAGACACACAAAAATGTAGGCGGTAAGACCTGAGAAAACTGACCAATCATAGTCGGTTATTTTCCTTACAGTCGAAGAATGATCGATTTGTGTGTGTGTGTGTCGATTGATTGGCCAATTTCACTGCGGCTCAAGCCTTACTGCTTACGTTTTTCTCCACGTCATGGCCCATAATCTAGGTCTACGTATGGACAAACTATAAACTATATGTACTATAACTAACTATAACTGTGTAGCTATATATAAATTATATATAATATGTTATTTATGTAGATAATAAGTAATTTATGGACGGTTGAAATGGCTCGTCTTCTTCTTACATTACGTAAGTTTGATTTTTATATTTTGTTTCTGTTGTAAAAGCTCACAGATAAACTTGAATGGTAGCATTTGTATATTAATAGCGTACAGTTAATCACTGGACTTATCATGGATTGGTTGCAATACTTTTTTTTATACAAGCTTCGGAACGTATCCCGCGTCCAATAAAAGAATTCGTTTTTTAGTAATCCTCGGGAGATACATTTTCCTACTGGATACGGGATACGTTGCGAAGCTCATTGAAAAAAAGTGTTGCAACGTGACTGATACGTATACTTTTTATTCACTACAGTTATTTTTTGAATATGCATAAAGTGGATTATATCTAATTTAATATAATATAGTCTATTCAAAATTGATGAAATTTAGTTTAAATACAGGGCACAATTTTAGTATTTACGATGCCACGAAAAATCAATAATAAGTTTGGCGAACTCGATTTCACCGATAAAAAAAGAAAATAAATATTATGTACATTGTGCTTATTGGAATCACGAACCAAGGAACACTGCCTTTTTCCCTGTTTAAAAGTCCATAGATGAATTTAAATGGTAAAATTTCTATGTTATCTCAATGTGTGTATATATATCAATTTTTAAAATTTTTAATATTGTCATAATTAACACCAAAATTTTATGTAGAAGAATGTTATAAGGTACGAGAATGGTTTGAAGAAATAGTTAGTGATAAGGACGTAAAATAGAATAAGATATGAAATGAGTTAGAGGAAAGCTATGGAAAGAGAGAAAAGAAGTGGAGTTGAAAGAAGGGAAAAAAAGAAAAACATAAAGCTAGTGACATAGGAAAGGAAAATAAGACGAAAAGCGAAGAGATAAGGCAAAGAGATAAGGTGGAATAATAAATGGTTGGGGATTAGTGCAGAAATTAAGTAGGAAATAAATAAGAGTAGATAAGAATCGGTGATTAGATATAAAAAGCTGTGATAGATTGAATAGGATAGAAATAATAAGAGAAGTAATGTTCGATGCAGTGATATTTATGAGAATTGAATTTTAATTAGTGAAGTAATATACAAAAGTACGGATGAATGAGTGTAGTTAAAGTAAATATTGTAAACCAAGTCCCTTCTTGGCGTTCAAGCTGAAACGAATAAATATCTAACACCAAAGTCAGATACGTGAACTATTTTATAGTTTAAACTAATTTAGGCTATTCATTTACCATTTCTTTTTGCACGATGCAACTTATATTTTACATAGTTTACATAGTTACATAGCTCACGTATGTATCAACATGAAAAAAGTCCGTACACGCGCAGACAATACGTGAATTATCAATGCAAATGTAATCTTAAAATCTATGGTACACATTAATTAAAAGTGAAAGGACGGGGAACGTGCAATCGTGCACTGCCGTAAAACATCGACTTACCACTTGAGTGACCGGCTGCACGGCGGTGTTAGAATATGCGTTCAGGCTCGTACCAGGCGGGCTGTTCACTTCCAGCGTAGCAGCGGCAGGATCGTCCTCCGTTCTCACCAACATCTTCACGCCCTCGGCCTCCAAATCGATTATACCGCCCCGCTGTTGCTGGCGCAGATACAGAGCCGCCATTTGTTTCTGCAGTTCCCTCAGCTCGGCGGTGACGGAGAAGTCCGTGGCGGCTTCGACGTCGATCGGCGGTGGTGCCGACCACAAGCTCTCGACGTCGCAATTGATCGACTCCCGGCAAACGGGACATATAGCCTAAGGAATAATCGTAAAATGTGCATCTTGTTATATATTCGTTACAACATATTCGAGCAGTCCATACAAAAGATAGTATTCAACAATTACATTAAGCGGGTTTCATTTAAACAATTGTAACATGAACGCACCTGAAACTTATTCGTAGTATCCTGTTGCCACTGCGGTAGTTTCTCTTGCTCTTCCCTATAGTATTTCTCGGCAGCGGCGACATGCGCCGCCAAACAGTGGGAGTGAAAGTAGTGATAGCATTCCGTCTTCGTGAATTCGTCCCCTTCCCGGAAGCCGTACAAGCAAACGGCACACTGATCAGTAGGAAGATTGCTCCTCGTCAAGTGTTCTCGTACTAACTGAAATATTATTATTATTATATGTGCTTTATATCATATTAATATCAATATAATCACTTATTAAATAGTTGTTAAAGAAGGAATGCCAATAGGATAATTCCTTACCTCGATCAATTCAAACATAACTGGTTGGCCTATAAAGTCTTTGCATTTGGCTTCTGCATCAGACTGCATTAACCTCACCGTGTTCTCATCTAAACCTCTTGGGTTTCGAAGATTGATAGCTGGCGAGACATCTGGGTAACCCGAAAGTAATCGCACCACCAGTGTCACACAGACATACTGTGATTGGGAGTCTTCACCCGTTGAAGGAAACAGTATCGTCTCGATGTACTCTGGTTCTCCTCTGTGGAAACATGAATTAGCTAGCAGCAAAGGGAAAGAGTATGTTAATATTGCAAGTGACCTGTTTGGAAATATGACGCCTTTACAAGTAACCTGAATATATTCTTGAAAGCAAGTCCCAGTTGAATTTTACATATAAATCATATAAGATTAGAGTTTTATATTTTGAGACTGCTAAAAAATTCAGAATATAAATATACATGAATAATTCTTTTTGATAAAAAATTTAGATGACACAATATTTTTTATAACTCTATCAAAAATCTAGGTTAAATGATAATTACTGCAATTTATAGTTATCTTGTTTCAAAATTACCAGGAAATAAAGATATGAAGGTCTCTAATATATATATAATATTATATATATATATACCTGTCATTCTCCTTGATATTGAGCTCATTGTCCAATAGGATTGCTTTTAATGCCTCAATCTCATCAGTCACTCTGTAAAAATTATTGCAAGCATTAAAACCATTATTATATACACAGACACATACACTCACATACACATATATATATATATATAACTCTTAATTTTGGATGTGACAAAGGCAATAAATCTTACAATAAACTTGTTCTCCTACAAAATTACATATAAATCAAAGCATTATTCTCAACTTTAGGGTTTTATAAGATAACATATGATCATCCATATATATACAGACACACATATATAAACACACACACACTTTCACCCAGGCTCATTGAACAAGTTGACAGATACACCTGTCTCTTATCTTCTAATCAGCCATACGCGAATTTTCTGTTCAACAATCTCAACCAAGTAAAATACTTACAAAGTAATTGTGGGAAGAAATCAGAACAAGAGCAAAATAATTAATGACAAATTAATGACAAGTTCGTGCAAGATATATACATTGCCGACGAATAAAAGTGCAGGTATCACTGATGAAATCGGCAGGATTCGCGTTTCGGGCGCGGGTGGGAGATGAACGAAAACGTCAAGTCGATCGGCGACTCCCGTGAACATTTCCCAGGGAGGCCGTGACTTGGCGCGGCCAGAAGTGCAGCGAGTCGTGGATTTCGGGGAGCTGCGATACGTCCCCGGTATCTATACGCTAATTATTGACAATTGTGCGAATTACCGTTCGTCCACCATCGCGTCCGACATCGCCGTCCCTCGTCGGTCAGTAATCGTCGATAAGCTGCGTCCCGCTTGCCACTGAATCGAGGCGATTCTTCTGCACTCGCGAATAACACCGCTCTCGCGCACTTTGACGACGGCCGCGAGAGCGTCAAATGCGCGTCAATATTGAAATCCTTCTGCTAGCACGGCCGACACCGAGCAGCTCCGATTGGCACCCATCACCATGTCCGTTCGCCAATCGCCGTCTAACGAGTGGGTAGCGGCGGCACTGCAGTTGGTCGATCGTCGTGCTTGCCCGGAGATTCGATTGGCCGGCCTAACCTAATCCAATATACTGCCTATGCTATCGCAAGTTGCACTGTGCTACACTTTCGGGTGCCGATACTTTTCGCGGCAAGTGTGAAACAAGAGTGTACTATTCGGACGCTGTATAAGACGACGTTAAAACAGAGATCTATTTGTTAGCTGATATTATTTATCATTACAAGTTTATTTCTTTTGCACGTAACAGATTGTGTCTCGACAGATATGGACATGTCTGCGCATTATAACGATAAGTACTCCTTCCGTTATCTTTTCTTACACTTTTTTATGCGTATCCGTATGCCATTGACCGATATGCACACGACTGTGCTTCTTGTCTATCAGGATACCTTGGCCATGACGAAGGCCGTCCACGAAGTCGCCTTCGTACCAACGATCATCGGTCCATCCCAAAAGACCTCTTCCTTGAATCCGATTTTGTTCGAATTGACCCTATACGGTAAACTTGCATTCATCTTATACTAATTCCAAGCTGATGATTTGTATCAGCTAACTGTATTGTACAGTGTATCCCAAATCAATAAACTTCGTGAGGGCGAGAAACAGATTAAAGTGAACAAAAAAGTATTTTATCATGCAAACACGCAAAATAATAGAGGATTTTTTCTGTTCACCTTAATCCATTCTATGCCCTCACGAAGTTTGTCTCTGTTAGTCTGGGACACTTTGTATATTAATTTAGGTGTATATATTCGTCGACACCTTATATCGGACACCGTCATGCCATTTGTAGGTTCCTTCACCCTCCATCATCTTCCTGCTGATGCGACCAGAATAAGAATTGCCATTGTAGAAATTGATGTCGGCAAATTCGTCAGGCAATGAAAGCCTCCAAGATAGTACGTGAGCCTCTTCTTCTCCTTCGTCCTTTCCTTCTTTAATGAGCGAAGTATCGCTAACGAAATGATCATCTATCTCCTCACCTTCGCCGATATCGTTGTCGTCGATTTCGACATCGTCTTTATGTATCGTGGATGGTTTCTTTCGCAGGAAGTGGCCTTCCCATCTATATCAATCAGATTGGACCAATGATATAACAATAATAATTCTTTTATATTAAAACAACTCGATTACTTGGTAACAAACGCCAGAAGTATATCATTGTACAACAGATAGATAAACTCCTCCTTAGCGGTGTATTTGCGACGTTTATCGGCTAATATTTCTTCGAATGGCAGTTCCTCTTCTACAATTTTATCATCTTTCATTGAGAGTGCCTTTATATCTTCTATGTCTTCTTCTTGACATACATCCTCTTCTTCGTAGCAAGGAGCCAAGAACTCTGCTTTTTGACACTTGCACAGAATTTTTCTTTGTAGTTCTTTTACATCTAATTCTTTTATCTCGCATCCCATATCGTCAGACTAGAATCTTTTACTTCTCTAACAATGTCATGAACTTTGTTTCATCGCTGGTGATATGACGCTATCTTCGTGTAATATTAGAAAATGACGCGATAGAAAGCAGCTCTTTAAACTATTAGATTGTGAATTTTTGATGCGGGAATTATCTAATCGAATTATATTAACGATTAGTACTCTTTGGTTCGCTTTGAATTTTCCTAAAATAAATACACACATAAGAAATTACAAAATGTCGAAGAAAAATCGGATAAACGTAAGGCAAACAGGGACTTATTAATGTTCGACATTTAATTTTTGTACAAATGCTTATTACAGCCCATCTTCCCGCCTTATGATAACGCAAACGAGGATCTGGAACCTATCGTATTTCACTCTCCAGCGATATATGATGATAAAGTCAAGATCCACGATTGGTAAATATTGAGTTGAACTCTCCTACTTATTATTAGTCTACATTTCTCACTGGTTGCTTAACTTAAGATCATTTATTCGAATAAGTCAGAGAGAAATATTCAGCAAATCAGGGTCAAATATTCAGCAGTCAAAATAACACACGACGATATTTTAGGAACTATGATAATCTGATGCTTTGAATTATTTTTTATTTTATACTTCGGATTACTTAAAGATATCCTATAATAGAAATGTACCGTTTGTGTAAATAAATCGTGACGGAAATATACACACAAGTATATCGCGTATGTATTCAACGTGGATACGGGTAGAAGTAGTTATCGCAGGTGACACCAGGTGTTTGTTAATCATAGCAACGCGCTTATTTCACGCATTCGATCAGAATGTCGTATTATTTCGTATTTCATTTATTCGACGCGATTATAAGCGATTGTAAAGTACTTCTGGCGTTTGTATTGTAAAATAGTTAGTGCAGTGCTACTTAAGAAACAAAATGGCTGTACAATAGATCTTTATCATCGTCGGAAGAATAACTGAAGGAGTGAATTTGTAGTAAACCATTAATTATTGCAAACTATTTATCAATTATATTAATTCTTACCTCACATAGTGAAGTAAGAATAGTTCTCTTGGTTACATATTTAGAATTCTTTGTGTGTGCATTGATTAATAAATAGAAATGTATTATATTAATTGTTGTTTAATTAATACCATGCAGATTTACTTCCCATTCATTATATCATTTAAACCAATCACACAAAGAATAGAGTTTCTTTGAATTTAAACGTGTTTGTTTGATTCTTCAGTTTGTTTAATATAAAAATAATATAATTTAATATCAAATGTTTTGTTTGAATGAAAATGTTTCATTAGAGTAAACCATGTTGTTTGATAGAAAAGACAGTATTATTTAAAAGAAATAATATTCGGTTCTCAATAAAAAAAAAATGTATTTCATTATATATTAAATATTGTTCCATTGAAAGAAAATCCTTAATATTTTCCTGACATAGTGTTACTTCTTTCAAATAATTTAACTTTCGTGACAACCATTGTGATATTTGGATGAAAAAGAAATATGTTATTTGACGCAAAGATATTGCTTGAGAAAACAAACAATCCTGTTTGTTGAATGAAACATTCGTTTGTTTGCTCTATTGCAAGGGACGAATTTGTTTCAATTGAAGGAATTTTGTTAAATCGAACGAAATCTTTTCCTCTGTGCAGGCAGATAAAAACTTTGGCGGAGCCCAGAGACAACAAAGGCATGTTTCCGCCGAAGGGAAACCTTCACGAGTCGTCGTACCGAAGAATCGGGCCCGACGACGAGAGAATGGGTGTCTCGGAGACACACGCCATGTTGTCGCAGATCGAACTGCGAGACGAGTATAAGTCGATTACCCATCCACGGCGCAGCTTACTCACGTTGCAATCGCTCGCTGCGGCGGAGTACGCGTCTCTTCCCTGAGAGAGTACATTGAATAATTTATTAATAATTAAAGTGTCGATGACACGTGATCTTCTTTCCAGAAAGGATTACGAGGAAGAGTTGCAATTGGCGGACTTGCTGATGGACCCGATGGCGATTCGCTGCATGGACTATCGCACCACCACGGACAGCGATTATCGGTCACCTCACCCTCCGAGACCGCCGGCACCGCCGCCGCTATTACCGCCGCCGGAACCGTGGCTGTTGAATCGCCGCACCGTCGGCTATAGTCTTCACGCTTTGGAGAATCGTGGCGGATACCGCATGTTCCTGGACGACGACATGGATCTTCATCGGAGAATAGCAGAGTTGAAGATGAAGAGGGGTAAGCTGTACGAGGTGATGATGACGGACTAAGGAGCAGCGGAGTGCCGTTTAACGATCGGTAAATGGTCTGTCGAAGCGTCTCGGAGAAACTGGAGTCAATGAGAAAGCGCATGTGAACACGCAAGTGCAATTTTTCTTTTCTCTTTATTCGTGGAAATGAGAGAAAATATAGTCGAGGATGAACAGAACATTGTTTCGAAGCTGCGGATCATTTTGCGGCGGGGTCAAAAACGCGCGAACAGAACTGGAGGAGGTGAGGAATAACAAGACACAGTGTAGTCGTAGTGGCTGCAATGTAAAATATATTCTATCTACATCTCGCACGAACGCGCACGCACGGTGAATACGCCAGCGCGAGCGAAACGCAAGTGGCGCGATCACGTCTACGATCTAGGAGGATCCGGCGGCGGTGTTTCACTCGGTGTTTCTGCTGAATCGCGAGCGCCCGTACTCGTCGTCGTCGTTGGTACGCTTGCCGAATCTCATGTGATCGTAATCGCCCAGGTGCTGGCGCTTGCTCAGCCGCAGATCCTCCTCGTCCTCGCCGATGAGGTCTTCCACGAGGTCCCTCATGAGACCCTCCACTGCATACCTGTGAAAAACCGAGCGAAATATCACAACAAAAGCGAATTCTCAGCCGCCAGCTTGAAAAATAGATCTTCGTTCCTTATGGATCTTAGCAGAATAGCTGATTTGTTGATTCGAAATTCAATGTTTTAGCATAGTTTTTGTCTTTAAGTAATGCACAATGACTGTCTTGTGTCTTGAGTCTTAAATTGAAAAGCCATTCTGCTTGTGATTGATGATAAACTGTTATATAATAAAAATAGGTAAACAAATAATTTAAATAAAGATTTAGGGCATAAAACATTGTTTTAAAATTATAAGTCAACCATTCTGTTGAGATCCTAAGGCTCTAAAGTTCCCGTTTTTCCTCGAGGCAGAAATAATTAATTAATTTTGCTCTTAATTTCACAATTGTTCTTGTGAAACGATTTGTCGCGTACATTAGAGAATTCACGAAGTAAATCGACGGTGGAATATTCGTAGTTACCCGTGAACATGTGGATGGTTCTCCAGGTTGCGGCGGACGCTGGTGATTAACCCTCCCGGGGCTGCTTTACATCTTCCACAGAACAGCGACATGACCGCGATCGTGCAAGCCAACGTGAGGGTTAAATTCATCTCTGCAACCATAAAAATGCAGCAAATATTGAATAACGAACGTTACCGGGCTGAGCCGGGCTCTAACCGATTCTAATGGCTACCCCCCGGGTTTATTACTTCTAATTAGTCCGTCCGATGTAATCGCAGAACTATACTCTTCGTGAATATTCTGAGCAAATAGGTAAACTCGTTCCGTCCTCGTTAATAGAAATTACATATTCTCTTGCTGGAAATTTGCAACGTGCAATGAGGGCCAACGGAATGACGAGGGATCCGCCTTGATTGTGCAATGGTAGCTCGTATTCTAAGTTCTTTTATCGATAAAAGTGCTTTAAGTGTGGCTTCCCAGTCAGATGATCTCTAAGCTACTTTCAGAAGTACTTTTATCATTGAAAACAAATTCAGAATATAGGCATATGAGAGTAACAGCCTTAGCAGAATGGCTGACTTATACTTTTAAGACGATGTTTGATGTCCTCGATTTTTATTTAAATTTTTATTTGCCTTTTTTTATTATACACATACGATATGTCATTAGTCACAAATAGAACGGTTGCTTAGTTTAAGACACAAGACAGTCATTGTGTGTTATTTAAAGACATAGTGTCCATATTTTGAATTTACCTTTATCGATAAAAGTGCCTCTAAAAGTGGCTTAGAAACCACTTGATTCGCTGAGAAGCTAAAGCACTTTCATCGATAAAAGTAAATTCAGAATATGGGCCATAGACTTAAGGCATAAAAAATCTCGAACCGATAATTCGGCCATCCTGCTAAGACCCTCACGATAATTATTCCTCGCGAGCGATTATTTCCTGGACGTCGTTCGAGCTGCTTCGTCCGAGCGGAATGTGAGAAGCGAGATTGGCGGGACGCGAAATACACTGGAAACGGCGGGTCGTCGAGGGTTATTCGCTGATGTGCTGGGGATCTCGTGGAGACTTTTCGCTTCGGAGGAACACTGAGATGTGCTTACCTATGCCTGCTGGAACCAACGGTGAAGTGTACGGTGTGCATTGTCCGCATGTGGCTTTTTATACGCGGCCGCCTTCGTTCAGCCCCGGCAGCGGCCGAAGTCGCGGGTGGGGCGTTGAATTTTAATTCGCCCACCATCGTACTGCCACCGTACTGATAAACAATTTTCTTCCTTCGCTGCCGAAGGAAAAGCCGCCCTCGCCGCTCGCTCAATATTCCACGATGCCGCCGCCGATGATTGGCAGCCAGCCGGCTAAACGCATTACCGATGTCACGTCTTGGCTCTTCTATTTCCTTTCCGAGCGGCCGGCTAAAGTCAGACATTAAAGTCCTCCAGCGAAAAAGAGAGGCGCCCCGCGAAACGGGCGTTTATAAATAACGACGGGCGCGGGAATGTGTCCGTTTGTTAAACCACCTTTACGCTACGAGTTTCACGTATTTATAGCAGCAGCTTCCCTCGATCATTCGATCAAGGCGGATCAGGGTGGATTGGCGTGTCAGCGAATGGCAATTGGCGCAATTGGTAATCATCCGGCCGCGCGAAAGCAAAGTACGTTGGCGAGTAACGCAGCTTCGATTTGTCGTCTCAGTTCACCAGAGTGCCAAAGTGACCGGTGAGAGGGGCAGAGAGGGAAGAAGAGACGCGCAGTGTCTTCGAATACCTGCTATAATACGGTAAGAAAGCACCGTCGCACGAGGTCACGGCCACGGACTCGCGATCCCCAATGGCTTCTGCATTTGTGGTGCTTCCTACCAATTCTATAAATCAGTCCAGGTTCATCCCCCGGTGCGGAATCGCTCCTCCAACTCGAGAAATCACGTCCGTCGGTAGCGTTACCACGAGCGATCCCACGACGAACTTCCATCAGGATGGCTGCCGTGGCGGAGGGCAAGGAGACGGTGGTCCAAAGGGGTTTGTCAGAGTGGTGGAGCGAGGAGACGGAGTACATGATCCAGAGGATCGAACGGTGGACGGTCTTCGTCCGCGGTTACAATCGTCTACGGTCGCAGAGATGGTCCAAAGATCAGTCGAAGGACCGGCCGCAAGAGCATCATCGAGACTCATCGTGGAACGTGTCCAGCCGGAAGCCGAGCGTCGACGAGACGACCTGTACGTCACGGTTCTGCGATACCGAGTGGTCCCGGCGGAAAGCGCGGCCGGAGGAGACCAGGATCAACTGCTGCGGCACTTTCAACTATCAGTCGAGCAGCGAGTTGGACAGCAACTGTCTGGAGACTTACCGGTACGACCATAGCATTTATTTTAAGACCATCGGCGACATCAGGAACGACAGGAGGGAGGTCGGGGGTCGCGACGTGGACAGGGTGTCCATCAGTAGTGAGGAGCTGGTGGAGTGGGACTCCAGTTTGCTCACTGATCTTTTGGTCAATAAGCCGGTCGTCGAGGACGCTTGCAACAACAATTATCTGAGCAACAGCACCGCCCTCGACACCGTCCTCGAGACGAAAACGGACCGGGTGACGCGGAACGCCTGGCCGATCGTAGATTTGACCAAACTGATCGACCTGAGTCTGACGAACACCTCGCGACTTTCCTGCCCGATCGATCCGGGCGATCGAGGAAGAGGCGGAGAACAACGAGAGAATAATAGCAACGTGGACAATCCGGAAGTGGAGCCTCCGGATCCTAAGACGTGGAGGGAGGTAAAAGATCGCGAGGACGGTTCCAAGGATCACGAGAGGATGAAGAGGCCCCGGTCGTTCCGGAAGACCAGGCGGTCGTCCAGGAACGCGCGGAAGGCGCCGATCGTCGGTGAAAACAACGTCGTATGGCCGGGGGTCCTCCTGAATTACAGCAACAGCTTCGACGTCGCCGCTAGCCCGCCGCACGAGCAGTAAAAATAAAGTCCGTCGAAGATAAACATTCACGTGTTGGCGTTTCGGCCTGTTTTTCGATATAAATTCTACGGAACGATGTGACGAATTTCGTTCACCAATAAGAACAAAACTCGCCGTATTACATAATAGTATACTCGCGATAGCTCATATTTCCGCTTGCAATTTATTCGCTTGTTAATTCAACCTAATTCCTCGGACTTCGATCGAGAGCCGAGGTTAGAAACGATTTGCGTCTCTCTGTTTATTTATTTATTTATCCGTCTATATTTTTCCTCTTCTCGCTTCAAAACGAAACGGATGCAATGCTGAGTTTTTCCCACCCCCCGTTTTTCCCTACGCCGCTTGGGCGTCGAAGATGGACGCCGTTCGCTATCATAGCTATTCGATCTTCCGGTCCTACGAAGCCTCCGAAGAAACCGAGGAAGACCCCTGGGAGAACTTTCGGGCGTCTCCGTCTGACATTTTCGCGTCGGCCGCGACACGACGCTCGCCGGCCGTACGTGGAGAATCCGCTCCGATAAAGGAAGTTCCCACCACATCGCGCCATGGTGCCGCTCCGGGGTAGCGCGCATGCACCGATTGGAGGGGCAAGAGCCACGCACGCAACACGTAAGTATTACTCGGTATCCTGTTGCAAATCGATCGCGTCGCCAAAGTGAGAGCCACTAGTGCGTAATATCGTTGCAGAGCCCGGGTAGAGGGTTCCCGTTTTTATCAGCGAACGAAGCCGAGCGTCCGAAGCGGATATAGTCGAGATGACCAAGCGGCTGGAGACCGTCGCCACCATGACCTGCATGAAAACCTTGCTGATGCTGTTCAACTTCGTCTTCTGGGTAAGCGAGATAGAGAGAGAAAGAGGACACGAGCCCCTTACGTTGTTCACGGGAGGCCCTCACGGCGCGCACCTTACCTGTATTAGCCAACTGTTGCGCAATCGCTCACAACGTCACGAGCATCGGATATGCTTGATTTCATTGGAACGATACACGCGATAATGGCGTCACGGTAAAACACCGTCCTTTATTATTCCGAATCAGGTCGGCTAATTGGAGCAGGGGGTGTACGGCCGGCTAGGTGGTGATTGCGTATGTGACCTTGAGTATGAGGTCCACTCGGGCGACGATCGCTCCGACATACCTTCCAGCCTAGCTCGAGTTGTCAAATCAATGCCTGCGATTCGCACGGAGCGGTCGTTCATGTCCATGTTATTGTGCGTTGCTTCTCCTTGAACCCTCGAGTCACGCGATTCAGCATTACCGAGCGCGTTGATGAAGACTTATCTGCATGCCACACTGTTATACGTGCACGTGCATGCATACCGTTTATCGCTCCCGACAACGCTTCTTCCACACACACGTGTTCGTGCGCACCGTTATCGCCTCCACACACTGGGAGAAATTACTTTAGTTACTTTCAATATCCCTTTCATGGTTTTAGTCAGAAAAATCGTGGTAGGAATACGCGTGTAAGGTTATTATCAATGACACTGTAGTAAAACGAGACAAAATGCATCTCTTGACTATAATTCTTTTATTTATAATGATTACAAATATCAAGTATTTTTCTCACGGTGTACTTCGGCCGGGGCGCGGACGTTGTTAACGAGAGAGTCGCAACGGTCGCTGATAAATAAAACTTCCACGTCGGCTTCTCGACGTTATCGATCTCATCCCTCGAACCGTCTCTCTCGCGAATGTTACGTTTCATTATGTGACGAATGTAACGCCGCGATCGTTCCGTTACAGGTGTCGGGGATGCTGATGCTGTGTATCGGCATATGGATGCGCATCCAACTGCGGGATTACGTGAACCTGAGCGCGGAGGGCAGCAGCGCGGCTCTCTTGGCCCTCTCGAGCTTAGGCTCGGTATTGGCACTCGCGGCGACGCTCGCGTGTTGCTGCACCGCGCGCGGCCATCCAGCTCTGTTATACCTGGTAGGCCCGGAACAAAACTGAGCTTCCTAGTTAGGATAAGTCGAGCGTCCAACGATTTTCCTGCTCATCTGATCGCAGGTTTCTCTAGCGAACGCATATCTCAGACAGCTAAGCCTGCAGAAACAGATTTTACACGCGGTACCTGCCGTGTGAATTTTCACGGCAGCTTGTCAGCAGAAATACGACAGGATCTGCTGGCAGAGTACGATGATAGATTGACGGCAGAAACCGAGTATAGGATCTGTCGTTTCGTCGCCATTTGAATATAACTGAATCGAATATACCGAAGATCCGGTTTCTGCCGTTAGTCCGCTGTCAGATTATGTCGGCAGACTCTGTCGACAGAGACGACACGAGATCCGCCACGATATATTCTGAATCGAATCTGCCGGCATACTGCAAACGTTTTGCTTATTAGGTACTCAAAAAAGTCTCCGAGTCTGTCTTCGTCTCTCCTTAGCGTAGCTTGCGAAACTTCTTCCTTTCGACGTCCTGCGAAGAGATTAATCGTTCCTTTTCGGTGTCCAGTACGGCGCGTTCTTGGCCGTCGTGGCATTGCTGGAGCTTGGCGCGGGCGCATCGGTGTATGCTTACCGTACGAGCCTGAACGAAGGATTCGACCAAAGTCTGAACCAGAGCATGGCCGCCTACAGGCCTGGGCAGGACAATGACGCCATGAGTGGTCACATCGACTCGATGCAGTCGACCGTAAGTATCTCGACTCGGCGTTTCCACTCGTACTCGTCCGACGAGTCCCGATCGTCCGAACGAGAGAATGCGTCGATACAAAATGTAATTTCGCCGACTGGACCAAAGACGGGGAACTATAATTTAAGACGTGCCGATCTCCTCGCGAGATCTCGCGGCAAAATCGCGTCTTCGACCAAACCGATGAATGTCAATTGCAGTTGCATTGTTGCGGCAATCGCGGCTACGCCGATTGGCTCCGCATGTATCCGCCGAAGGAGATCCCTCAGTCCTGCTGCAAGGTGTCCAAGTGCGATCCGAACAACGTCGATCAAATCTTCACCGAGGTACGCATTGGTGACATCTTGACGATCTCGATATTACGAGGGGACGAGAGTCAAGCTATCGATTCTCGATCCTTTTCGGGTCCGGCCGCATTAAGGAGATGCCATACTTGAGAACTTTGTCAGCAAAATACTGACTTCTTCCTCGGCAAAGTTTTCTTAGAATTGGAAATGTTTTTACGCGGTGAAAGTTGAACTGGAACATTGTTCAATATTTATTTATTTACTTTTTATTACGGGTTAATACCCTTTGGTGTATGCGAAAGAAGCGAATATAACTTATCGCCGAAGACGAAATAATAACGATTACAACAAATTTCACAACAATATTATAACAGTAAAAAGAAGTTACAAGGAGGCTTATAAAAAGTAATCAATGGACTTGGAATATATTCATTGACTGAAATGCATTCTATAAATATACACATTCTATTCTTGATACAATTGTTTTCCATAAATAGTTCGGCGAAATTCGACGTGAAAGATATTAGAAGCGCACATTGCGTTCTGGCAGAAACACGCGAGCCAATGAACTTTAGAATTTCCGAGCATACAATATTACGGTTACGTAAGTTAAATACAAAAATCGAGTCAAAGAATATTCGTCTTTTCTCTAATGTTAAAAGTTTGTGTCGCAATAATTCGGGTCTATAGTCATGACACGTTATTAGCATAGGACCTGATAAACATATAACGAGAACGATTAAAAATATCAAAATTGACGTATCTAGCTGTCAGTTAGAGTAGATATTAACCTGATGCAGAAATCCTGCAGCTTGCAGCATACCAAGTGTGTCAATGTTCCGAACAGGACAATTTTAAAGAACATTTCTATCATTTTTCAGTTAAATTTAGATGCTTGAAAAGATGCGAAAAGCTTGCAAAAAATTTCAGTATATCCCTGGTTTATATAAAATTTTATCAGATTCGTCATCGACCTTGGCATCCCCTTAAAAAAAGGCGAGAGTCCTTTGGCTCTGATCGTAAGGCAAAAATTTCAAGAAGGAACGTTCTCTTCAGGGATGTTACAATCGCGTGTTGGACTTCCTGAACGCCAACATCGGTCTGGTAGCCGGCACGGCGATCGGCGTGGCCTTCTTCCCACTGGTGGGCGTCTTCTTGGCCTGCTGCCTGGCCAGCAACATCAACAAGGCTGAGTACGAGCAGGTTGCTTAGGCTTGGCATTCGCGCAAGCAGCAACGGCGGTCCTATCTGAAAACAAAACCCGCGTCGCTAGCGACAACCGCGAACGTATTTAACGGCAGCACGAAAATGATCGCGATGGAAGCGACCGGCCATTTTGCCGCTTGAACTTCAACCGGAGGCCTCGATGAGGGAATCGGGCGACTCTGTCGTTCGTCGAAGGCCGTTGTTCCCAGCAAACAACATGATGACGTATTATGAATGTCGAGTGACGTGTCGAAGACGATGTCGCAGACATCATTATTGAGTCACTATGTTTGGTGGGTTTGTAACGAAAACAAGTTCGACGAACAATGGATTTGCGCCCTCCCCGCATTGATTCCTTCGATTCTCACTTAAAAACGTCCGCGATTGATCGACATCATGATCTACATTGTCGTATTAACGAGCGTAATGAGTTTTTCCAAAGAAAACTTGTCGTTCGAATCAGTAGTCTTTCGTTGAGATTATATTTGTTTCATGACCGTTACAGAAATATAACTCTAGTTTTCTCGTGCGCTTCGGTTTCACATGAGAACGTGTTCGAATGTGCTTCGCATGACAATTTAAAAACAAGTCTTGATCTCGAGGAATCCGCGAGCTCTCAATGGGATCGCGGAAGATACGGAATTGCAAGCGAGTCCTTCGTTCAGATTATATTTAAAAAAAAAATCATGGGCGCGTTGAGAAATATATTTTAGAATTAATAAGTTTTCGAAAAAAAGAAAAAAATAGGAAGCATAGTTGTTTTGATCGCTAGACGGAATTGAACGCGACGCATTGAATTGAGTGAATTGAATGACGACACATTTCCTCGCATGAAAGGGTCGAACCGTGTTGCGATACGCGAGAGTACGACTGGTGATTTTGTGGGCCGACATATATTAGAAACGTGATTGCTGTTGCTTTCGGAAGAAGCATTTTCTGCTATTATCGTATATCGAACCGAGTGCAAAATTGGATCACAGCATCGGGTGGGTAAAACTCAACAAAAGTCGAACGATCAAACATCACGTAGGTAGAAGAAGAACCGCTAGAAATACAGAATTGTATCGATAGCGCGGGTTGTTACGTCTTCGTTACGATCGATCGGATCGTAACGCGAAGAATTCGCGCGGCAGAGCGGCAGGCTTATTTAACAAACGCCTGTTCACGATGACAGGCGCGAGAATAAGATGTATTAGATGTACAGATTCATTCGGTGCCCTTTTTCACGAAATTCAAAGTTCATTCACAAAAAGTCAAGTACAAGTTTAATGTTCGAAATAATTTCCATTATTTTCCATGACTTCACCCAATCTATCGGATAGCTGATGATGAATGCCCTCGCGGAAAAAACTTGGCATTTTTTTGACTCAATAAAGTCGTCAATGCTTTTTCGGACCTCGTCAACTGTTTTAAAATGTATATCCGCCAGATGATGTTGAAGCGACGAAAATAGGTGGCAATCCAACGGGACTGGATCTGGCGAATAAACCGCATGAGAAACAACATCGTGATAATTATTGTTTTCTGAGTTTACATCGGCAAAGCTTTCAATTATTATAGTGTTTCTTAAAGATTAAGGCTGGCACTTTCAAACACCATAGAACGGGGAAAAAATTTTAATTTGAATCAAAGTTACAGGACATTAAATGCAAAGGCACCGAATTAATCTGTACACCTAATAAACTATTATATTTATGAAGCGTGTTATGAGTCCTTGGACTTGCAAGCGACTTCTTTCGAATTTTAGGCCCTTCACGCCGCGAGTCCTTGAATTCATCGAATCCTCCATTCTTCTTAGATCTTCCACGCATCCTTCTTTGATTCCGAAGTCCTCGGATACACATGCTTGTGTTTCCGTGGGCTTTAACAAGCTATGCATCTTCGTGCATGGTTTTTCGTAACGTCTTGTCTTCAAATATTTAATCACACATCTCACCTCGCCGCGCATTCTGAAATGCGACGGTGTACTTGTCTCACGTCTAAGTCGCAACTTAGAATTTATATCGAACAAACCGAACTTAAAGGTAGACAACCGTAACACTTTAGAGAAAAATATAGAGTGGAAGTAAAAGTAAGTCTACTTATCAAGTTATCGTCGATCAAAAATACGAAGCAAATTGTTATCGTGTAACGCAAAATATGATTTCTACGGTATTATTTGCACGCTCGTGCTAACTTCAGTCTTCAGAACTCGCTTAACTTAATCTCTCGATCTTACACGTTTTAGCTATTTGCATTCGTACAGCATAACTCTTCTTGTCCTTCGTATCCTTTTTTACTACGTTTTTTCTAGACTTCTTTTTGTGATATTTCATAGACTACTGTATTGCCTAGAATATTTTTTACCGATTCACTTTTCTCTCTCTCTCTCTCTTTCTCTCTCGCGTTCATCACTCAGATCGTCAGATCGATAACCGCTGGAACACTGTATCCTTATCGAACAAAACGGAATCAAAGTTTACATTTATCTCTAGACCGCCAATAATTAACGCGCGCGCACAAATGCGTGGGATTTATTTCTTATTTCGCGACGAGATCGTTCGCGATGTGTCGTAACAGCGGGATTTAAACAAACTAATCCGTACATCGCGAAACACGACGAGAGATTCACACTGTATATACATTTAATTTCCCTTTTGGACATACATTTTTGGGATAATATATTATTGCAATGCCGTTAAATATATTCAATTATCGCCATGTTTTCCCGTGCAATCTTTATCAAAGTTGATATTTGTGTAACACAGTCACTCTGTTACACTGTGGCTCTATATTATATTATATCATAAGAGTTTCGTATGTAAAATATAAAAATATCTTATGAAATATATTTATTATATACATATATATACATATATACATACATATACATACATACATACATACATATATATATATATATATCCAAATATATAAATATATTCATGTACAGAATGAGACACTTAACTCGTTCGTTTTCTGCAAATTTTTCTATTCAATATCATTGAAAAAAAAAATAATAGAATTTGGACAAAAATTGTTTAATTTAAAAAGAGATAATGGCGAGGACGGTTCTATTTTGCCGTTTTGCATTGTGATAATATTAAAGCGATTTTTGACATACGTATCGTACGTGAGGCTGATGATTATAGAAGTATCTTTTGTGACGATTAATATTAGCACATAAATGCCAAATAAAAAGGGGATTAAACGATGACGAGCGAGTTAGGCGGCCGACTTGGCATTATGAAATATTATAAAAATATCGCAAAATTATTGCATTATACTTCATCGTGTTATATAGACTTAATCCATCGATGGTACGTCAAACGGGAGGTCTAATGTAATCCTTATTTACAAATATTTCCGAAACTAATTTCACTTCCCACGATATCGAGAATATCGTGCAAACCGCCGCATATTGAATCGATATCGAATTATTTACCGTCTCACGGCTTTATGTACATTTACTGTATATCGTGGGACGCGTACGCTTTGCACGCGTCTCGAGCCTTAAATAAAGGTCAATGAAACCCAACAAATATAATTGCTATATAATATAGAAATAATACGTAATATAACGGATATTATATCCTATTGATATTAATGTTACGTAACTTTGTTTCATAATTATAACTGTTTTATATACCTGTTACATTGTTTTATTATTAGCTGGCAATGATGTTATAATTAGTAGGTAATAGGTTACATAACAAATGTTATATCCATGTAACATTGATGTTATATAACACTATCAATATATAATTGTAATGTAACAGTAATGAACAGTTACATTGAAAGAAAAACTTATAAAATTGTATATAAGTGCTTGGAAATTGTTATAGTTCGTATTTGTTATTTGCTAACAACATCTGTGCTTACGAGAATATTAAAAATTGAGAGTGTGTAATGCACGCATACTGTGATATAAAAGGTAAGTATATATTTGTGTTTCCTTGCTGGAAAGCAACTTAAACATTGTATAAAGATTAACAGTTGTCACGATTGCCTCACTTTTATGTTTCACAGTCAATTAACATCGTTATAACTTACCTATATAATGCTCAACTAAATAGATGTTTTTTACTAAATATTCATAAATATTCAACGAGTATATTTCATGAAGCTAGCATAATCTATCCTTTAGCAGGCACGCATAAAAGATATGTTCGGTCCGTTCTTTTTAGCTGCGCTACCAAACTGGTGCAATAAGTTGAAGTAAGAAAGCATATATTTGTCTCACTTCAACTTCACTTATCTCACCGGTTCAGCAGTGCAACTAAAAAGAACGGTCCTGTCGCTTCATAGCATTTGCGGGCAAATTCTGATTGGTCCAAGAGCAAACGCTACTTTGAACCACGCGCATTCTCGTGAACGGTTCAGTTTTCTTACATCATGGTTGGTTGGATTATCATTACCAGCGCATGAAAACGGTGTAAAAAGGAGATATTTATTGTGCTGGCAATTCTAATTAACACGCTAGCACATAATGGCAGAGAAAGAGAATATTCTGGTCAGAATATATAACAATATCTTTTACATGTTCGACGCACCGGCCACTTATTTCCGAGGTATTATCTAATCATTTGTTTGGTTATGTTGCTAATTGTCCGGAGCGCTCGAAATTAAGTGGACGTTTTGGTCACAGAAAAATTCGTAGAGCCGAATCAAAAGAAATATCCATGGTATCATCAGAAATACCGCCGTGTGCCCAACATTGACGAATGTTACTCCGACGATGTGGTCTGTTTCACAGAAGCAAATTGTCAATTCTTACGCGATAAGTAAATTAAATTTCATGAATTATTAAAAATATATAGATAAAGCAGGCCTTTTTTTTGTAGTTATTAATAATTATACTATATCTGCAAAGTGGCGCCTCTATTTTAATTCATCTTTATCCTTTTAACGCTAGGTTGGTAGATGATGAGATTTTATTCATTCTGAGAAGTCGCTTCGAACAATGTGCTTGGTATCACGGTGAAGATGATGTGAACTTATGCAAACAACTACGCAAAACTTACGATGACGCAACCACGGCTTGGTTTATCAAATGTAAGTATATGTCTTGACTATAAGAAATAAGAAGTAACAAGAAAGTAAGTAAAGCTGTAACGACAAGAGACTATACAAGTGTTAGTATCTCTATTGAAACATTCTCAAATGTACAGATGGTGATATGGGTATAAGCTTAAATGTTGTAAATGCATATATGAAGCAGAAACATCGTATGGTTTGGGAGCGTCGTCATGGTCCAGTAGGTAGCGGTATGAAAGAGCAAAAGATTAAGGTATAGCAATTCCTACCACCGTTGTAGATGGTTATTTAATGGGAAGTACGTTCGCATATTACGGATCTGAATGGCAGATTTGCGTCAATGTACAGATAATGCGAATTGAAAACAAAAATAAAAGTAATTTATCAGAATTTCAATTTCACTTCTTTCAACACTCAAAATATACTTCGGGGTTATTTAACAATTACATCACACGAAATTCGAGTATTTCTTCGTCCCCTTCGTCACATTGTCATGAAGTATTTAAAACTCCTTCCAATATTACGTGACATATGGAATTACCCCCTCCCCTCTTGTATCATATATATTATGTTATTAGGCTTTCTTCAGATCCAGTGCGAAAATAAACACTGTAAACCGAGGCTTTAATGTGACGTTCCGTAGCCTTTATTCCCTTCGACCCCTTCCTACCATTACAGCTGTCATACGAGCTAAGACTCCCCTCCACTCGGAGTGTGACGTAATTGTTGAATGATCCGTTTGTATAATAATATATAACATGGATATAATGGTGCATTGTACGTGCAGTAATAATTTAATCAAAATGTTGAATGAGCTAATTCTTTTTATTCCTTATTTCATTGTACAATTTGTAAAAACATTATGCTTATTGTACATGTATACCAAATTAATTTAAGAAACACTCGTTTAGAAGATTCCACCATGATTTATGTTACAATATTTCTTTTCTTTGTTATTATGATAAAATTGTACAAATTGATTGCATTTACAGTTTTCTCTATCTCAATATTGTATTTTATGTTAGCTAAATTACTCATCCATTGTTTAGAATGGCCAAAGTAAATTGGATACATATAAAATATTCATTATATAATAGTATTTATAATGCAGACGGCTACTTGCACGAAATATCTTACACAGTGATACACGGTGGTACAGTTAACACGACATAAGATACTCGCACGAATAAACGAATTAAAAAGTTCCTCTGTAAGACACGTACAAAATCTTCCACAGTGATATAAAATACGATAGAATTGATCTCCTTACACATGGGTAAATAACATATAACAAAATGACTTCATTCAGTAGGAATAAATAAATAAAATATTAAAAAAAGTATCGCGAAATAATCTTTTTAACCACATAACATTGATTCCTGAGTGTCACTAAATGTTTTGCGTATTTCCGTCATCCGGCAAGTTCATAATCCGGTGTAATCCATGTAAACGTTACGTATTTCAAATTATCATAAATTGCTAATTATACTTAATTTTCTAATGATAAATTGATAATTATTATATCTCATAAAACTCACAATGACTTTTAGTGATAATCCTAAAAGTGATAATAGTAACAATAAATTATTCCATGTTGCAAAATTATTACGCATTCATGTCACACCAATGATGAACATGAAGTATAAAATTAAAAATGAGATCATTACAATTCAGAGAATAACGAATCCTTTCCATTCAATGTATTAACAAAATATCATAAAAGATTCTGTATCATGCAGTTACAGCGATACTTCTCAAATAAAAAAGAACAAAGAAAAAAAAGCAGTTACGCGATGTCTGCTGATACAGAAATATTTGGTGCAAACTTTAAACTTGTTTTGTCTCCTTTAGAATAAAATTATGTGTGATACTTATTATAATATTTAGCAGTATTCGACAAATTTGTTTTGCAATGACCTTTGTTAAAATTATTTCGCGTGTCGCACCATTACATTATTCTTTAACTATTCTTATGCTATACTAAATAATAGTACTAATTTATAAACATTGAAATTTTTTTTAACGATAAAATTATGTCTTTTTTTACGTTTCTTTCTATCTACATGACAACTTAATATCATTGTATTTCATAATATAATAATATCATATTCTAATTTTACATTTCATCAGACTCATAACATATTTGTTTTCATAAGATACTTGCAAAATAAAATTATACATTGTGCCGTAAAAAAATGTATCGATGGGAAATTCATAAAACAATTAATGTCCATTCCTATCGATATCGATCAAAACTTAACTGTGAATTTAAACTTTCTTCAGAAACACTTAAACTCAGGTTGAAGTTTAATCTACGTTAGTAAAAACGGACACAAAATGAATAGCTGTATAGATGTATTGTAAAGATGCGACTGTAAAGATGGATTGGTAGACAAATGAATTCCAGTTCATTTCGTTGGCAACAATTATGCATGATAATTCGTTTTAGACATAAAATATGTCATATAAATGCAACTTTTGTTTATCTTTCTCTCATTCAGTTTCTCTCTTTTCTTCTGACAGTATATAGGCAAATCGAAAGAAGTGGTCCAATAATTTATCCATAAGAATACGTTGATGTATTATATATATATATATGACAAATATAGAATCTAGTTTGACTTTTTTTAGCTTTATGCGATAACAATTATCAAATTAAAAACAGGTACAAATTATGCCATGATATGTATTGTTAATACGAATAGTTAAAACAATCAAATATAAATTGATTGTAAAATACCAATACAAATAGAAATAAGAATTTAAAAGATAATATAAAATAAGACAGTGTTAAGTGGGATACATAACAAGAGTTAAATATAATTATATAATTTCGTTCTATAGAGATATAATTATATAATTATATAATTCAAAATCAATTAAATACATTGGGCCACGTGTTTCTATGTGTATATGATTTGCCTAAAGATAAATTATTGCCAATCCAAATTTCCTTCCTGATGTACTATTACTATCATCTCGCTTGTTTTTATACCCTATATCACAGTACGAAAAATGCTTTACACGTTTCTATATGCAATACCGTCAGCACATGTCACTCACTATAAACGCTACATGTTATGTTATGGTCCTGACTTGGCTCTCTGTATATTTTCATACACTTTGAAAATAACTTGTTAACTTATTCACTTATCCTTTGTCGGTTTGCATACACATTTAATCTATACACAAATTTATTGTAAATTTGGAGTATAAATGAAGTGTGGTACCTACCATTCGTGGAACAGTATATAGGTATAATTTTAACCTAAATGTATGTGTGTGTGTGTGTGTGTGTGTGTGTGTCTGTGTGTGTATGTGATTTATCGAAACGTTGGCTTGATAGGTTCTCCGATTATCACGGTATCGCTTTAATCCCCCCTCCCCCCCACTTCTCTTTCCTTTTTTCTCCCTTCCTCTCTCTGTGTATATGTATATGTACTCTTTGTTTATGACTCGATCGGCTGATTGAACTGGGCCGCCAGACGTCTCTTCCCTTTCACTACTGAAATAAACGTAGTCATATTTCAAAATGCATATGATCGCACACAACATCGCGGTGTAGCGTAAGATATAACGTAATTAAGAAAAATCATGAACATAGCGTAGGAAATATTTCAGCGTAGCTATTGTTACTTTTTAATGTGGCGTACTAACAAGGCTTGCCAGAGGTGCTGTGAGTATCGCTGTTCTCGTCGTCATCGACGGTATTGTTGTCGCTATCGGAATTCGCGTGAACGAGATACATCCTGGCGTTTTTCCTCTGATCATCCGCCGATATCTTCTTGGGTGTCAAAGACAAAGAGGGAAGTGGCAGTTCGGATGGGTGCGGTGCGACGACCGTGTTACACTTAGCGTAGTAAGGAGAAGTATGCGGATATAAGGGATTCGCGGCAGCGGGCAATAGATTTTTGGTCGGCGACAGCAAGTCCGATGCATCATCGTTGGACGTAATTGGATTCCAGCTTGGCAGAGTTAATGGCGGAACCTGGAAGAATACGCGGTATAATGTTATGCGACAAACACGATGCAAAAGTGCATGATTTATAACTGACAACGGGAAAAGAAGAAACATACCTGCACATTCGTGGAATGTTCATCCTGCGGATATGTAAATTTGCCCGGGGACATCCACAGTGAACATTTCCAATCTCCTTTAGATACGGTATCCTACGAGAGAAAACGCGATCAATTAGCCGACGATTTTGAATGATCATGTATCGAGAATTAGTATCGACGTCGATATGATACCTCGGGAGGAGAATCGGGCTTAGGTGGCGGCGGCGGGAAATTATGTCGCATAATCGGTGTGCGTATCAAGCTCTTCATAAGGCTGTCACCGCCGCTCTCCGATATTGGCCAATTGATCGAGTGATCTTCTATACCTTGCAAGTTTTTCCAATGCTTATCACAGTCCTTGGACCAGAAGGTTCTCTCCTCTTTAGCTTTTCGCGAATTAATACCTGTTACATGATCGAACCATTTCTCGGGATCATCCATCATGCTCGACGCACTGGAGATATTGACGTGGTAAGAGGAGTCGCTCTCGAACGAGTCGTTACTGGAATCCGTATCGTGGTAAGACAAAATTGGCTTGTACGACGGCAACAATATATCAGCCGCGGCTTAAAAGAGAGAGAGAGAGAGAGAAACGTTCCCATCAGACGTTGCTGTTTCGTGTCAATAAATCATGTTTACATATAATAATCCGCTACCTATATATAATTATTACCCACCAATTAATTTTTTATTTAAATAAATTACCCCCCTCTTCTTGCGTGTGTCCTTTATCACTACGGTACACGGTAACGCTTGTAACAATGCGGTCAACGTCGGGAAACCATACTGCGTAGGTTTACAAGGTGAGCCTACGATCGTTGAGTATGCCACGTCAAACTGGGATAGGTTCAATGTACCGCCGCAATTGATCATCACACGGCAAACGTTGCAGGCAAAGCGATGTAACGGTGTCAATTCGATAAACTGTTCACCGTTTACCATTATAAACTGTATAAATATACGTAAAAATATATATTCTTACGTAACTGTAATAATACCAACCGATTTGTCAAGCACCCGGATTTTAACACTCACTCGGACAACATTAATAAGATCCTTCTTAAGTTCATCCAAATTACACTGCTTCAAATAACATTGGGAATAATGCCGTGCAAATTCTCTGATAGGCATTTTATATTGGGGATGATCCATCAATATACGCCGGCACTGAAGGATCGTCTGTTGTAAATGCGATTTATCTATTGTAATGATAGCGGGTCCCGTGGCTAAATCTATTATCTGCAACAGAGTCAAGTCGGTAGGAGTGACGTCGTTCTAATCAATTGATATAAAACGTATCTGTATCTCTCAATCACATATTACATCCGTCACATTTTAAAGCAATTACTGTGTTACCTTAATGGTATCTCCAAGTTTCTGCATAAGTTGTAACATCGAACTGCAGCCGAATAATTCCGGGCGCAGGGAGTAGCCGAACTGATGCGAGAACATTTGCGCGATGCTCGAAATGCTGAGACCACTTCTGGCGCGCATCACTATCTTTGATATTTGTTCGGCTAGAACTTTGAGGCCCTCCTTTTCGGTTAAGGATATCTGCCGCTCGCCTCCGTTCACTTCCTCGATCTTCACGATATCCGGGATCGCCTCGAACAACTCGATCAATTTGGTGAATCCATAATCGGACACACGACACTGGTGACCAAAGTGGTGATGATAGGAGGGTACGAATTTGTTGAACAGCATTCTACACTGGGGCGCGTGTTGCAGCAATTCGACAACCTGTCGATGTTGCAAGGAATTAATTTTTATAATTCTTAAATAAGGTGCGAAATTTATCTTTACTATGTCAACCTGGATCACTCGCAATTTTTGCAAAATATATATTACATGATGGATCGGGCTGCATTAACTCTATATGTCAATATTTTTTAATTTCTTAAATATATTGTTATCGTTAATATATAGTATAAATAGCCTACAAAAGAATTTTATATTAAATTAATTCCTACTGTTTCCACTTGTTGTAACGAATTAAATTTTACAAATTATACGAGTCTAATTAATATCAGATTTGAATTTATGAAAAATCGGTACGTTCAAATCTTTCTATCCCCTTTAAGAGCCTTTTAGAGACACTATTTATAATTTTGCAGGAAGATATAAAATGATAAATTTAAATAAGGTTTAGTAATTCACGCGTCTATTACTTCTTTGGCAAACAATTTGGTGCGTTCCACTTCTTCTGCGGTCTGTTCGCGTTTGGGGATGGCTATCATTCTATCGCCGCTGTTGATAGACGTTACAACAACTGTGTTTTCCGACACCTCTCCAAGAATATCATCGATATCACATACTCCATAATCTACAATATCCCATGGTTTTGCTACAAACAATAGGTTGTAATAATTATTCGCTATCAATTATGAATGCAAACATATGAGATACGATATATATATATATATATA